CAAAATTTGGAAACATAGTATAAGAAGCAGATAAAACTCTGCTAAAATTGTGCATGCATGTTAACCTCCACATTCCATGTCCCAGGATTTTCTTAATTTTGTTGGCTGCTTCATTTAGTTCATATCCTCTGATAACAAAGCTATAAATCTTTTTTTGAGAAAATGCTAAAGTATTACGGGTAAGTTTTAAAATGGCAGAAGAATAACAATAGGACATATTTTTGAGCCCTTTTACTTATCAAAATTTTGTACTAGTCTTTTTGCAGAAAAACATCTAAGTACATTCAAAGATTGTGTTTCTTCAAAAGTATGTTGCAATAGCTGGCCATACTATGTGAAAGTCTATCTGAATTGGTCCTCAGTATCATGTATGCACTAAAAAATGTGCTGCTGCTACAAGTGAAGTGTTGCTTAAAGAAAAAGCTTATTTGATTTGTAAATTACAGGAGAGCATCAATATGTTTCTGAGAGACTAGAAAATGTTTTAAATTATAAAATTAATGTCTTTTTTGTAACATTCATACTGATAATTTTTTTTAACATTTTAAGTTTAACAGATTGTATTTCTTTTTTCAAGTTTCTATACTTGCTTAAATGAGCCTGATTTGAGTAAGGGTCTTGATTTTGCTATTATGTTCCGTTAGTTTTGGCATGAATATAGTAAAGCTTTTTTTTCTAGCATGTGTTTTTTCCTCTTTGGTTCTCTTTGTATTTACTACTTTTCTCTTTTTCTTCTGTTTTTTCTTTTTTTTTTTTCTGTTGTTTTTGTTTTGTTTTGGTGTTTTGTTCCTGTCTTCATTGTTTCAGGTATTTCTTTCCCCCTCTGGATTCCCCACGGGCTGGATCGAGATGGTCCAGTTATGCCCAGCTCCTTCCTCCTCCTCCTCCTCCTCCTCCTCTGATAGAGCACTCTTGCGATGCTGACACTGCCAGCCTCCAGTATCCTCACCCTCGCAGACGATCTCTCTCTCGGCCTCTTAATCCCTTACCTGAGAATGAAGGGGTTTAAAAAACACTGATTTAACACTTAAAGGCCTTATTCAAGTGCTTGTAAATGCTTTCATTCCTGGCTTTTTGTTTTTCTTCATTTTCTTTCAGAAGATTTTTCTAATTTAGGGTCTGTCTTGCATGTATTACAACCAGAACATGGTGTTTGGAACCTAAATGTGTTTGTGCTTCTGCATCAAAGGAATATTTGCTTCATTGGTTGATAACCTTTGATGAAATATGAGATGTGTACACATAACATTAACTGTGAGAGTTACACACAATAGCTGACTTCAAAGTGCCTGTTCTGTACATTTTATTTTGAACTGTTATGGCGTTAAGTTTCTTATGGTTTGTCATACTGGTTAATGTGAAAGCATATCGTTATAGAGTTAACTTTGCCTTTGAGACATGATAAAAAATGTTTTTGATTTTTACAGGCTAATGTTGCAACTGACTAGTTTGTAAAATAAATCATTCCTGTGTATAAAGCAGCAAAACATATTATGGACTGTTTGGTCTTTTTTTTTTTTTCTTTTAAAGGAAACTGCCTTTCACTACTTGGAATTATTGTTTAAAGCTTTTGTAATTATTCTCCAAGTAGATTATTTAATAAAATATATTTTTAAAGATATGAATCTGTTGCCATATAAAAATAGAATGTAGTTTATTTGATGGTTGGTAAAGCTTATTTATATCTCCTTAAAATATCATATTGCTAAAAAAAGATCCAAACAATCAGAAATTAGGGGATGATCATGGCATTTATTTAGAAGGTAGAAAGTTAGTATGCAGACTAACATCTAGAATCAACAAATGTCTACTTGACATTTGAACTGCTATTTGAACAGCATTTCGTGTGTCTATCAGCTGATCACACAGATGGTATAGTCGTTATAAATATATATTATAACTTATAATCTAATTTTCAAAGACACTCTCCTATCAATAGACACTTTCCTGTCAAACCCCTAGAGCTTCTTAACATGCAAAGGATAAAGAGCTTATAAAGTATATTGTATTTTAATTTAAGGCAAGGTCTTCCTTCTGTTAAAGGACTTGTTTTAGACCGGTAGACTAGTCGAGTTTCAAAGCAAGAGGTCTCACTTTAAGTCTGGATCTAGCTCAGAATTAAGAATTCAGGTCTTTTAGATTTCAATCATTATCAAGGTACGTGGGGTAGGATGGGGTAATGAATTGAGACAGGCCCTCCCATTTAGTGAACATTGGGCATCTTCTATATGCAAGATACTGTGCTAAACACTTTGGGATATGTAAAAAAAAAAAACAAAGGTAGTCGGCACACATTCATTCTAGTGGGAGAAGGCATTTACAGAATTTACAAAGGGTAGTGAGGATTCAGCTTCATAAAAAAGGTTGAACGGTACAGGAGGCATTAAAGAAAGTGATTTATATGTCAGCAGGATTTGGAAGGGATGTGGGATTGTGACATGTTGGAGTACTTAAAGTGGAAGAGGGCGGAGTCCAGGGTGATGGCCCAAATGTAGAAGAGAACAGGGCGTGTGCAGGCAGAGGATTAAGTTTTAGTCCAATGAAAGAACAAGGTTCATTTGGGGAGCTAGTGGGAGATTAACCTGGACGCATACCTTGTGGTCACACTGTAGAAGGTGCTGGATATTGGAGGTTGAGGTGTTACCACTCAGAGCAGTTGGTAAAGGGAAGCCATGTGAGACGTCCGCCTTTTCTAACTGGACGGATGTCTCTTCTAATTCCCCGGAAGGTACCCTTGGCCATGGGGCCACTTCAAGCTCTTCCTGGAATTGGAGATTTGGAATTCACTACTTCTTCCTTTTCAGTTGGTCAGATAATAGCCAATGTTGCTGAGTGCCTCCACGTGCCAGTGCTCTTCTAGATGCAAGTTAACTGACTTCATCCTCACAGCAAACTCTGAGGCAAGTGCTCTGATTATCCCCGTTTTACAGATGAGGACACCTGCAGGTTTAAGCTCTTTGTGCGAGGCTGCACAGTTAGGAAGTGAGAGCATTGAGATTTGGGCAGGCTGGCATCTCAGTGAAGGCTCTTTTCCTGCAAATACTTTGGAGTGTAGATCCCTGTCACTGTCAGGTTGCTGGGTGCCATGGGGAGACCTCCAGTCACTTGATCTTTATGAAGGAAGGACAGTGAGTTGGGTTCAAGGGATTCAGGGTGAGTGACAGTCTGGAACAGTGGACACATTCCAGCAGTTCACTGCCAGCGTGTGGCCATGGTGTAGGCAGAGCGTTGCTCATTACACTCAAATAGCATCCTTTCAGCTCTAGAGCTAAGGATTTGATTTGTTTTTCAAGATTCAGAAAATATTGAGATTTTCGCCATTTAGTCTGTGTTCATTGAGTTTGGACACAGGTAGAACAGGCGTGGTTAAATGCCAAGGCTGGAAGGTTTCAAGAAGAGATGTCAAGATAACTGCGGAGACATCACTGAGTTTGATGGGAGGCCAGTCCTGATAAACTAAAACAAGTGTGGAAGTAGTACTCAGGGCCAAGCCAGAAACAGAATGAGTGACAATGAGGTGTGAAAGGAGGCAGTTAAGGATAGGAGAGACAGAGTGGTCTTTGTGTGATAAAATGGAATCAAGGAAGGGTGCGTGTCTTATTCATTTTTAAAAAAATTTATTTGTTTTATTTATTTATTTTTGGCTGCATTGGGTCTTTGTTGCTACGCGTGGGCTTTTCTCTAGTTGCAGAGAGCATAGGCTACTCTTCGTTGCGGTGTGCAGGCTTCTCATTGCGGTGGCTTCTCGTTGCAGAGCACGGGCTCTAGGCGCGCGGGCTTCAGTAGTTGTGGCTCGTGGGCTCTAGAGCGCAGGCTCAATAGTTGTGGCGCATGGGCATAGTTGCTCCGCGGCATGTGGGATCTTCCTGGACCAGGGCTCGAACCCTTGTCCGCTGCATTGGCAGGCAGATCCTTAACCACTGAGCCACCAGGGAAGCCAGGGTGTTTTATTTTTTGCAGAGAGATGCAGAGTTTCCAAAGGCAGAAAGGAAGAGAGTGAAGAGGGCATCCAGGAATGATTGTTGAGCAATATTTTGGAGGAGGTAGAAAGTTGTGATAAGCAGATGTCTTTTCCTACCAGGCTAAAATGAGGAGTAGGGACTGCTGAAGTCCCAAGTGTGCATCGTCAACATTCAACAGCTATTCTATGGATGCAGTTAAAGAGTTAACTTTGTTAAAGAGGAACTGTAGGGAAGAAATTCTGAGATCAAGAAAAGTGAAAGGTGTGGTTTCAGTAAAGCAGTAGTTAGGACCTCGTGGTGAGCAGGCTTTGGTGATGGGACTCGTGGCCTAAGGAGAACGGGAAATAGAGGAAGATAATTAGGGACGTACCGTCTCATCTCCTCGCCCCTCTTCACCCGGAACCAACCTTACTGCGCCCCATGGGCGACTTGGCGTAGCGCGGACCCCGGGGATGACTTCCTAACCGCAGCACTGTCAGTGTAAACGTGCGGCAGGTGACCACACGTCAGCATCCGCTCCCGTAGGGACAGTGCCAACACTTCCGAACTCGGGGTGTGTCAGATGCCTGGTCCACCCGAAGTAGTTCTCTGTGCTCTAGGCGAGTGCCGCTGCTCTGCAGCACCAGGTAAGAGAGGCGTGGCGTCCTCCAGTGGGCGAGGCGCCAGGCGCGGCGCCTCCGGGCCGGGCGCGGCTTCCCGCTTCAAATCCGGGATGCCCGCCCTCGTCCAATCAGCGGGCTCGTCCCTTCGCGCCGTCCAATCCAAAGCTGGCTTGGAGTCCCCGCCCCTCGGTCCGTGTGGCGAACCGACGTAAACCCCAGGGGCGCACCGTACGGCCGGCCGCCTTTTGGGGACGCGCGCACGCGCACTGGCAGAGGCGCGGGACGCCGGACCTCTCTTTCGCGGACTTTCTGCCGGCTGGGCGCTTGCGGCCGGCGTCGCGGGCTCGGTGAGGGGTCGCCGGGGGGCGGGGCGGGCGAGTCGGGCTGCCGTGAGAGCGGGGCCTCCGGGACTCGGGTCTTTTGTCCGGGTCCTGGTCCCTGTCTCCCCAACGCGGCGCTCCCCGCTCGCGGGCCGGGCCGGGCGGGGGTGACGCGCTGCTGACCGGCGGATGCGGCCGCGTCACCGTGGCTCCCGGCCTCTTGCGGGTCGTTTCACGGGAAAACGGGAAAGGTGACAGTGTTTGAGGTCGCTTTGCTTTTGTTTTTTCCCGACGGCAGACTTTGTTCGCTGAAGCATGAGGTCCCTTTCGAGGCCGTCGCCTGGAGGACAGCTGTTTTCATGACAGTGTTTTCACTCGCTGTTATCATTTTGAGGTCATTCGACTGGAGTTTTTACTGCTCCAAGGTCAACTTTTTCTCCGGATTCCAGTTTTTAGGGCAGTTTACGGTAAGCTTTGAAAACTGTTATGCTAGATGCCTACCTAATGGTAAAGCGTATCTTAGAACGTTGGGGAAGTTTGACTTTGGCTTTTTCCCACAGCTCATACTTTTAAGTGTGTTCAGTTGTGCACGTAGGCTTCCAGTCGACAACTACAGCAGATGATATTTTATGTATCCAGGCATGAAATTAAAGCAATTAAATACCAGTAAACTCGAGCAGGATGTTTTGAAGTTACTGCTTTAAGGACATACCAAGAGGAATCCCAAAGCTGGCTGCTTAGTTCAAGTGCAGTAAAAGGAAAGATAATATTGTATTGTCCTCGTTTTAGATGAGGAGGAGGGCTGGGTAATGCAATAGGGACGGAAGTTAGGGCATCTTCCCTTCTAGGAAAACTTTAGGAATGTGGCATATCCATAGATGGCTTAGAACAAGTGTAGTCCTTTCTGGAAAAGAGAGACTGGGCGGTAGATTACATCTGGAGGAATCTTCCCCTGGATTGTGTTACTGTTGCACCCACAGCAAAGCTCTATTCCTGCACTTAGTACTGTATCATAGTGGGTAGGGATTGTCAGCTTTCTGAGGGGAGCCACCTTATTTATTGTTGCTTCACACAGCCAGGCAGAGTGTCTTTCACCATTTGTTTTTGATAATGATTGTTGCATGAATGATCTTTGCTTGATATCTGGATTTTCTTAGATGTGATTCTTTATAAGTGGAGATAACCCTTAAAGAGATGGTATACATTTTGATGTGGTATTATATATTTTTAAGTGAATGAGTAACTTAGTAACTACAAGACTAGATGTGGGGAGGCTACTTGGAAGACTTGTGTAGGAATTTATTTTATTTTATTTTATTTTTTATTAATTTATTGTTTTTGCTGTGTTGGGTCTTCATTTCTGTGCGTGGGCTTTCTCTAGTTGTGGCAAGCAGGGGCCACTCTTCATCGCGGTGCACGGGCCTCTCACTATCGCAGCCTCTCTTGTTGCGGAGCACAAGCTCCAGATACGCCGACTTAGTAGTTGTGGCTTACGGGCCTAGTTGTTCCGTGGCATGTGGGATCTTCCCAGACCAGGGCTCGAACCTGTGTCCCCTGCATTGGCAGGCAGATTCTCAACCACTGCACCACCGGGGAAGCCCTATTTCATTTTTTAAAAATATTTATTTATTTATATATTTAGCTTCACCGGGTCATAGTTGCAGCATGCGGGATCTAGTTCCCTGACCAGGGATCAAACCCGGGCCTCCTGCATTTAGAGTGCAGAGTCTTAGCCACTGGACCACCAGGGAAGTCCCCTGTGCAGGAGTTTAAAGATTGATGGAAAGATAGGCAAAGTTTCTGCTCTTAGGGAGAAATCTTTTTAGTGGAAGAAGACAGACAAATACAAAAACAGACAGTGATCAGTGCTGGCAGAAATGAAAATGACCATGGACTCTAGGGTACATTTGACTTCACGATAAGGGATCAACTCTCTTAGAAGGTGAGCTTTGAATTGAGGTGAATGTCAGGAAGGAGCTAGCTGTACAGACATCTAGAATAGTATTCTAGGCCCCGAGGTGGGGATGAGCTTCAGTATTATAGGAACAGAAAAGCCGTTATGTGGTGAGTGAGGCTGGGGTGTGCAGATGAGGTGGCTCACTGAAGTTTTCAGGAAGAGTATGGTACTTGGCTTATGGTTTACGATCCCTTTGATTGCCATGTGGAGAATTAATTGTAGAGTGGCAAGAATTGGACTGTGAAGACTGGTTAGGAGGTTTTTCAGTAGGGTAGGATGGTAGTAGAGTCAGAAAGATGTAGAATGACTCAGGGATTGTTTTAGACAAGGCCTGTTTTGCCTTTAGGAATAGACTCCACTAGATGTGTTTTGATTGGCAACAGTGTTTTTACTGTGTTTAGGTGGGTTCAGGTGGAGTCTGTATTTTCCTGTTGTCTGACGGTGCGTGTTCCTGAAGGCATTTGAGTTTGAGATTTGTCTGTATAAGATGTGCACTGCGTGACGGAGCTGAGGTCAGGATCCTGGGTGTCTCTAACATGGAAGGGGAGGCTGTCAGGTGAGATGCTTGGCTGTGAAAAGGAGGTGAGAAGGTGGTGCAGGGGTGCAAAGGAAGGGTGGGGATAGGTTTTCCACCTCCTGTGTCCGGGTGTGAGAGAGTTTGAAAGTGTTTGTAGAAATCGAGAAGAGGAAATGTAGATAGATAGACATGTCAAAGAGAGGAAAACACTGGGCTGTGGTCTGAGAGGATGGTGCTTACGTGATGGCTGGTGATAAGTTTGCTGGGTTTGACCCAGTTTGAAAATCTTCATTCATTCAGCAAATTTATTGAGGGTCTACTCTGTGCAAGGCACTGCTCTAGATTCACTGGTAAAACAGGTCAAGTCCCTGCCCTCATGGCACTTAAATTCTAATGTGGTGTGGGGAATATAGTTAAACTGGTGAACTATATAGCACTACAGAAAAAAGGAAGCAGGGCAAGGAGATTGGCATGCCGAGCCTGACTGTACACGCTGGTGGGAAAGTGGACATTTACACAAAGACCTGAAAGAATTGAAGGCACAGGAGCCTCCGTGGGTTCCAGGGACGGCAGCAAGGTCAGAGTGGCTGGCGCAAAGGAGAGGAGCAGGAGGTCCCAGGTCAGAGTTACTCAGTCCCCCGTTGCCAGCAAGACTGACTTTCTCAGTGCGATGGGAAGCCAGTGGAGTGTTCTGAGCTAAGCAGTGAGTGTTTGGCGTGTTTGACTGGGTAACCTGAGTGTGTGGAGGGTAGTCTGGGGAGGAAGATAGAGGGTCTTGCAGGGAGGGTCCCGGTCGGAGAGGGTGTGTCTTGACCATGGCGGTAGCAACCAGGAGTCGTGAGAAATGGCAGGTTCTGGTTATATGGTTGTGGTGTAGCCATTGGGATTTGCTGAGGGATTGCACACTGCTGGTTTGATCTGAGCAACTAGAGAATGGACTTGTCGTTTTCTCTGTGGGGAAGATTGAAGAGCAGGCTTTTCTTGAGGGGGTTGCAGTGAGATGGAATCAAGATTGATGTTTTAGGTGCTTGTTAGATACCTAAGTGAAAATGTCAGGTAGGTAGTTGAACATCTGAGGTTCAGGGGAGAGACCCAGGCTGGAATACAAGTTTCATATGGGATTTAAAACTTTCAAACTGAGGGCACTCATCCAGAGAGGCTGGGTAGATGGAGGAGACCCAGGAGCCAGCCCTGGAGCCCTCGCTGTGTGGAGGTCCAGGAGAGAAGGAGGAGGAAGAGCCGACAGCGGTGCTTTGGAAACCAGGTGAAGAAAGTACTTCTGTGAGGGAGGAGTATGAATTCGATTCTGTTAGGTCCAAGACAAGGAGGACTGAAAATTGACCGTGGGGTTATGGGTTTGGCAACAGGGAGATCAGTGGTGATGTTGACAAGCCCTTGGTGGGGCGGTGGGACGGAAGCCAGCTGGGAGTGGGCTTGGATGAGGGGTGGAGCTGGGTGGCCGGTAGTGACTCGTATTGGAGGTCTGGGTGGTAGAGGTAGTGCGGATATAGGTGGCGGTAGCTGTGGGGGGTTTGCAGGGCTGAGGTCAAGGAAGGCTTCTTGTGCTCATGGGGAGGACTGCCCCGAGAGATGCAGCAGTGTCGAGGAGGCGAGGTGGGTGTTGGAATGGGAGGGCTTGGCTTCTACCAGAAGTGTGGATCCTTCATCTGTGATCAGGTAAGTTTAGTAGGTTTCTAGTGGTCTTAAGGCTTTTCCTACTTTGTAGAGTAAATTAGCCCATAATGTCTAAACTCACACGTCAGTGATTTGCCACTGACCCCAGCACAGTCCTGCATTGTTGTCCGTCTCATCAGTAGTGGCAGCTCTTAGAATATCTGTCCAGGCGCTAAGCCCTCTCCCTTCTTCTGCTTTCAGCTGATGGGATTAGGCCAGACTTCCTAATACACCATTTAAGGCTTGTAGGATCTGGCTCTGTGGTTTTACTCACCCGTTGCCCGAATATGGTGGAGCACCTGCTATGGCCACCACACCCTCAGCACTTAGAGCAGAGTTTGGAGTCATACCTGGGCGCGAATCTTACTAATTGCACAAACTTGGGTCAGTTTAGCTAGTTTAGTCTCTGAGTTTGTTTCTTCTTTTGTAAAATGAGGATAAGTGAGTTAAGGTAGTAGGTATGCAATAAATTTTAATTTTCCACCATTGCTTATGTTTATTTGTCACCTTTAAAAGCCCTCTTATCTCATACTTTGCCTGAAATGTCTTGCTCATTCTTCAAGGTATAGGGCCAATATCCTCTCATTTCTTGAGTCTTTCCTGATTTAATTATTTTCTTCACTGAATTCCACACAGCCCTTACATGATAAGCACTCTGAAATATTTTTAAAATTGAGTAATGTGTCCTGAGTTCTGAGATCAGGGTCCATTGAATGAGTGGCCAGCATGCACTGTAGGTTCTCTATTAGTAGTACAGACTGTGCCAGTGTTTTCCAGACTTAGCCTTTGTGCTCCACTTTTACCATTTTTGCCTTGTCCATATGCCAAATATACCTTATTTTTATCTTTATTTATTTATTTTTGGCTGCGTTGGGTCTTCTTTGCTACGTGTGGGCTTTCTCTAGTTGCGCAGGCGGGGGCTACTCTTCATCGTGGTGGCTTGTCTCCTTGTGGAGCACTGGCTCTAGGTGCGTGGGGTTTAGTAGTTGTGGCATGCAGGCTCAGTAGTTGTGGTACATGGGCTTAGTTGCTCCACGGCATGTGGGATCTTCCCAGACCAGGATTGAACCCTTGTCCCCTGTGTTGGCAGGTGGATTCTTAACTACTGTGCCACCAGTGAAGTCCCCAAATATACTTTATGTAACTTAAATTTTTTCTTTGAACAGACTCACTTTTTTTTTGGTGGTGTTGGCTGCACCACACAGCTTGTGAGATCTTAGTTCCCTGGCCAGGGATTGAACCCGGGCCCTTGGCAGTGAAAGCACCGAGTCCTAACCACTGGACCACCAGGGAATGCTGTAGACTCACTTTATTTATTTGTTTGTTGAATTTTTTGGCTGCGTCAGGTTTTCGTTGCTGCGTGCAGGCTTTCTCTAGTTTCGGCGAGCAGGGGCTACTCTTCGTTGTGGTGCAGGGCTTCTCATTGCAGTGGCTTCTCTTGTTGTGTAGCATGGGCTCAGTAGTTGCAGCACTCGGGCTCAGTAGTTGTGGCATGTGGGCTTAGTTGCTTCAAGGCATGTGGGATCTTCCCCGGCCAGAGATTGAACTCATGTCCCATGCATTGACAGCCGGATTCTTAACAACTGCGCCATCAGGGAAGTCCCTAGATTCACTTTTTAAACCATTTACTCATCCTTAATCTTTGAAATCAGGGACTAGATTTTGCTAGTTCTATTTATTCTATTCCCTGTTAGAATGTGTGCCCAGCTTGTATGACGTCCAGAAATTGTCTGTATATGCCATTAGTGTTGTGCCTTCTTCGATTCTTTATTCGATAAATTCAGAATCCAAGAGTAAATTAAGCTGTTGTTTCATTATTATGTTAATTATAAGAAGATAGTTTGATGTTTATATTCTCAGCTATAGTATCCCCTCTTAGAGCTGTTCCAAAAAAAGGATTTTATCAATTTTCTAAGATTTATGGGACTTGTACTCTTAATCGTTTGAAAAAGTTTTATGGTAATATATGATTTATAAGAATACTTTTATTGTTGCAGTGAGATGGAAGATTTTCGAGGTATAGCTGATGAGTCATTTCCAAGCTTTTTAACCAATTCATTACTTGGTGGTAATAGTGAGATTTTGGAAAATGTCACTCTTTCTTCCAATCTTGGCTTGCCTGTTGCTGTTTCAACGCTTGCTAGAAATAGATCCAGCACTGATAACAGGTAAGAATTGTTTGAACAGATGATTTTTTTTAGATTCTTAAAGCCTACTATATACTGATACTTCTGTGAAATTTTTCAGCCAAGCTTGAGCTTTAGCTTTATCTGAGGCAGATGACCATTTATATAAAATCAGCATAGAAGATAAAACCATCTCTTTCCTGTACAGTCGCTTATCAGTGGTGGGTGGGTAGGTTTGGGATTGAACGCCAGTGACCTTTTGGCTTACCAATGGTCTTTCTGTCCGTGGTATATTGGCTTTTATTAGTTCAGACTCCTGGTGGCTGGTGATTTGAGCTACACCCCCAAATGTGATGTGTATAGTTCACTCATCTTGTGTAACTTGTAAAGTTTACCTATGCCTGAATATCTAACCACTTTCCCGTCCTCCTAACCTAAACATTCTGTATGGAGCACCATCTTTACCTTTGGAATGAAGGGGTTGGATTAACTCTTTAAAAACTTTTGGCTTTAAGATTTCCACAACTCTCTTGTTTAATACACACATTCTGCTGATGCACAGGTTTTCAGTGCTTTGCACATAAGGTAATGGTTTTGAACATTGGGGACCCTATTTGTTTTTACCCCCTGGTGGTTGGTTTTACAGTCATACAGTCCTATGTCATGGTGAATTTTAAATGTGTATAATTTAGTTATTAACAATTAAAACAAAATTTTTGTGTGTAGGAATTCTGATGTCCAGGCGTCTTATTTAGTGGAAGGGAAGTTTTCAATTCCATCAGAGTCGTCTCCCAGTAGCCAGAGTGAAGCTGAACCAAGAGAGAGGTTACAGCTTGTCTTCCCGGATGATGAGTGAGTTCTTACTTCATCTTGCTTTCACGGTGTTAAGAGCGAGTCTCACGTAGTCTTGTGGAAAATGAACACGTGATTGTGTCTCTGATCGTTTATAAGAATTTTAACAGTTTTCTTTGTATGATATTAATCGCAAACAGTTTTAGTCTTTCAAAATCTTTTTCTGATTCCAAGAGTAATACATGCTCATTGAAAAAATTATAAAATACAAGCAATTATAAGGCAGACAACAAAGCCCTGTCATCCCAGTAAGACATTGATTATCTTTTTATTTAGTCTGCTAGACTATTTTCTATGCACATGTACATATGTATTAATTTTTTAACAATAATAGGATTAAACTGTACATACTGTTTATAACTTTTAAAAATTAATGATTGTGTCATCTTTCCATTACAATTAATGTAGGTATGTATCATAATGTTAATGGCTGCACCATGTTAGGCACTTAGATGATTGGAATTTTACTATTATAAATTTAGTGAACTTCCTTATTTATACATACATTTTGCATCTAGTAGGTTATTTTATTCAGATAAAATCCTAGGATCAAAATAGCTGAGTTAAGAATATTTAATTTTAAACACCACTGCGGATTACCACATTGCTCTTTGGAAGGTTTGTACCAGTTTGCATTCTCGTTAGAAGATGTGCATGAGAATGCCTGCTTCTCTGAGCCCTCCCTGACATTTGGTGGTGTTATTTTGTATCCTCAATTTTTAATTAATTAATTTCTTCCTTTTTTTTCTTTCTTCCTTTCTTCCTCCTTCCCTCCCTCCCTCCCTCCCTCTCTCCCTCCTTCCTTCATTGGGTCCTTGTTGCTGGGCTTTCTTTAGTTTCAGCGAGTGGGGGCTACTCTTCTTTGTGGTGCATGGGCTTCTCATTGTGGTGTCTTCTCTTGTTGCGGAGCATGGGCTCTAGGTGCACGGACTTCAGTAGTTGTGGTTCGCGGGCTCTAAAGCACAGCCTCAGTAGTTGTGGCACACGGACTTAGTTGCTCTGCGGCATGTGGGATCTTCCCCAACGAGGGCTCAAACCCATGTCTCTTGCATTAACAGGCAGATTCTTAACCACTATGCCACCAGGGAAGCCCCTGATCCTCAATTTTAGAAGTAAAAGAATTTATACACATGCCTAAGTGAATAGAAGAAAGTCTGGAAGGCTTTACACCAAAATGTAAATGGTGGTTATGTCTCGATGGCGGTATTACAGGCAGTCTTAAAGTATTCTGTTTGAATTCATAATCGAGGATTTATGGGATCGAACATAATTTAATGTTTATTCATTACTTATATTTTTGTTGTGAATTACCTCTTGATGACGTTTAGATATAAGCACTTTCTGTATGTTAAAGTTGTTAACTCTGTGTATTCATTTTCTCAACGTGTGTTTTTTGTTTTCGTTTTATTTATTTTTAACATCTTTATTGGAGTATAATTGCTTTACAGTGTTGTGTTAGTTTCTGCTGTATAACAAAATGAATCAGCTATATGCATATGTATATCCCCATATCCCCTCCCTCTTGCATCTCCCTCCCACCCTCTTATCCCACCCCTCTAGGTGGTCGTGAAGTACCAAGCTGATCTCCTTGAGCCATGCAGCTGCTTCCTACTAGCTATCTATTTTACATTTGGTAGTGTATATATGTCAGTGCTACTCTCTCACTTCGTCCCAGCTTACCCTTCCCTCTCCCCATGTCCTCAAGTCCAGTCTCTACATCTGTGTCTTTATTCCTGTCCTGCCCCTAGGTTCATTAGAACCATTTTTTTTTTTTAGATTCCGTATATATGTGTTAGCATACGGTATTTGTTTTTCTCTTTCTGACTTACTTCACTCTGTATGACAGACTCTAGGTCCATCCACCTCACTACAAGTAACTCAGTTTTGTTTCTTTTTATGGCTGAGTAATATTCCATTGTGTATATGTGCCACATCTTCTTTATCCATTCGTCTGTCGATGGACACTTAGGTTGCTTCCATGTCCTGGCTATTGTAGATAGAGCTGCAGTGAACGTTGTGGTACATGACTCTTTTTGAATTATGGTTTTCTCAGGGTATATGCCCAGTAATGGGATTTCTGGGTCATATGGTAGTTTTATTTTTAGTTTTTTAAGGAACCTCCATACTGTTCTTCATAATGGCTGTATCAATTTACATTCCCACCAACAGTGCAAGAGGGTTCACACCCTCTCCAGCATTTATTGTTTGTAGATTTTTTGATGATGGCCATTTTGACTGGTGTGAGGTAATACCTCATTGTAGTTTTGATTTGCATTTGTCTAATGATTAGTGATGTTGAGCATCCTTTCATGTGTTTGTTGGCAATCTGTATATCTTCATTGGAGAAATGTCTGTTTAGGTCTTCTGTCCATTTTTGGATTGGGTTGTTGGTTTTTTTTGATATTGAGCTGCATGTATATTTTGGAGATTAACCTTTTGTCAGTTGCTTCATTTGCCAATATTTTCTCCCATTCTGAGGGCTGTCTTTTTGTCTTGTTTATGGTCTCCTTTGCTTTAGGTCTTTAATCCATTTGGAGTTTATTTTTGTGTATGGTGTTAGGGAGTGTTCTAATTTCATTCTTTTACATGTAGCTGTCCAGTTTTCCCAGCACCACTTATTGAGGGGGCTGTCTTTTCTCCATTGTCTATTCTTGCCTCCTTTATCACAGATAAGGTGACCATAGGTGCGTGGGTTTATCTCTGGGCTTTCTGTCCTGTTCCATTGATCTTTATTTCTGTTTTTGTGCCAGTACCATACTGTCTTGATTACTGTAGCTTTGTAGTATAGTCTGAAGTCCGGGAGCCTGATTCCTCCAGTTCTGTTTTTCTTTCTCAAGATTGTTTTGGCTATTCGGGATCTTTGTGTTTCCATGCAAATTGTGCAATTTTTTGTTCTAGTTCTGTGAAAAATGCCATTGGTGGTTTGATAGGGATTGCATTGAATCTGTAGATTGTTTTGGGTAGTATAGTCATTTTCACAATGTTGATTCTTCCAATCCAAGGGCATAGTATAACTCTCCATCTGTTTGTATCATCTTTAATTTCTTTCATCAGTGTCTTTTAGTTTTCTGCATACAGGTCTTTTGTCTCCTTAGGTAGGTTTATTCCTAGGTGTTTTATTCTTTTTGTTGCAATGGGAGTGTTTCCTTAATTTCACTTTCAGATTTTTCATCATTAGTGTGTAAGAATGCAGGAGATTTCTGTGCATTAATTTTGCATCCTGCTACTCTACCAAATTAATTGATTAGTAGTTTTCTGGTAGCATCTGTAGGGTTCTTTGTGTATAGTATTACGTCATCTGCAGTGACAGTTTTACTTCTTCTTTTCCAATTTGTATTCCTTGTTTTTCTTTTTCTTCTCTGATTGCTGTGGCTAAAACTTCCAAAACTATGTTGAATTACAGTGGTGAGAGTGGCAACCTTGTCTTGTTCCTGATCTTAGAGGAAATGGTTTTAGTTTTTCACCATTGAGAATGATGTTGGCTGTGGGTTTGTCATATATGACCCTTATTATGTTGAGGTAGGTTCCCTCTATGCCTAATTTCTGGAAAGTTTTTATCATAAATGGGTATTGAATTTTGTCAAAAGCTCTTTCCTGATCTGTTGAGATCATCATATGGTTTTTCTCCTTCAATTTGTTAATATGGTGTATCACATTGATTGACTTGCATATATTGAAGAATCCTTGCATTCCTGGGATAAACCCCACTTGATCATGGTGTATGATCCTTTTAATGTGCTGTTGGATTCTGTTTGCTAGTATTTTGTTCAGGACTTTTGCATCTATGTTCATCAGCGATATTGGCCTGTAGTTTTCTTTTTTGTGAGATCTTCATCTGGTTTTGGTATCAGGGTGATGGTGGCCTCGTATAATGAGTTTGGGAGTGTTCCTCCCTTTGCTGTATTTTGGAAGAGTTTGGGAAGCATAGGTGTTAGCTTTTCTCTAAAAGTTTGATAGAATTCGCCTGTGGAGCCATCTGGTCCTGGGCTTTTGTTTGTTAGAAGATTGTTAATCACAGTTTCAATTTCAGTCAACATGTGTTTTTGACTGAGTGCCTGCTGTGTGCCAGCTACCTCTCCAAGGGCTTGGGAAATAGCAGTGGACAAAACAGACATTACACAAAAAGACACCAAAATACACCAGTTTTACAGTATATTAGAAGAGAAAAAGTGATAGGAAAAAACAGAACATGGTAAGGAGGGAAGTTAGGAGGGATGAAAGGTGTTGTCATTGTGAGTCTCCTTGAGGAGGTGTGAGTTCAGAGCAGAGACTTGAAGGAGATAGTCAGCCCAGTTGGCCTCAGGAGGAGGAGGGTGCAGCAGCGGGAGGGCACTGAGTGAGAGCATCCCTGGTGTGTCCATGAGCAGGAAGGAGCATGGGGTGGGCAAAGCTTCTGACTCCGGGTGAGGTGGGAAACCCACCAAGGGTTCCATCTCAACTCTGATATGATTAGCCCCCTCTGGCTACCAGTGAAGAATAGACTGCTGGGAAGCAAGACTGTAAGCATGATGACCACTTGGGAAGGCGGGTTCTCAAGGGGCCGGTAGGTGGAGGAGAGGAGGGGAGAGGAGAGGAGAGGAGAGGAGTGGAGGAACAGAGATCAGAGGTGGGGAGCACACAGCCTGGCGGGCAGGCTGGCGTCTTTGGTAAGTGCCAGGTGTTCAGTGTGGTGGTGTTCTTGGCCACTCCACTCTGCACAGGCGTTTCTTAGGCCTTAATCTGGAGAAGAGCCTTCTTCCTGGGTGCACAGGGTCGTGTTGGCACTGCTGATGTACGTGGGTGGGTTGGGGAGCAGAAGTGGAGGGCTGTCTGGGATGGTTGCCTGAAAGACTTTTGCTTAAGATTTAATTTGAAAAATGTTGATGGGCCAGTAAAAACAATGATAGCTGTAGGTTTGAGGAAGTCGAGTTTTGAGGGGGAGTGATTGTGGTGGTTAATTTAGAGTGCCCTCAACTGTCTCTGTTGTCCTAAAGTTTTAATGGTCACACTACATGTCTTTCGAGGGGTGGGGAGTGGCAGGGGGAGGTTTAAGATATGAAAATTAACTAAATGTCCTGACTTCTTTATTTCATTTTACCATCTTGCTTCCCCCACCACCACCCCTTTTCTTAAAAATATGTTACATAGAGACCTTTATTGTCTTTTTGTTTCCTCATCTTCTCATTTTATTTATTTATTTGCGATATAATTGACATGTAACATTATATTAGTTTTAGGTGTACAGCTTAATTTGATGTTGGTATACATTTGGGAAATGTCACCACCATATGTCTCGTTAACATGTCACCTTATGGAGTTACAAAAAAATTTTTTTTCTTGTGAGGAGAGCTTTTAAGATCTACTCTCTTAGCAACTTTCAAATGTACAATACAGTATTAACTACAGTCACCATGCTGTACATTACATCCTTCAGGACTTATGTTATAACTGGAAGTTTATACCTTTTTTCCCCCTTTACCCATTTCTCCCCCCACCCCTGCCTCTGGGAACCACCAGTTTGCTCTCTGTATCTATGAGCTTGGTTTTTTTGTTTGTGTGTTTTTAGATTCCACTTATAAACAAGATCGTACAGTATCTATCTTTCTCTGTCTGACTTACTTCACTAAGCTTAATACCCTCTAGATTCATCTGTTGTGAATGACAAGATTTCATTTTTTTTATGGCCAAGTGCTATTCCATTGTGTGTGTACACACACACACACACACACACACACACACACACACACACACACTACATTTTCCTTGTTCATCTGTTGATGGGCACTTAGGTTGCTTCCATATCTTGGCAATTGTAAATAGTGCTCCAGTGAACATAGAGGTGCATGTATCTTTTCCAGTTAGTGTTTTCATTTTTGGATAAATACCCAGGAGTGGAATTGCTGTATCATATAGTAGTTCTATTTTTAATTTTTTGAGGAACCTTCTTGCTGTTTTCTATAGCGGCTGCACCAATTTACATTCCCACAACAGTGTAGGAGGGTTCCCTTTTCTCCACATCCTCATCAACACTTGCTGTTTGTTGTCTTTTTGATGATAGCCATTCTGACAGGTGTGAGGTGATACTCATTGTGGTTTTATTTATTTATTTATTTTTAATTATTTATCTATTGGCTGCGTCGGGTCTTCTTTGCTGTGCATGGGCTTTTTCTCTAGTTGCGGCGAGCGGGGGCTACTCTTCGTTGTGGCGCGCGGGCTTCTTATTTTGGTGACTTCTCTTGTTGCAGAGCACGGGCTCTAGAGTGCAGGCTCAGTAGTTGTGGCTCACAGGCTTAGTTGCTCCGCAGCATGTGGGATCTTCCCAGACCAGGGCTCGAACTCGTGTCCCCTGCATTGGCAGGCAGATTCTTAACCATTGTGCCACCAGGGTAGTCCGTCATTGTGGTTTTGATTTGCATTTCCCTGGTGATTAGCAGTGTTGAGCATCTTTTCATGTACCTGTTGGCCAGCTCCATGTCTTTGGAAAAATGTCTATTCAGGTCTTTAGCCCATTTTTTAATCAGGTTGTTTGTGTTTTTGCTATTGAGTTGTATGAGTTCTTTGTATATTTTGGAAGTTAGTCCCTTATTAGGTATATGACTGACATATCTTCTCCCATTCAGTAGGCTGCCTTTTCATCCTGTCGTTTCCTTTGCTGTGTACCACCCCACCACACCTCTTTTTCTGTTTCCTCTACCACGTGACTTTGTATCCATTTATAGCCTTTCCACCCGCCCCTGGCTTTTGTCTTTTGTTTTTTTAAAAAAATTAATTAATTTATTTTATTTTTGGATGCGTTGGGTCTTCAGTTGCTTTGCGCGGGCTTCCTCTAGTTGTGGCGAGCAGGGGCTACTCTTCATTGCGGTGCGCGGGCTTCTCATTGCAGTGGCTTTTCTTATTGCGGAGCATGGGCTGTAGGCGCACGGGCTCAGTAGTTGTGGCTCGCAGGTGCTATAGCACAGGCTCAGTAGTTGTGGCACATGGATTCAGTAGTTGTGGCTCATGCACTCTAGAGCACAGGCTCAGTAGTTGTGGCACACGGGCTTAGTTATTGTGCGGCATGTGGCATCTTCCTGGGCCTGGGCTTGAACCTGTGTCCCCTGCATTGGCAGGCGGATTCTTAACCACTGCGCCACCAGGGAAGTCCCCTCTGCCCTCTGTTTTACTTACTTCTGTTTGATTGGGGTGAAGCTTTCCTATACCTGCCTGCATATGCACCTTTGGATTAAGTGATTGACTCTCTGTGTATTACAGCCGCAATAAAGAGGTAGAGAAACTGGGAGGAAAGTTAGAGTTTGCCTCAGGGGCAGAGGGTTAGGACTTGGAGTCTGTGTAAGAGCCATTTTCATTTAATTCATCCTGGCCAGATTGAAGTCTGGCCCTGGGTTTGTCACATGATGAATTTGTTGCATTTAGCAGCTTTTTCCTGAAGTTCCATCTGCTGGTGAAATGGCTGTGGTGAGCGGGGACAGACTCAAGAGCTTTTGCAGTAGGTTGGGTGGAAAGTTGCCTTTAAGGAAGAACCTTTCCATCCATAGAAACAACAGAGGCAAATGGAAGATGATGATAGAACAGTGGCAGCGGCTAAAGTACAGCTTCAAAGCGTTTGTAGTTCCGAGCAGTAGCTATTTGGCAAATATACAGTAGTATCCTTTAAGTCTGTCTTGTTTTTTGAAAAGCCGAGGTTTTCTCTAGATGTGGTAGATTCACAGATACTTACTTGGGAAAGAAGAAAACTCTGCCTCTTATCACTTGAGAGGCAGAGTAGCAATATATTTGACTTCGGTAGATGTACATCACTGGACCCAAAATGATGGTATTGTTCGTAGGACGCCTGGCTGGTCCCAGAAATGTTTCTTTTCACTCTATCCATTTTTTCTTTTTAAGAAATAACTGATTAAAGGATATTTTATAGATACACCTAAGATAACTAATATTTCATTATTATTCTGTTTCCTAATTTAAAAGTTCTATCTCTAAGAAAAAGAATCAGACAGAAGGTCGACATTTGTCAGGTGCTGTCCTCAAAGAGTCAGCTTTTCAAAGTGATAGAGGAAGAACGGAAGAGGAGCATGTTAGAGCTGCAAAACCTTTTCAGAGCCAAGATCCTTCTGATGGGATTTCACCACTGGAGCAGGAGCAAGGTATTAAACTATTAGAAATCATTCCTTATTGTATATATTTTAATTTCCTTTTTAAAAATCTTTTTATAATTGAAGTATAGTTGATGTACAAAATTACAGAAGTTACAGGTGTGTAGTATGGTGATTCACAATTTTTAAAGGTTATACTCCATTTATTATAAAATATTATAAATATTGGCTATATTCCCCATGTTGTACAATATATTTTTGTAGCTTATTTTATACCTAATAGTTTGTTCCTCTTAATCCCCTACTCCTGTAATGCCCCTCCCCTTCCTCTCTCCCCACCGGTAACCACTAGTTTTTTTCTCTGTCTGTGAGTCTGCTTCTTTTTTGTTATATTCATTAGTTTGTTGTATTTTTTAGATTCCACATATAAGTGATATCGTACAGTTTTAATCTCCTTTCTTATTTTTTGGTCTTTGGACCAGTGTTTATCTTAAACTATGATACTATAAACTGAAAATGCTTTGGTTTGGCACTTACCTATTAATACCATGTTTATAATACTTTTATAGGAAAGGATCTCTTAATCAATCTCTTAATTATCCATACTGATTAAGCTGAAATCTCCTTTCCTGTGGAAACCATGCTGTCTGATGGTCACAGCACACTTCATGTTCAAGACAAGGAGGCTGTTTCTAATACACCTGTCATATTTCCCCTACCAATTACTTTGTATTCTTGTCAGCAGTCATTTTTGTTCCTAAGTTAAAATTTTTACGGGATGTTTGTATTTCTCTTGATGAAAAATGTATATGTATGAAAGTAGACTAGATTAACTCCTCACACAAGAAATGAAAGAAAGTAAGACAAATTGGGCTTATTCAAAATTGAAAACTTCTGTGCTTCAAAAGACACTTTTGAGACAGTGAAAAGACAACCCAAAGATGGGAGAATATGTTTGCAAATCATATGTATATGATCAGGGAGCAGCATCCAGAATATGTACAGAAGTGTTATAGCTCAATAAAAAGACAAATAACCCAGTACTGTAAATGGCAGAGGCTGTTCAGTAGACATTTCTATAAAGAAGTTGTACAGATGGCCAATAGACACATGAGAAGATGCCCAACAGCTGTAATCATCAGGGAAATTCAAAACCAGGGGAGATCAATTCACACCCACTGGAATTACTAGAAGCAAGGAGATGGGAAATAGCAAGTATTGGTTGGAAACTGTGACGCTCATCCATTGCTCGTCGGGATGTAAAATGGTGCTGCTGCTGTGGAAGATAGTTTGACGGTTCCTCAAAACATTAAACGTAGCATTACCCTATGACTCAGCAAGTCCTAGGCATACACCTAAGAGAAATGAAAACGTGTGTCAACACTAAAACTTGTGTACATGAATGTTCATAGCAGCATTAGTCAGAGTAGCCAGAAAGTGGAGACAACTCAGATCGCCATCAGCTGATATATGGATAAATAAAATGCAGTATGTCCATACAGTGGAGTGTTGTTCAGCCATAAAAAGGAGTGAAGTACTGATACCTGTTGTAATAGGATGACCCTTGAAAGCATGCTGAGTGAAAGAAGACAGACTCAGAAAGCCACATTTATCTGAAGGTGAATCCATTTATCCATTTATCTGAAGGTGAATCTGTAGGTACAGAACAGGCAAGTCCACTGACACAAAGTAGATTAGTGGTGCTAGGGCCTGGGGGGCAGGGAGAATGGGGAGTAACTGTTTATGGGTACAGGATTTCTTTCTGGTATGATGAAAATATTGTGGAATTAGTGATAATGGTTGAACAGCTTTGTAAATATACTAAAACCCACTGAATTGTATACTTTAAAAGGGTGATTTTATGGTATGTAAGTTTTATATCAGTTAAAAAAAAACTTCCCCATATACCTCTCTCACAGTTTCAGTTAGTATAAGATTTGTCACACTTGCTTAATCTCTTCTGTTTTTCTATTACCTTTTTTCCTGATATTAAAAAATTCCAGACATCATTTTATTCCTACATATTTTAGCTTGCAAATATGGGCATTTGCCCGTAAAAATACGGGCATTTTCCTACATAACCATAGTGATGTTAATACTGTTAACCAACAATTCTGTTATTATCATATAGTACTCTGGCCCATATTCAGTTTACTAATTATCTTGGTTGGTTTGCTTGGATTGGGGTCCAAGGAGGGTTCCATTGTATTTTGCTCCATCTGTCGTGGTGTCTCTTAGGTCTGTCATTCTGGAGCTGTCCTGCTGTTTGGCATTGTCTGTTTGATCACTCATGGTGTCATTTTTCTTCTCTCTTCCCCACATCCTCTGTAAAGCAGAAGTTAGCTTTAAAGCCTTGGCAGATTCCTATTCAGGTGTTTTTGGCATATGTATAATTTTTTAAGCTTCCCCACCCTAACAGGTTTTTAATTTAACTGACCAGTGATGGGCTCCTATACCATCATTTAAAAGTGCTCTATTCTATTAAAAGGGAAAAAATGTATAGTTCATTAATTTGCTATTTTTGAGTGTTATTGGGCATTTAGTTGATAAAATATTAATAATTTGGTCTTAGTTTTTGTTTTTGTTTACTTTAACAGACTCGCCTATTGATTTTTGTTCACGATCCTGGATGAATAAGGAGAACAAGGTAATCTTTTATATGTTATCAATTTCTAGTATTAGGAGAGTGAAAGTACCTACTTCACAAATATGAATGAAGTAGTATTAATATTACCTAGAAGTCTTCTATTTGTAAATAGGAGAAATCCACCTTACTGCTATGAGTAACCGGGAAGCTGACAGTAGGGCTGGTCTGGGGCTTCCTGTGTCTCCAGGGCTGTCTGCACCTCTACTCTGCTTCACTCCACGCCGACTCCTCTGGAATGTTGGTTCTGTGGAGTGAGGGTTTCTCTTTGTTTCGTGTGTTGCATCCTGAGTGTCCAGCACATAGCTGGCACTTGATAATCTGTTGAATGATAGGGAAGCTGAATTCATTTGTAGGCAACCCAAGTGTTGTGATCAAAAAAACAAGAACATGAAAAAAAAAAAAAGCACAATTCTAATGCGCTCACTTGGGTCCATCCTCCCCTCTGTAAATCACTGTGCCAACGGATGGGTTGGGATAAAACTCTGATTTATGAGGCTGGACCCTACGTCCACTTCTGTGTGTGTGTGCATGCGTGTGCATCAGTGCATATATGTGCATAGATAGAGGGATGTGACTGAAACCACCCACACCTCACCCCCCGGACCACATGAAGTGAAAAGAGAAGGGCTCCTCAGAGGACAGGCACTGAGCAGATAAGCAGTTTGTGTTCAACATAAACCGTCTCATGAGAGTTGTTTATAAAGTATGAACCAAGTATTGATACTTTTAAACTTAAAAAAAGGAAATGCAATTTTTATTTCATTTTACTTTCGTAAGAATTTTTAACATTATTTTGTAAAATGATTAAAAGAGGTCTAAAGTAAGAGTTGTTTCCGTGTGCCAGGGGCTGGCACACTCTAGCTCATTGCCCACATCCAACCTGCTGCCTGTTTTTGTGAAGTTTTATCGGAAAGTAGCCGTGTCCATTTGTTTCTTTATTGTTTATGGCTGCTTTTGTGCCACAACAGCTGAGTTGAGAAGTTGTGACAGAGACTGCATGGCTAGCAGACCCTGAAATGTTTACTGTCTGGCCCTTTGCAGAGAACGTTTATTGACCCCTGCTCTGTACACTTGCTTCCTCTATGTAACCACTAGTAACTTACATATGTGGGTGATGCTTTTTAGAGGAACTTCAGGTGTAGTCAACTTGAAATTCAGTCAGAAGGCTTGATTTCTTGAACACTGAGAAAAATGGTTTCTAAGAGAGAGATCATAACTTTTTCTGTGATACGTAATTTTATTTCCCTAGGATGGTTGAAGAATTAACTTCCTAAAAGTATTAGAAATCATTGATAACAAAGAGAAGGACCATAAAACTAGAAAGCAGGAAGACAAGTATAGACACATGAGATACTTGATACAAAAGGTGAAGAAGTAAGAGCAGGGGGAAAATAAATACACTAGATAACCTAGACCAGTGGGGCCACCACTGCATTGGCCTTGGGTTTAGCATGAGCTGTCCTGGCAGCCATGGCAGCGATTGTCCAAACTGAGTGCATAACTCAGCACTGTGCTCTACAAGTGTGTAAATGGGTTGAGAGCCCGTGTTTTTTCCCAAAATGTTAGTGCGCATTTTGCAGTCTAATTCTTGAGATGGTATTATTTGATATATATTTAATATGATGGTGAAATAAGATTGACACTTGAGGAACTTCACATTTTATTCTGGGCCTTGAAGTGTCCTAGCAAACTGCCATGTGCCTTGTGGCCCCTAGTTGGAGCAGGGACGTCCACTGCCCAGGGTGGGCTGCAGAGTCCAGCTTTGCTGTTACCTGCACCTCCTGTCCAGGCCTTGAGCTGCCCCAGTTCATTTGTGCGTTAGTACACGAACTATATTACCAGGTCCTTTGAGCGTGTGCACACAGTGTGAAACCTTGAACTTTAAGGATGTCTCATTGGGTGGGTCAAGGGAGGTGGGTGACATGGGGGCAGGAAGAAAGTTATTAATATGTGTAAAACAGCTAGCCCTTCATTGCCTGAACTGTGAACCACAGACCTTGAGCACGTTGATGGGCCTTTCTGCAGCCTGTGCTGTGGTCTTCACAGTAGTGAGTGTGCTGCTCTCATTGCAGTTTTATTTCTTATAGGTTGTTGTTCCTGATGCTGGAAAACATTTTGAAGAGAGGAATCCAAACAATGACTTAAGCCATACTAGTTTCCTAGAAAATGAGAAACTGATGTCACTTGCCAGCTTGGAAGATTCTTCTGGTAGCATCACAAAGCTCAACTGGTGTTTTCCTTGTCCTGACCTTGCCACTCCACGTATCTCTGCTGCTTTGTTGCCGTAGTTATTATGCACCTTTTTGTTTCTCTGCCTTCTCCTTTACCTCTTACTTACGAGCACTCAAGTGGCCACTTGTGTTAAGTGATGGGATTTTAGACTTATTTCTCTATAGCAATCCTGATAGGATTATGCTTATCCCTCAGTTGAGTATCATTAAGGTATAAAGTATAAAGCACTGTGTTAAGAAATTAGGGGACAGTGAACTATTTAGCCCCTGCTCTCTGAAAGGACTGCATGTGGCAAGAGAGACGCATAGTTGACCTCCGATTGTGAGAAGTGTATCTCAACGGTACAAGTTGTGTGGGAGTCATAGGAGGGTGACAAGTTAATTCTGACTGAGGAAGGTATCTGTGAGGCTTTATTGAAAGAGGATACAATTCTTCCTTCTTGAAAAGGAGGCCCGTGATAGGCCCTAATGTAGATACCAGAAGAGAAGTACATTCAAAAAGCAGGAACAGCTTCAGCAAAGACACTAAGGTGGGGCATATAGACCATGTTTGGAGAATAGCCAGTGCTTTTGTGTGGCAGGTTTATAGCACCTGTAGGACTATGAATTGGGGAATAAACCCAGAAAATAGGCAGAGACCAAATTATACATGGCTTTGAAGGCCAGGCTGGTGAGCCAAGTGGGATAGATAGAAGCTATAAAATCAGGGCAGGTTTTGCTGCTAGTTTTTAGGTATTTTTAGATTATGGAATTGTTGATGAGGAATTGTTGACCTGAATTTATGCAGATCCTTGTTTTAGTAGGCTAGATTCTCAGAGATGATTGGAAAATTATCCTCTTGAAAAGGCTTACAATACTGTTATAAGTGATTGAGTGTTCTAATTTTGTCCTCCCTTGCCCGGCTGGGTGTTAGAACAATGAAAAGCACTGCCATTATTGTTTTATTTGTCTATTTGCAACTTTTTGGTTTTAGTGGAGGTGGAAAAAATTTTTATCATATCTGTGAGTATTCAGCTTTGTTATATCTTTCTTTGTTTCTTCATTTTCAAGATCAGATACTGTTTGAGGTTTCATTTTACAATTAATTATTAATTCACCTGGAATTTGGTTTTACTTCTATGGCAGGCTTATCTTTTCTTTTTTGACTCACTTGCCACAGTACTTTCTGAATAATCTGCCCTTTTCCATTGCCACACTTACTATATTCTAACTTTTGATGTATGCCAGGACTTGCTTCTGTGCTGTCTTCTCAATGAAGGTTAAATATTAGTTTATATTAGAATGCTCATGATGACTTATAGACTGAAATTACAATGGTTTTTTTCATGTCAAATGTTAAGGCAAAATCATGTAGACTATTGACCCATGTGTTTTATCAACCTTTTTGATTATATATTATTTACAGTTCAGTCACTACTTTAAAGCCTGTCCTATTTTCTCCTCCATTTTACCAATTAGATGATGATATCGATGATGAAGAGTTTTATGATGATCATTTGGAGGCTTATTTTGAGCAACTGGCAATTCCCGGAATGATGTATGAAGGCCTAGAAGGACAGGAATCTTCAGAAAATTATTTTAAGTTACCTGCAAGTGATCCTAGTCAGGTATATTCCAAACTTTCTGGTTTTTCAGAAATTTGACATTAGAAAATCATTACTGGACTCAATGGATATTAATAAAACTTAAGCTTTTGGTTTTCTTTGGATTCTGTTTTCCCCAGATACAAACTGATGAGAAATACCTTTCCTGTCCTTTCCTGCTACTGCTTACCTTTCCCTCACCTATAGAAAAATTAAAAGAATGGTGCACTGAACATCTGTATACTCTTGTCCAGATTAGCCAGTTGTGAACATTTTTTTTGCCATCTTTGTGTTTTCTTTGTCCCTCCATAAGTACTTTTTTACTGAGTCATTTAAAAGTAAGTTGCAGGGCTTCCCTAGTGGCACAGTGGTTGGGAGTCCTCCTGCCAATGCAGGGGACATGGGTTCGAGCCCTGGTCTGGGAAGATCCCACATGCCGCGGAGCAACTGGGCCTGTGTGCCACAGCTGCTGAGCCTGCGCCCTAGAGCCCGTGTGCCACAACGGCTGAAGCCCGCGCGCCTGGAGCGCGTGCTCCACAACGGGAGGGCACCACGGTGAGAAGCCTGGGCGCCGCAGCAGGAAGTGGCCCCCGCTTGCCACGGCTGTGGAAAGCCCATGCACAGCAACAAGGACCCAACACAGCCAAAACTAAATAAATAAAATAAATTTATTTTTTAAAGTAAGTTGCAGATATTATGACATTTCACCCTAATACATCTGCATTTACCTCCTGTGAATAAGGACTTTTTCCTACATAATCACAATTCTCTTATCTAACTTTGATATTGTGATTTAAATTAATATACAGTTCATATTCAAATTTATCCACTTGTCTCCAAATGTCCTTTACTTTTGTTGTTTTTGATCCAGGCTTTAATCAGGGATTACACTTGTATTTGGTTGCCATGACTTGGAGTTCTTTCATGTCATTAAACTTTTTGTAAAATCTAGGCCTGTTGTTTTATAAAATGACCCATATGGTAGATATAGCTGACTGCTTTCCTCCTCCTGATTAGATTGAACATTTTCCCCTTGAACAGATTGACTCTAAACATAAGCATTGTTGTATACTCTGTGTCCCATTGGGAGGCCTGTCAGCCCACTTGTCTCCTGTTGGTGATGCTGTTGGACCATCTTGATGAATATGGTGTTGGCCAGATGCCTCCTTGACCCCCTTTGTTATCAGGAAGTAGTCTGTGGGATTTCAGTTACTTTCATTGCCTCCTCCTGAAACCCCACCTCCTAAGAGACCTTTGGATTGCTTTTATTTTTCCCCTTCTCCTCACATTTCCTAACTCTCAAGTTTTGCTGAGTTACACTGTCCAAGTGTAGACAGAGACCTATTTTTATTTTTTTTAATTTATTTATTTGGGTGTGCCGGGTCTTTGTTGTTGCTGCGTGTGGGATCTTCCTTGCAGCATGTGGGATCTCTAGTTGTGGCACTTGGGATCTTTAGTTGCAGCATGGGAACTCTTAGTTGCAGCATGTGGAATGTAGTTCTCTGACCAGGGATCGAACCTGGGCCCCCTGCATCGGGAGCGCGGAGTTCTAGCCACTGGACCACCAGGGAAGTCCCAACAGAGACCTATTTTGTGTTGAGGTTTCAAAACTATCAGAGCAGCTGTATACCCCCGACTCGCCCCCCTCCGCTTTTTTTTGGACAAACCCTTGTGACTTTCAATAGCAGCGAGGGAGCTGCTCTGCTCCGTAGGAAACCCTTACCTGGAATTGGTCACCAACCAGTGGCTTCACTTCAGGTTTCCTCTGCCTCCACCTGGGAGGGTTGTCGCATGGCCATGGTCAGTCACAGTCCCACAGGTGGTAGCTTCGCCCTGTTGGCCTGCAGAGCACATGGATTGTCTGCATTCTTTATTCAGTGTTTTCAGGTGCTTTGCAGAGGAGAGAGCTGGTTTCCTATGTTCTGGTTCTTTTTAGTCTTTGTTAGTATCCTATGTGAAAAATAGTTGTCTAATTTAAATGTCAGTTCTTTGTCTCCTTTGTCTTTTTTTCTATTGGGATATTCGTATTTTAACTCTTGTTTTTATAAGCTTTCTGTGTTAAGGAGATATTTTGATCTTTATTTTTTTATTTTGATTTTTGGCTCGGACAGGAGACATATATCTCCTCACAGTTCTGGAGGCTGGGAGTCCGGATCTAGGTGTGGGCAGGGCTGGTTCCTCCTGAGGCTTCTCTCCTTGGCCTGGAGACGGCAGCTTCTCCCTGCGTCCTCACAGGGTCTCCCTTTCCTGGTCCTCATGTATTTCAGGCTTTAGTGTTTTTGTTAGTTTCCTAGGCCTGCCAGAACAAATTACCAGAATTTTGCTAGCTTAAAACAACAGAAATTTATTTTCTCACAATTCTTGAGGCCAGAGTCTGAAAACAAGGTGTTGAAAGGGCTAAGCTCCCACCAGAGGCTCCTTCCTGCCTCTTGCAGCCTCTGGGGCTCTGGTGTTCCTTAGTTCAGGGCAGCGTCACTCCAGTATCCACCTCCATTTTCATGTGGCCTGTCCCTCTCTCTCTGTGTCCCTCTGAGGTCTTCCTCATGGGGTTTAAGGCCTGCCCCAAATCCAAGATGATCTCAAGATCTTTAACTTAATTGCATCTGCAAAGACCCTGTTTCTGAATAAGGTCGCAATTTGCAGGTATCACCTGGGGGTAAGACTTGGACACATCTTTTTTGGGAGATTCAATTTAACCCACAGAAATTTTATACTACGAAGATATTATTCACTGAAGAATATAAAACTATCCATCTGTATTTCCTCCTAGTACTTTTACATGTAAATCTTTAAGTCATCTGGAGTTTTATTTTGAGATAAGGTAGAGATTGTTTATTTTTTGTATAACGTTGTTGCAAAATCACCCGGTTAATAAATGGTGGCACTGGAATTTAAATGTATGATCTTATTTCAAAGTCTGTGTCTTGTCTTTTATATAGAACTACCTCCTTTTAGTATCCTAACTTTGAAAAACCTTGCCTATGAGGCTGTTTTTGTTGTTAATACATCTTATAGCAGAAAAGACTGCTGTTTTAAGGCTTCATTGGCACTTGAGATAGTGGTGGCTGAGTGTCTGAGAAGAGGGTTGTGGGCATGCAAGTCCCTTTCAGCAGTTGTTATTTTAGGAAAGAGTGAGCAGTGCCCTTTGGGAAGGTATGTTGGAGAGCGTGGTTTTGAGGCACTGGCTTAATCTGCCGTGTTTGAGGCAGTTGTTCTTGAACTCTTCAGGGTTGTTTGTAGTATTTGCTGTTTTACTCCTATTAAAAGTTATTAAGGGACTTACCTGGTGGTCCAGTGGTTACGACTTCATGGTCCCAATGCAGTGGGCCCGGGTGTGATCCCCGGTCAGGGAACTAAGATCCCACATACCACAGCTAAGCCCGCGTGCTGCAACTAGAGAAACCTATGCACCACAACGAAGAGCCTGCGCAGCCAAAAATGAATGAATGAATAAATAAAATAAAAATAACTTAAAGTTATTAATATTTGTGTTTTCAGAGTCTGTTAATAATATTAATTTTATGAGTCTGGCCACACTGATGGTCTTCCCATCCTTTTAGAGACTTTCAGTGATAATTACAAAAGTTAAACTGACATTTCTAACATCCTGTGCTGTAGTGAGCATATTGTCCCCACTTTTGGTATCTGAATCTGTTGGTGTGTGTTTGCCATGACCACATTTTGAATTTTGGTTTTGGTAAGTTCCTTACGATTGGTCCACATATAGTCTGGAAGAATATTGTGTAGTCTGTTCCTTTCTAGAATAAATATATTATGTCAACTGTATAACTTTTTTGGTTGTTTTGGAACGAGTTATGAAAAACAAAACTTATTTCTGGTCTGTTATTTAATTTTTAAAGGAAAGCGGAAGAGAAGAAGTTCTGGCGAAGACTCTCAGGGCTGCTAATGCGAAACTTAACCCGGTTTACTTTCACGACACAAATGCCAGTAAAGGTGATTTTGGATTGATAGACCCTTTAAAGCTGGATGCAGGATCTCCTCATCAAAATAAGCATTTGGCGTCAGACTCAGAAACAGTTTTGCCTGTGGATAGATTTTTAGACACTGAGATGCCTCAAGTGTCCATTCAAAAAAATGTGGATGTAGCATCTTTGAAGTCTGTTAGTGACAATGCATTTAATTCCGCTGACGCTCTGTGGTCACCCACTAGTGAAAGGCAAACGTGTGAATGTTATGAATCCGTTGGAAAGAGCAAGGACCGTAAGTGGGCCTTTTTTTTTTTCCAAAATAAAAGTAAGAAGTATGTAAAAATGCTTATACACATTTTGAATAGGATATATTTCCAAGTGAAACTTCCTTAATCTTTCATATTAAAATATTTAAGTGTTCTGTGGATTAAAAAATGGTGTCTTTACTCACAGATCTGGTGGAAATGTGCCTTTCTAACTATTAGTCATCTTTTCCTTCCTCCCTCTCCTCCATGATGGACTTTTACTGTGATTAAGGCTGGATTTTTCACCATCAGAGAGATACTTTTCTTTTGGGGAAATGGATTTTCCTTTAATTAGTTTTGGGCAGATTTCAGTACTGTTGATAACTAAGATAAGTCAACTAAATAAAATTAAGAATATTCTATCATTTTATTTGTTGCATGTGTCATTGGATGTCTCTGGAATTTTATTTTCTAGAAACGGATCTATCACAGAGTGTGGTCTATCAGAATGAGGAGGGCAGATGGGTCACTGATCTTGCCTATTACACAGCTTTTGATAAAGAACAAGATGTAAATGTGTCTCTAAGTGATGAGATGAATGAAGACTTCAGATCTGGCTGTAAGTGTATTGATAGCCTCTGCTCTGAACCATTTTCATTTTCTGACGGTGTTCTGAGATTACCATGTACATCTTGGTCGGCCACATCAAATCCCTTCTGGATACGTACTTAGCACTTCACTTGTTTCTCTAGGAACAGAGGCTTGAGTCAGTCATTGCTAATCACTGGACTGAGCCGAGCCTTTCCCTAAGTAAGGACAGTGAGTCACTTTAGAGCATGTGTGTTGCAGTTAGTAGCACCTTAGGCTTTACTTTCTCACTTTATAAATTGTCTTGAACAAAAGAACTATTCTGATAAATGGGCAGTTCCAAAAGCCAATCCATTTTAGAGTAAAAGCTCAGTAATGAAGAAACGGGAGAAAAGTGTCGAGAAAGATAAATGAAATCTCAGAGGATGAGAGCATTAGGAACCTCAGTTAGATTTGTTAATTAGCAGAATCTCTGACCGTGAAAGGAAAACGCTGCAGAACGCACAGCATTGTGAGCCTTGGCCTGTGGACATTTGCTGTGCCACTGAGGCCTCTAGGGCCTGAGCGCCTTTAAACCCGGAATGAGGAAAGACAACAAGGAGCCTGTCAAGCCCAGTCGTACTTTTCTTTTTTTTTTTTGTGGTACGTGGGCCTCTCACTGTTGTGGCCTCTCCCGTTGTGGAGCACAGGCTCCGGACGCGCAGGCTCAGCGGCCATGGCTCACGGGCCCAGCCGCTCCGTGGCATGTGGGATCTTCCCAGACCGGAGCACAAACCCGTGTCCCTTGCATCGGCAGGCGGACTCTCAACCACTGCACCACCAGGGAAGCCCCCCTCAGTCTTATTTTTAATAGGCTCAGAAGGTGCCAGAGGAAGAAGTTACTCTAACAGCTGCTTGTACTAAGCTGTTCCTAATGTCCATTGATGTGGAAGTACAGAGATCAGTCGATAAGGCATGTTTCCAGCCCTTAGGAAACTGTCCATCAGCTAAGAGGGATAAGATGAGAATACAGAACAACAGCATCGTTTGGAGTTGAGAGGAGGAATAACTTTTGCATGAGTGGGTAGCAGAGGATTTTATATAGGAAGTGGATTTTGAGGTAGAGTTTCAACAGGTAAATATTTTGGGCATGAGAAGTTCCAAGTGGATAGAAAACCCAAAGAAAGAGGATGAGATGAGGAAGCATGGGCGTGTCTTGAGAATGGTAAATAACCCAGCGTGGCTGGCATTTACGGCAAGACATGGGAAGGGGAGAGTAACGCGACATGGTGAGATGAAGCCAGAGTGGTAAGACTGGGCCAGGGATCGGGTGGGGCTGGACTGCATGCTGAGCCGTGCCTGGTGGGCACTTGGGAGCCTCTGAAGATGCTTGTCCAGCTTGCTTTGTGAGTCTCCCTCTGGCCTCGATGGTCGGTTAAATGGTAGGTTCCTTAGGGTGTTGTAGAAATCGGGGTGTCACAGTGAGAATGAGAAGAAAATAGCTCATGAGGGACGTGGAGATAAAATTGCTAGGATTTGGTGACTGGATTTCAGCGGATAGTAGAGAGGTAAGTAAAGATGGGGGTTTGGGGTCTAAGTTATTTTGAGAAAATGGCAGTACCATTAACTGAGATGGGAAAAATCAGAAGACATGGTAAAATTTTGGATGATTGTGGTTTGAGGTGGGGATATTCAGTAGTTGGAAATATGAGTCAGAAATTGGAGGTTAAGGTATAGTTGTCAGTGATATCTTGATTTACAAAGGACAGTAGGCACAGGCTGGACACTGGTTAGGGACCCTGTCACTTGAAAAGTCATCAGTTGTGGAATTTTCATGTGTTGCTGGTGAGAGTGTGAATTGATAAAACCATTTGGAACTTGTTTGGCAGTATCTTATGAAGGTGAACTTTACGAACTTCATAGTTTATGACCCAATAATTCTACACCCAAGTATATACCTAGTGTTCAGGGTGTATATATTCACCAAAAGACATACACTAAAATGTTTGTAGCAGCACTATGTGTATTAGTCTCAAACTAGAAACTCCCAAATTCCCATTGACCTTGGAATGGATTGTGTTTATACCTACTTTGGAATGCTGTGTAGCAATGGGAATGAAGGATGTGTAGCTACTTGCGGCAGCGTGATGAATTTCACAAACATGTTGAATGAGATAAGGCTGACTAGCAATATATGCCGTGTATGTAGCCAGCTCTGTGGAGTAAGAAGCAAGGATAGTGGCTACCCTCGGGTTGGCATGCCATGACAGGAGGCAAGCTCAGGGGGCGTTTTGGGTGCTGGCATGTTTTCTTTCTTGATCTGGGGTGTTGATCTGGCAACACAGATGTGTTCAGATTGTGAGAATTCATTGAGTTGCACACTTATGTACACTTTTTAATGTATATTATACTTTGGTAAAAAGTTTTTAAAAGTTAGTGATGAAGCTGAGAAAAAAATTTGCAATTCATATTACAGAGTGAGGGCCCATTTCCCAAATATGTAAATTGTGCTAATAAACAAGAAAAAGACCAACTACTCAGTGTAGAACTGGGCAAAGGGTGTAAACAGCTTATAGAAAAGGAAATTAAAAGTCAGTTCCCCTGGGAACTATTCTTCAGCTACACCTGCACAGATATATAGGATGTGTGTGTACATTGTTCATCATCACAGAAGGTTGGAAGCAACGTGGATGTACAAAACAGGAACTAATTAGATAAGGTACATCTATACGAGGGGGTACCCTGTGGCCGTAATAAAAGGAAACGGAGCTCTTTAGGTACTGGTAAGGGAAAGATCACCAAAATAAATTATTTAAAATCTTATTCCGACATTTGCATAAAGAGGTGGAAGAAGGAAAGACATACATATTTGTAAATACATACAGTGGAAAGATTAAAAAAAAAGAAACTAATTACAGGGCTCCCTAGCTACTTGTAGAACTCAAAGGTCAGTAGGTTCTCAACTAGTGAGGGGTTTCACGGGGTGCTGCATATGTTGGTTGCTTCTGGAGGTGTGGGAAGTGGGACCAGTGATGAGGGAGACTTGCAGTATTGTATTCTGTTACGTCTTTTGGTTAATTTCTAAGAACTCTTTTTTTTTGCGGTACGTGGGCCTCTCTTGTGGCCTCTCCCATTGCGGAGCACAGGCTCTGGACGCGCAGGCTCAGTGGCCATGGCTCACAGGCCCAGCCACTCCATGGCATGTGGGATCTTCCTGGACCGGGGCATGAACCCGCGTCCCCTGCATACCGCTTTGCCACCAGGGAAGCCCTAAGAACTCTTTATTGAAGCAGAATGTACCTATGCCTTCTGCATTTAGAACTATGTGGGCATGTTACTATTAAAGGTGAAATATGATAAAATAGATAGTGGAGGAATTTCATGAAACCATCTGTGTGGTTAGGGAATGAACAGAAGCTGAGTAGGAAAGGATGACTAGCACTGGTGGTGAGGAAATGGAGAAGATGATTATTGAAAACTATGGAAAAGTTTGATGGGAGGAAAGAAAGGATGAAGTAGTCAAGGGGAATTGGGCTGGGGGAGCGTGAATGGAATGGGAGACTTTATACGACGGGAAAAGAAATGTTGAAAATGTAAGAGGAGATACTCAGAAGAGGAAGCTTGGACCAAGGGCATAATTTTATAATAACAAGGCAGTTTTATTTATTTATAAATGAATAATTTAATTTTTTTGGCTGTGCCGTGCAGCTTGTGGGTTTTAGTTCCCTGACCAGGGATCGAGCCCATGCCCCCTGCAGTGGAAGCATGGAGTCCTAACCACTGGACCTCCAGGGAAGTCCTCAAAGTAGTTTTGAATGAAACTTAAAACTTCCCCATTCCCACTTCCCCATTTCTGCCTCCCCCTCTCTGACAGCTCAGCCATGTGAGCTGCCACTTCTGCTTGTGGCCTAGGATTTAAACATCGGGCAGGGGATGGGGAACGGTATTGCTGCTTCAGAATTTAACAACAAAAGCGTTCAGGTGGCACTGGAGAGGACTGTGTTTGCAGATTTGGCAAAAAATTGGGCAGAGATTCTTGTAAGAAATGAAGTTCTGCTTTTTTATAATCTGTGAGTGATTTCTGATGAGCATACATGGTAACAATGTCACTGTAGACTTTTCTTTAATTGAAGAGTCTTAAAGTCCAGAGAAAAAGTACTCAGGAGTATAATAAAATAGCATTTGGAGCTGTTTACTTAATGATTTTAAAAATACAATATTTTAACTCATTGAAGTAAATTAAGTTTTTCTGGGTTACCTTCTTACGATCTGATTTCCTATTTACCCTCTCCTGGCTTTTAGATTTGGTTGGTTGATACTTTTCACACTTTAGAGCAGTGGTTTTTAACACTTTGAGTCATGGACCCCACAGAGAATCTTCATAGAAAAATATTTCCTGTGGAAGAAGGAAATATTGTGACTTCTGGAGCTTCCTGGCTCTCCCGATGCTCGTTCATAGACTTGTAGGCTCAGAACGTGTTTATGTGGGAGGTGGTGGGATCGCAAAGTAAGGAACCAGCACTGCCCTGACAAGTCAGAATCCTGAGCTACTTCTGGTGGGTGTTCTCCTCTCCCTGCTGGAAACAGCCTCCTGTGTCTGTTCTCATTTTGTCTCTCAAGGTGTTAGTGTTGGGCCCTCAGGGCTTCCAGAAGGGTAGTTTGGATTGGGTTAGCCCCTGATGGACTGATGAGAGTAGGGACATCTATCTTGTTTGGGCCACGAGTGGACTGTCCCTTCTGGGTTGCTGTTCACTCCTCCCCTTCCAGCCACTCAGCCACTGTCTGGAAGCACCAGGCAGAGGCAGAATGGGTAGCAGATGGGAAGTCCAGAGTCTAACCTGCAGACTTTTCTGATTCAGCCAACATGTTTAAAATCCTTTTAAATTCTAATGCCTTAAGCAGGATCATTTGCTGTTCAGCCTGCCTCTGTCCTCTCTCCCCATTGTGTTACACCTGGCCCTCTGCTCACTTACCACAGCCTTGTGGCCTTGGCCTAGAGATGGAGGGCTGCGTGCCCATTGGTTTCCCTAAGGTGAACTGAGTTGCTCATTCAGAACTTTGAGGGCAGACACTGGGTGAACACTTGTTCCTGTTTGCCTAGGCTATGGGGTTTGCTGGGATGTGGGATATTTCCTTTCAAAAACTAGGACGGGGCTTCCCTGGTGGCGCAGTGGTTGAGAGTCCGCCTGCCGATGCAGGGGACACGGGTTCATGCCCCGGTCCGGGAAGATCCCACATGCCGCGGAGCGGCTGGGCCTGTGAGCCATGGCCGCTGAGCCTGCGTGTCCGGAGCCTGTGCTCCGCAACGGGAGAGGCCACAACAGTGAGAGGCCCGCATACCGCAAAAAACAAAAACAAAAACAAAAACTAGGACAGTCCTGGGTGTTGGGACAAACAGGTAGTTGGCACCCCAGCAGACATCTTCATGACAAATTTACATAGTGGCTTGTCCATCTGATGTTCCAGATGAAATTCCATGGGTATTCATGGGCAGGTACCTTAACTCATGTGTGCCAAACTGCAAGGCTGAAGTTAATGTGAATCTTTTATAAAAAGCTTACATTATAAAGCCCCATTAGTAAGTTAGGACAAGTTAGTACCTGATGAAATCAATCACAGTAGGGTGTTTATTACCAAAAGTTTCAGAACCACATGCTCTTATTGTGCTTAATACAGATGCATCAGTTCTGTGATGGAAGCTTTCACATACTTCTTTCAGTTTTATTTCTTTAATATTTCATTTTCCTAACTATGTTATATTTATATGCTAGTATTTAATTAGGCATCAGTGCAATATAATTATAAAACTTATTCTTTTTTTAAGCTGATGCATTGGATTTGATTGCACAAGATGAAGAAGAATTTAATAAAGAGCATCAGTTTATGCAGGTTTGTATTTTATTGACATTAACCAAAGTTTAGAGTTTTTCTTGTATTTAAATGTAGGCAAAATGTTCATTTCTTTCTGAAAAGATACATAGTGAGTATAGAATTATATCTTGATTTTTCTCATGTTTAGACAATTTCTGCCTTTTCCTTCAGACTCTAAATTATTAATTGAGAAAAAGCTGGCATACTGAAATAATGTTTATTAGTTCACTTAAAATTGCCTTAATAGGCTTCAAAGATATTGTTTTTTACCATGTTTTAAAATGAGGGAGTTTAGTGCTATTCGTTTTTATTTGAAGATGTACTCCTTTCTAAAGATTTGTATTAATGACAATCAGTCTTTGACTTAAGCAATATGTTAAAACAATGCATATCATAACTCAGGTATTAAAAAATTTCTCTTTTTCTGAACTTTATTACCTTTATTAGCTGCTTAAGCTTGAACTTGTCCACATTTTAAAAAATTTTAAATATTTAAATTTCCTTAGTGAAATTTGTATTTTTATATATTAGAAAAACAGAAGGCTTGCTGGAGAAATGAAATGAAATGATGACTTTCTTCCTAGGAAGAAAATATAGATGCCCAGAACACTTCAGTTGCCCTAGGGGATACATCGTGGGGAACTTCAGTCAATTATGGTCTGTTGAGGAGATCACTTAGCACATCAGATTTGGACAAAGACGATGCCACTTATTTACGTCTGTCTTTAGGAGAGTTCTTTGCTCAAAGGTCTGAAGCTCTCGGTTGCCTTGGTGGTGGTTACAATGTGAAAAGAGTAAGTACCATGTGTTCTAGAAGTGGTTAAATTCACTTGCCCTTATGTTTTGAAGGTTATGATGGTGTAGCTAGATCAGAGTATCTTTAAAGCAGAGACAGGATAGGGACTGCATGGTGGAATAGTGGTAAAGAGCTTCAGTTTTTTAGTGGCTGTACCCTGACTGCAGTCCTAGCTCTGTCCTTTAACTAGTTCTGTGGCATGGAACAATGTATTTAACTCCTCTGTGCCTTGATTTTCCAATTTCTAGAATGGAATACTGCCTTATAGAGTTTTGGGGGGGATACTGTGATAGTGCACGTACAGTGTTTAGCACGGCCTCAAGTGCATTAAGTACTCCATCCCTGTTAGTTGCTGTTTCATTGGTTGCTGATGTTATATCATTGGTTGTGGGAAGAATTCAAAGATTCATTTTTTAAACCTCTGGTCTAAAAACATGTTTTGAAATATAGGAGTGTTTTGGTTTTTTAAAATGTACATGTAAAAAGTTTTAAATGCAAGTGATAGTGGTAGATTGTATGAAGGAGTGAGGAGAAGCTGTGTCGCCTGTGAGGGTCAGAGTGGTGTCTGAGGAGGGGCACTGGGGTGGTGCCCGAATGGTGGGGAGGAGGCAGCGTGTTCCCAGAAAAGTCTTGGAGGTGGGAGCTGGAGGGTATATCGGAGAAGCAGAGAGTAGGCCCACAGCTCGTGTGAGTGGGCTTCGGGTCGGTGGTCTGATGGCAGAAGTAGACAAGGGCCAGGTCATGAGGGGCCCTTGCAGGGCTCGGGTTCATCTCAAGGAAACTTGCTTGGAGGCAGGGTGCCCGGCCCATCTCCAGGTGTGACAGGAGCCGGTGGAGGAGGTTCCTGAGCCTCAGAGGAGGAGAAGCAGGCAGAGGCTTAGCACGTGGCGGAGATGCCATGAAGGCCGAGGCCTAGGATGGCAGTACGGAAACAAAAGTTCTAGGGTTCAGGATTTCCTCTGGAGGTAGAGTCGAAGGACCTGTTGGTGAATTTCATGGAGGGACATAGTGCTGTCGGAGGGAGTGTGTATTAAAGTAGGATTTCACTAAGAGTATAATTTTAAACAGCTAGGGTGTTAGAAGTTGACTTACAGGAAAATTTGAAACTGAACTGTGGGTCCTGTCTATGCAGTGAATTAAAGAATGAGAGTAAATACTTAGGCAGATTTTTCTGCCTGGATGGATTGGTTTTGACATTATAAGAGAAGTTGAAGCATAACTGAATTCCTTTCTGAACAGCTGGACAAAACACCATACAGTGGAAAGATGGATCTGTCATTTTGTATTAGTTATGAAATGTTACTTGGTTCAAGTTGCTGGATCAAGGGAGGAAATCCTCGAGTGAAGATTGATCAAAAATTGAGTGCATTAGTGAATTTGCTTTTCAGGTCTATCATGAGAGCTCTGGAAGGAAGCCAGGTGGGAATTCCCTGCCCTTGAGCAAGGTCCGTGAATGTGACCTTCTGAACGCTCATCTAGGGCAGTAGGAATGTATCTCATCTTAATACAGATTTTCAAGGACATATTTATTGTGTAAAATAAAATACGCTTGTAAGTACTGTAAGTTCCAGGAAGACAGGAAGTTTTATATCTTTTTTCTCACTGACATGTCACTGATGATTATTACCAGTGCCTGACACATAGCAGGTGCTCAGTAACAATTACTGGAGGAACAAAGTATCATTTCTGGGTTGTTTTAATTTGGATTTCTTAGTAAGGGCAAATTATTTGATAATATTCATTCTGATGATTAAAGATAGCTAGCAGTAAGGAAATAAAAGGTCCTGTCTGGACTTGTAAAGTTCATTTCTAGTAATTTATGTTATTTTGTGTTTTTTTGTTTGTTTGTTTTTGGCTGCGTCGGGTCTTGACTGCAGTGCGCGGGCTTCTCTCTAGTTGCGGCATGTGGGCTCAGTAGTTGTGGTGTGGGGTCTTAGTTGCCCCATGGCATGTGAGATCTTAGTTCCCTGACAAGGGATCGAACCCGTGTCCCCTGCATTGGAAGGTGGATTCTTAACCACTGGACCACCAGAGAAGTCCCAACATACGTTTAAATGGAAAAATCAGAATCATTTTGTTGAAATCAATTTTAGCTAGGTTACCACTATTAGGATAAAATAGTCTAGAATTTCTCAAAGCAGTTGAAAACTAAGGAAATAATTGGCATGTTTATTTTGTAGCCATCATTTGGTTATTTTATTAGATCACCAGAGAAGAGAGAACCTATTGCTCTAATAAGAAAATCAGATGTATCAAGAAGTAATTTGGAGAAAGAAATGGCTCATCTTAACCATGGTCTATTTTCAGGTAATGGATTAAATGAAGTTTTTTTTTAACCTGTAAGTTAGTGGTTGTGTGATCATGTTCTTTATGTGGAAGAAAGTAATGTATATACCACTTTGAATTTTTTGAGTATTAGTTACAGATTTGATTTTTATATAACTTCACATTGCCTTTTCAATCTAAAGTAGAAACAAGTCAGCCAAAATTCACCTAAATCCTTTTGTAAGAACAAAAGTAAATGAAATACAATCTGTTCAAGTGGTTGGGTTAACTTTGGCCTATTAAACTGCTGAGTTAATGAATTTTAGCTATTATATTTATTATTTAGGTGGACTTTTAAAGAGAAGTTCTCAGATTTGGACTGTGATAGTATAAATATGATAAATATTGTGATGAATATTTAAAATCAGACTTTCTTGGTTAACATAACAATTATCAAGCAGCTACTTTTTGCTAGTATAATGCCTCGTGCATTGTATCATGAAATTGTATAAAATGTGCTTTAGTCCTTAAAGAGCCTATATTCCAGTGGGGGGTGGGGGGGTTGGGATATTTAGTGGTCCTTATCCCACGGATTGTTTCTGTGAGATAGTATATAGATGTAAGTTGAATATTACATATTTTCTACAGGAGATTTAAAGGCACAGCTAAGTGAAGGATCAGTTACACTTCAGGCTGAAGAACTGGAGAGTATTTCACAAGTGGATGAAAATGATGTGACATTAACTGCCAATAAAGGGAAAACAGAGGTATTTTAAGCCTTTCATGAAGGAAAGCTAAAACCTCGCTGTCATAATTCTCATACAAGATCAAGATAAAGTCACATGTAAAAAATGCATAACATTTTTCTTACTCAATTTTATTACAAGTATCCTTTAAATATTATCAGTGTACAATAAATGTACGAAGAGTTTATAAAACAAACTTACAGTCAGTGAGTTATCACAGCTTATACACCCATGTACACCCCAGGTCAGGAAAGAGAGCGTTGCCCACAGCCCAGGAGCCATTTTTTTGTTCCTTCTGAACACTACTTCCTCCTGTCTGACCTATGACACTGTATCAGTTTCACCCGTTTGTGAACTTTATATACAAGAAATCATGTAGTAGCATATATATATATTTTTTAAATATAAATTTATTTATTTGTTTATTTTTGGCTGCGTTGGGTCTTTGTTGCTGCGTGCGGGCTTTTCTGTAGTTGCAGCGAGTGGGCGCCACTCTTCGTTGTGGTGAGCGGGGGCTACTCTTTGTTGCGGTGCGTGGGCTCCTCATTGCATTGTGGTGGCTTCTCTTGTTGTGGAGCACAGGTTCTAGGCACGTGGGCTTCAGTAGTTGTGGCTTGTGGGCTCTAGAGCGCAGGCTCAGTAGTTGTGGCGCACAGGCTTAGTTGCTCCGTGGCATGTGGGATCTTCCCATACCAGGGATCGAACCTGTGTCCCCTGCATTGGCAGGCAGATTCTTAATCACTGTGCCACCAGGGAAGTCCCAGTAGCATATATTTGTCTTCGTTTTTTTCCACTTAGGTTTGCAAGATGCAACTGTGATAAGTATAATAGTTAATTTTCATTGCTGTATTGTATTCTATTACGAATATTCTGTCATTGATATATTCACCCTACTGTTGATGGATATTTGGGATCTGTCTTATGTCAATATGACACTGTTAAAATAGTGTAGTTTTATAGTAGGTCTTGATATCTAGCAGAATAAGTCTTCCCCTCTTATTTTTCTTTAAAAGTATCTTGGCTGTTCTTGTTCTTTACATTCCCATATATATTTTGAAGTCAGATTGTCACCTTTCACAACCAACTAGCAACCCTGCTGAGCTTTAAGTTGGGATTGTGTTTAATCTGTAGAACGGTGAAACTGACATCTTTATAATATTGAATCTTCTAATCCAAGAAGATTACAGGTCCCTCCATTTAAGTTCTAATTCCTCTCTGTATTTTTTTTTTTTTTTTTTTTTTTTTTTTTTTTTTTTTTTGGGCCTCTTTTTTTTTTTGTCTCTCCCGTTGCGGAGCACAGGCTCCGGACACGCAGGCTCAGCAGCCATGGCTCACTGGCCTAGCCGCTCCGTGGCATGTGAGATCTTCCTGGACCGGGGCACGAACCCGTGTCCCCTGCATCGGCAGGCGGACTCTCAGCCACTGCGCCACCAGGGAAGCCCTCCTCTCAGTATTTTATGGGGCTTTTTTTGTGCAGAGATTTTAACACATCATTTGTTAGATTTCTTTCTGAATTGTTTGAAGTGGTGTTTTAATATTATCTTTCTGAACTTAATTTTCCCTTTGTTGTGGCTAAACAGAAATACATGTTTTTTAATATACTTACCTTATATCCAGCAAGCGTGCTAAATTCATTTTTATTTATGGATTCTTTGGATTTTTCTGTATATGCACTTACATTATCTGAGAATACCAACAGTTTTGTTCCTTTCTAATTTTTATGCCTTCATTTCTTTGTCTGGCCTTACTTGACTGCATCTTAGAACAGTGAATAGAAGTGGTGATGTTGGGTTTCCCTGACTCAGAGGGAAAATTTTCAATAGTATTTTGTCTTTAAATTTGATGGATGCTCTAGGTTTTTATTTATCATCAGGTTTTTTAAATTCCCTTCTAATATTTGTTTGCTAGTTTTATTTTAATTGATAAGGAGGTTGAATTTTGTCCAGTGCTGTTTTGCATCTATCTAGGTGAACATGAGTTTTCTTTTGGTGATGTGGTGAGTTACATGACATGGTTTTGAATATTAAAGCTGCTCTTCTCCACTTGGGTCATGATACATTATCATTTTTATAGATGGTTAGATTCAGTTTGATAATAATTTATTTAGAATTTTGCATATGTGTTCACAAGTGGGTTGATGCTCTTTCTTACCATGTCCTTGTTTGGTTTTGGTACCAAGGTTTTGCTGGTCTCATTTTTCTTATTTTCTGGAAGGTTTTTGTAAGACATACTAATTTTTTTTTAATTAATTAATTATTTTTGGCTGTGTTGGTTCTTCGTTGCTGCACGCTGGCTTTCTCTGGTTGCGTTGAGCAGGGACTACTCTTCGTTGTGTGCGGGCTTCTCCTTGTGGTGGCTTCTCTTGTTGCAGAGCATGGGCTCTAAGCACGCGGGCTTCAGTAGTTGTGACACGTGGGCTCAGTAGTTGTGGCTCGGGGGCTCTAGAGCATGGACTCTAGAGTGCAGGCTCAGTACTTGTGGCGCATGGGCTTAGTTGCTCCGCAGCATGTGGGATCTTCCCAGACCAGGGCTCTAACCCGTGTCCCCTGCATTGGCAGATGGATTCTTAACCACTGTGCCACCAGGGAACCCCCTGTCCATTGGATTCTTAATTTTTCATTGTATTTTTTAATTATAGAATTTACATTTAGTTCTTTCTTGATAATTTCTAGTCTTCCGTTGAGTTCTTAATGTTGTTTTTAATTCCTTAAGTATGTTTTAGATTTAGATGTGTTTTAGACTCTGATAATCCACTGTCTGCAAGCCCCACAGTTGTGTTTTTCTGTGATGTGGGCCACATTACCTTGGAACATTGTGTGTCATTCATTGATAGAGGAGTGGACTTTTACAGGAAAAGTTGCTGAAATATTTGAGGCCATGGGAGATCTTCCAGGCAGGATTTTTGGCTGCTTCTGAGCGAGGAACAGTAGCAGTCTCAGGTTGCTTTAATTCAGTTATTGGGATTGAGCTGATTGGAGCTTGGCCTCCAGTCCCCCTGAGGGCCACCTTTACTCCTAGGGAGTAGCCCTCTGTGGTCTCGTCCTAAAGCATGGATGTTTACCATGGTCACCGCCTTCCCCTCATCACTGGCAAACTCTGAACCTGATTTTTGTACCCTTACTCCCATAGAGCAGCTTTTCTTAGCTTCTTTTTAAAAAATTATCGTTTCAAAAAAGATTTTCTTAGCTTCTTAAGCTTCCTGATGTCTTAGCAGTAGCCTCTTCCTAAAGCAGCTACCCTGGGGTGGAGCATCCCTGGGACTGGGCTCACCTCTATGGGATGCTTTCTTCTCTTGGATTTTGGCCCCATAGTTTTTTATTCCTTTTTTGGCTCTCCAGCGCCTTCTAAGACATGTTTTCGGATATGCTGTCTAATTGCTGTCAGCAAGAGTTGGTTTGCATCACTTAGTCTGCTATTACTAGAGGCAGAAGTCTTAATTTGCATTTTTTAATATTGCTTTGCTGTTGGTTCCATTTCATTATTTTACCCCTGGTTTCTATTTATGTCTTGCTTATAAATCTAACAATTGAATGAAATTACCAGTAATCATAATTGCAGTCACTGTGGCTCAATGGCTTCTCAATTTCAGTATTTCAATTTTTTGGTTTTAAATTATTTTCTGATTCAGTTTTAGCATTTCTTTAACTCCTGAAGGGTTTTTTTTGAACAACTGATGAACCGACTTTGTAAGTGACCGAGTACTCTACAAATCAAGTTGATAGCAGCTGTCTTTTTTCATTAGGAGGTTTAACTGGTATACCATTAATTTCTTGTTGCCGTCAGATCTTATGTAGCACTTACAAATAAAGCTTAAACTAATATGTGCTTGTCCATGGAACTGATGTGAACTTTCTCATTTCTAGGACACTTTCCTCATCAACAGCAAACCCCAGAGACGCACAGGCGAACTGCCTAGCGGTGGTGATTCTGTGCTGAGGATAAGCACCATTGCTTCTGCCATCGCAGATGCATCAGTGAACGCTGACCCCTCCCAGCTCGCTGCCATGATCAAGGCACTTTCAAATAAAACCCGAGAGAAGACTTCTCAGGACGATGGTAAACAAAAGCACTGTTCGGCTGTGTCTCATTTCTTACCTAATGAGCTGGAAAAAAGTAATGGATCCAACGCATTTGATATGGAGAAATACCTTAAAAAAACAGAAATTAGTAGATATGAAAGTGGAATGGACAACTTTTCAAGAGCTGGTGTGTCTGATGCTTGGGATTTATCTTTGTCCAAAGAACGGACTACACATGACATCCATGCAGTGGACCTGGGTGCTACTAGCATAAGTGTAAGGAAGCCAGAAGAAGACACAGCAGCTGGTTTTTATGGTGAAAGTGGAGAGAGCGTGGACCAGGCATCACTGAGAACGATAAACTCTTCAAATTCAGTTCTTACAAATATGGGAGAGAGAGAGGGTGCAGGGGTTGATGTGAAGACACATTCCATTGACCATAAATCACCAGATTCTGGTGATGGTGAAAAAGCTGCCTCCGTATCCATTCCAGCCCTTGATAGCTCATTAGTCAGGAACCCCAGGGTAGTATCCCTCTGGCTGTCAGAAGAGCATGAAGACACACAGAATAGTAGAAAATATCAGAGGCAAAATGAGTATGTTAGTGAGACAAGTAACAGTGAAAAGCATGTGACTTTTGAAAACCATTCCATAATCTCACCTAAAAGTGTTGGTAAGTGTCAGAGTAATTGGTCACATTCAAAAAATTACACAGAGTGGTTTTTTTTTTCTGTTCTCATTGGAAAATACACCTTTCTGGTAGATTTGAAAAATCCCTCTCCTGAGTGTGGTGGACGTGGCTCGGAGGATGACCAGGATAGCTTCCGACCTTCCACTTCTCCACTGAGTCATTCTTCTCCTAGTGAGATTTCTGGAAATAGTTTATCAGGGTAGGTGCTTAACCTTTTTTTTTTTTTTTCTAAGTAATAAAGTACATGCTCAGTGTAGGAAAATTGGAACAAAGTGTAAAGAAAATTAGTTATCTATAGCTTCGTCTCTCAGAAGTAACTGTTATATTTTGTGAACTTCTTTCAAGATATTTTTCTTTGCAAATTTTCATACCCTGCTTTTTTCACTTATTAAAATAATTCCTACATTTAAAAGAAAATTAATGTTATAGACTGCATAATGAATCTGTCACATTTTATTTGGTGCTTCTGGTCGATACTGGTGATACTATATTTTACCTTTTTTGTTTGTTTGCCATTTTAATGATACTGAGATGAACAACTTTGCTTATAAAATTTTTCCTGTGTTTTAACTGATTTCCTCAGAAGTGAAATTACCAAGTCAGGGATAAGAATATTTTCAGGCTCTCTGGATTAGCAAACTATTTTCTAAAAGAGTCTTAAAGACTTGCACTCTTACCATCTGTGTTTGTTGAAGGTGTGCATTCTACTGTTTTCTTATCAGCATTTTAAATAACTTTTAATTTTGGATTTTTTTTATCTTACAGTATTATTTGTGTTTTTAATACTAATGAGATTGATAAGTGCTTTTTCAAAGGTTAGGATAAGAATCCTAATATTTTACATGTTTTAGCATAACCTGTAGGGTAACTTAAGCTTCAAGTTATAAGATCTTTTTAATTTTTCAAAAATGCCTTAAGTCAACATTGTTTCAAAAGTTTACACATATACAGGTATATGTGTGTGTCCATAGAACTTTGAACAGTGTGAATGTAATGCTTCATCAGATGTGTTTGTGTATTTGTGTATAAATGTGCACGTGTGTGTGTTTCCCTCCATTAAGCTCATTGTCTGCCTCGTTCTCCAGTCCTCTAACCAGGAGCTGCTATTGCTGGTTTCTTAGGTTTCCTTCTGGTCTTTGTGCACATACACAGATATGAGTGTATATTCTTATTTTCATCCCTCTTTATAGTCAATAGAGGGTCCTTTACACACTTCTTATGTTTTGCTACACAAGGTTACTTATCCCAGCCTTATCTGTATTGCTTTGCACGCATGCAGATGTATTACAGGATAAATTCTTGGAAATGAGATTGTTGGGTCGAAGAGTATATGCATTCACGTTCCTATTTAAATTAGTACAACCCTCTGTAGAGGTTGTGTTAGTTTAATTTTCCACCAACAGTTTAGGAAAGAGCTTGTTTCCCACAACCTCACCAACAGAATGTTTATCAAATTTTTTGTTGACAGTCTGATAGGTGAAAAAAAACTATTTCAGTATAACTTTAAATCATGAGTGATGATGAGCATCTTTTCCTTTATATTTCCTTTTGTATCATATATCTATTCATGTTTGTTGCCCATTTTTCTCATGAACTGTTAGTCTCTTTTGTCTCCATTTCTCGGAGCCCTTGACGTATTAGGGAAAGTGGGTAGCCCTTTGTTTGTGACATGAGTTATACAGTTCCTAGTCTTTAGAAGGTTTTTTCCTTTCTTGTATTTTTTGCTCTCCCGGATACTTAGCTCTAGCTTACCCACACCATTTCTGATGAATATGCAAAATCCAGGAGCATCTTGGGAAACACATAATAGGTAACTTGGATATCAAATATAATTTCAATTTGTTTCAAACTATTGAACATTTATGATAATTTCACTGCTTAGGTAAAATTTTCTGCTTATTAAAATCTTTCCATAGAGGAACATATAAAAGATCTTTTATAAAGCCATAAAAGAAAAAATCCATAGATTTAATAAAATAAACTTTCTGTATGGCAACAGTTTTTGCCTCAGAATTGACTTGATCTTTTTGTAAGCTTTATGCCAAAGATGCTTTCAAGTCTAATAAGATCTTTCAAGTCTAGTAACCTTGTTAGGCTATGTCTCTATGTTGACCTCATGGCCACCTTGCCCTGTCACACAGCACCCTTTCAGTATGTGGAGTCAAGCATTCTTTTATTTAGGAAAGGTTTTTTTTTTAAATTACTTATTAAGATATTGGTCCTGACCCCAGGAACTCTAGTCTTGCATATGTGGGATCTGCATTTATTTTGTTTGTAATCCTTTCTTTAAGAACTTATTTTAGAATAATTGTAGATCCACAGGAAGTTGCAAAGATAGTATAGAGAGACCCCATGTCCCTCCCCAGCTCCCCCAGATGCTGCACAGAATCACCACTTGTGCAATCACTTGTCCTGGGCAGGGCAAGTGGGTAGAATTGTGTCATTTTATCACAGGTGTGAATGTGTGTAACCACCTCCACAATCAGAGACATAGAACTTTGCCATCACCACAGTGACCTGCCTCTTTCTTACTTTTTCATTTTGTTTGCATTTCACATTTCTGATTTCTAGATTCCTTGTAGTATTTTCTTTTTTGTTTCTTAACCCCCGTGTACTTTCCAGTTTCATCTTGTTTTCTATGATCTTGACATTTTAAAAAATTGTATATGAAGGCATTTAATAACAACTGTAAGTGCTCTATAAAGACATATTGTTATGATTTTTTTTCCTTCACCTGCCCTTTACTGCATGATCAGAGACAGAATGCTGGGCTGGATGGTCTCAGTTTTGGACCCACCTGTTTTTTCTTTTGCCCCTAAGAAAATACACTTATTCATTAAGTGTAGGAAACATATCTTAGGGGGATACTGAACTTTCTCATGAACTTGGTCAGATATTTTGAATGAGAGCGTCACGTTGACCTTTCTAAAGTGACTGTTGGTGGGCTTCCTTCTCCCTACGGGTCAGCCACCTGCACCCACACCCCCACCTCTCAGCCACGGCCAGACTGCAGCCTTAGGGGGAAAGAAACTGGACACCAGCAGATTCTGAGGTTCGTTCTCCTGTCCCTTCTCCTGCTGCATGATAGGCGTTCCTGCCGAGGCCGAGCATCCAGCTCCATTTTATCTTCCTGCTTTCGCTCATCTCCTTTTTTTCTCATCAGCTTAAATGAACATGCTGGCGTCTTGTGGCTGATTTTCCTGCGCACAGTTCTCTCTTCCACTGAGGAGACTTTGTTTCCTGTTGCCTGTGACTCCCTCCTCCTCCTGCACCCAGCAGCTGGTACTGCCTCTCTGGGCATCCATGCCTGTTTTCTTTTTCCTCATCTTTGTGCTTTTTTTTTTTTTTTTGGTCTGTTTGTTTAAATTTTTTTATTATTTTATTTTCTGGCTGAGTTGGGTCTTCGTTGCGGCACGCAGGATCTTTTGTTTTACCGTGCAGGCTCTTTGTTGCGGCGTACGGGCTTCTCTCTAGTTGTGGCGGGCAGCTTTTCTCACTCTAGTTGTCTCGCACGGGCTCGCATGGGCTCTGTAGTTTGCGGCACATGGGCTGTCTGGTTGAGGCACACAGGCTCAATAGTTGTGGCGCACAGGCTTAGTTGCCCCGAGGCATGTGAAATCTTGGTTCCCCGACCAGGGATCGAACCCACATCCCCTGCATTGGAAGGCGGATTCTTTACCACTGGACCACCAGAGAAGTCCCTCATCTTCGTTTCTTTATGTGTTCTCCCTGTGTTGCGGGGTAGCCGAGCTGTTCAAGTGTTTATCCTTTATATCACTGATTTTCTGTAGCATCAGCTATGCTTTCATGGCTTCCAATGTGGACATTCATTTTGTATTCATTTCTTTTTATTGAAATCCTTCTTGTACTTTTGTATTATGGTAAAATGAGTTTCATGGGTTTTTTTCAGGTTTTTCCAGTTCATTAAGTTTTTTATGTAATTTTTAAAAATATTTATTTATTTATTTGATTCTGCCGGGTCTTAGTTGCGGCAGGTGGGCTCCTTAGTTGTGACATGCGAGCTCTTAGTTGCAGCATGTGGGATGTAGTTCCCTGACCAGGGATCGAACCTGGGCCCCCTGCATTGGGAGTGTGGAGTCTTAACGACTGTGCCACCAGGGAAGTCCCATACTCATTAAGTTTCTTAATATTCACGGTGAAATGTTGGTCAGAATGTTGATCTGTTGAGTGGCCACATCTTTCTGGTGAGAGCCCTTTATCTACTGAGTTTGCTGCTCACCAGTTTTCCTGCTGGCTGGTCTTCCAGCGTCCAGCCAGCTTCCAGCAGGTCCGTAGTGCTGATTTAGAGCTTCTAATTCCAGAATTGCCTTGAGGTTCTGTGTGGCTGGCACCTTGGCAGTTTTTGGCTTCCTTTGGAGTCTGACATCCGGACTGAAATTTCTCTTCTTTTGTTTGTGTGTTCTTACAGTTCACTTCTCATTGCTTGAAGTAATACAACCTAAATGCATTCGTTCATTTCGACCAAAGGAGCTAGACTCAGCACGTACCCCAGTACCCAGAACTCTTTTCCTGCTGCCCCATGGTGTCTGTGTGAGTATGTGTGTGCATGTGTGTGTGCGCATGTGCATACAGAACCCACGCAGGTGCATGTTATTCAGTGACTAAAGAGGACCTGAAGCAATTTGGTTAATATTTTGTCTCCATTGGTTAGAGATTCACTAACTAGTATTGTGTCAGGGCTGTCTTGATTTGGTCCTTTTAAAAATCCAGAATTCAAAATAGGATTTTCTCTCTGTGTCCGCTGGCCACCTGAGTATTCTGAACTTTGTGCACAAAAATGATGGGTAAAATTCAGTCAGATTAAGGGCTGACTTGAAACTAAATGGCAGAGTATTCAGGGGATGCGGCAGCTGTTTCCAGAGGCGGCTGTGACGGTGTTTCCCACCCAGTGTGATTTTGCACTCTGCCTTGAGGGGCAGCTTGGCCCTCTCCTCTGTTGGGCTGGCCTGGCCCTGTGCTGGGGACTACCTGACAGAATATGGCACATGTATTAAATAGATGCAGGAGCTTATTATTTATTGCTTTATAACTTTTTTTTTACTTAATATATTCTGAACATCTTTCTGAGTCAATGGTTAGTAGTCAACAGCATGATTTAAAATAGCTACATAGTGTTTTATTGTGTGTCTGTGCCATAATTTCAATAGCCTCCTTTCTCCTACATGACGTTTAAGATTGCCTACGTTTTATTGATAGTGATATATGATGTATTCTTTTAGCGAATCTTTATAATTAGCACTAATTTTTTTCTTAGGATTAATCTCTAGATGTATAACACCTGAGTCAAGGGGCTTTTGCTATGCATGCTTGATAGCTCAGCCGAGAGTTGCACTGCTCCTATTCCTGCCCGTGGTGTGGCTCTTCCCATCTCTTTGATTGTTTTCATCTTTGCTCTTTTTTTTTTTTTTAACAATCTGTATCAAAGATCTTTATTTATTTTTGCGGTACATGGGCCTCTCACTGTTGTGGCCTCTCCTGTTGCAGAGCACAGGCTCCAGATGCACAGGCTCAGTGGCCATGGCTCACGGGCCTAGCCGCTCCGTGGCATGTGGGATCTTCCCGGACCGGGGCACGAACCCGTGTCCCCTGCATCGGCAGGTGGACTCTCAGCCACTGCGCCACCAGGGAAGCCCCATCTTTGCTCTTTGAGGGCAGGAATTGGCGAGTGCTCTGCTCATTGCTCTATATCAGGTATTCAGTAAACTTTTGCTGAATGAACAGCTAACAATGTTATGTGACTGTATATGAAATTTATTAATGAAACTGCCACAACATTTTTCTTTTTCAGTAGCTTACCAGATACTTCATTCAGTAGGACTATGATTTACAGTTTTAGATAATTAAGGGTGAAAAGAATTGAGTCTAGGGTTGAGTTGTATATGGCAGCTGGGACAGACGGTAGTGCAGGTTGACAGGGTTGTAGGCAAGCAGGAAGGGCTTTCTGCCAGTGTAGACGATGTTAAGTGAAGGGATGGACAAGTCCAGGCACAGGTGTTCTCTCTTCCAGGTGTGCCCTGGAGTCTTTCAGTTCAGCAGCTCACCTGCAAAAGCACCCCTGTGAGAGGGAGTCATCCCAGCTGACGAGTCCACAGGCCAGCATCAGCAGGCTGACTTACATGTCTGAACAAGAGAGCACCTGTCCCGCCACGGCCTCAGATCGTGGCCTTAAGGACCACCAGGTGGGAGCACTTTTGTTATTTCTTTACTCAGGCTTCTGGAGCTGAAGTCTTACTGATGTAGGACTCAGACTTGAGTTCAGGCCTAATTTCTGTTGCTCTTTTAACTTTAAAATAAGTGTGTGTGTGTGTTTTGCTCGTGCTGGGTAGGCACTACAAGTACAAATATTTTAGCATCTGCCATCAAAAAGCTCTCAGTCTGGTGGAGGCCGTGCAAGACATGCCGTGTAGTGAAATGCACTGTGAGAGATTCAGGAGGCGACTGATAATCTGACCAGGTGGCGAGTCCAGTGAAGCTTGGTGGGAGGACTGTCTGGAATCAGGCATGGGGGAGGCAGGGAATTGCAAAACACGCTGCATTTGAGAGCCCCCAAGAAGTTTGGAATGGCTTCGGTGAATCATCTACATGGAGGAGGGGAGGCCAGACCACGACATCGTGGATGTAACATTTGGGAGTTTGAAGGCTCTTAAGTAGGACACAGACCTGCTCTGTGTTGTTTTGAAAGCTCCTTGCAGTGGAGGAGGCACTGAGGGGTGAGGTTAGAACCAGGAGGATTTGACACCAGACGGCCGGAGTTGTCAGGCGAGGGGCAGCACAGGCTCAGGCCAGGGTCATGGCCATGGGGGTGGGAGGGAAGCAGAGAGGTCTGAGAGATTTGTGTGGGAGAAGCTAGAATTTTACTACCTAGGTGTGTTTCATGAACGCGACAGTGTTCAGTTTGTAATGAGCTGCGTATGACTTGCGGTGTGCAGTGCAGACCTCCTCCGCGAAGCTGTGCCTAAACCTACCCACTAAGTTACTAAACAAAACCACTTGTTTCTTGTCCTGTAAATTAGGAAGAACAATGAATGCTGATTTTCTAACTTTTAATCCTGCATTTCACAGCCACTGAAGTACTTTGTATAAGCCGTCCTTTTTTCAGAGAGGTAACATCATGTAGATCTCTATTCTTTGAGAGTATATCAGCATGGTTTGCATTTGTAGTACTCACTTTATCTGTGGATAATTTCTAAACATTTTTTGTCACACAGAGTGATGTCCCCAGTACGTTGAGCACCACAATTATTCAGGCCAGTCCAGTTCCATCTCAGGAGCAGGCTCCGGATAAGTTGAGAGAAAAAAGTCCATTTCAAAGTAGAGGAAAAGGAGCGTTACCGTATATTATCCAGAAGAACTTGGACACAGAAAAAGAAACTGAAACTGCTTCTCTGAGTAGTGAACTTGAAGATGTAAAACCAAACTTTAGATCGAGAAGAGAGCTTTCCTCCAAAAGCGAAGATCTGTCAGAAACCACTGTGGCAGGTGTGACCTCAAATCCCAGTGAACTGGACCAGGTCAGCCTGGCTCTGCCAAGGAAGTTGGGCCTTGGCCAGTGGGCCCTGCCAGCCACGCCGCGCCTCCCCGTGTCCCGCCAGGGGCCTGTGCCCGACAGTGGACGTGTGACTCCTGTAGACACGTCTGCTGCCGACAGTGCGTTCATTGGCCAGGGCCCTCCCCAGACCTTCCCCAGCACCGAGGACTGCGGCCCTGCTCCCTCAAGGCAGCACGTGCCCACCTCGGGCCCCGCGCTCTCAGCACGCCGTCCCCTCCCAATGGCTCCCTGTGCCCAGCTGAGCTCAGGAGCACTGCCTCGGTGCCAGGCCGGCAGCGCCACAGCCTGTGGGCTCCCGGGAAACTGTCATCCTGCTGTCGTCACAGCAGAGCACGTCCAGAACTCTGTGGCCATGGGCTTTTGTCTTGGACAGAACATCAGCTCGGAGTTGTTGGCTGCCTCTTCCCTTTGTAACCCGTATTCTAACGCCTTCAATCAGAGTCTTCTAAGTACAGCCAAACCTTTTACTGTGCAGTCTCTTGGTCCAAACTGTGGAATTGATCCATGGGATTCAGGAGTGATGTCAGGATTTGGTAAGATGCTTTCTTCTCTGCTACTGCTTGTTGGTTGCTGCTATTTAAAAACTGAATTTTCTCAATTGGGACCATAAAACTAGTTTGTTTTAAGGAGATACTGATTAGCCTGAATTTCTTGTAAACTTTTCTCTTTATCCTGAATTTGGAACACAGACCATAACGTATTTCTGTGCAAGGGTCCCTGAGTGGCCTTAGAAAAACATAAAAACTTAACGCAGGTAAAACTCCCACTGCCTTTGTCTTTCTGTTTCTCTCTTGTGCTCCAAACTTGGAATTCTATTGTTGGTTCAACTAGGAAACGTCTAGTATAGAATCACCCCCCTGAAGGAGGGAGTCTCCTGCCAGTTTTTAAGTCTTCAGGGGTGACTCGTGTGGGAGTGAGAGGCAGCACCCTTCCGCTCCTGCCTGTAGTGGCTGAGCTGCCTGTGCTCGTGCTGATGGTCACTCTTGGGAGCAGAGCTTGGTGCTGTGCTTTCCTGACACGGTGCTCATGGCCACTGCAGCACGATCAGTTTTGCCTTCTTTTTCTTCTGAAGGAAATTCCACAGTCACCCCATAAGAATGGTGAAAAGCTTGGTCACCATGTTAAAAATCAGTTAGAGCCTCCATCATTTCTCATTAGGTTAGGCAGTGGCTTATATTTATAGGAGAAAAAGGGAAGAGATTACTGATAGCAATAACATCTAAGAGTTGATTAGCTGTAAATTTTTTAGTTTGATCAATTTTGATTGTTTTTCCTCATGGGCTGGTTGCCTCAGGAGAAAATTAGTGACCAGTCTCTGCTGAGGCGTATGCAGTGTTGGGGACTCCTATTTAGATCTGGGGCACTTTATAAAACCATAGCTCTCGGTGTCAACAGGTCGTCTTCTGTAAAAATTTCCATTTAACCAGTTGTGCTTTTGATGGGGTGTTGGGTATGCATTTTGACTCTGCTTTAACTCTACCCAGGGAAAGTAAGAGTGCCTGAGGAATTGAAGTTTCCTCATGCTTGCTGTATAGGCATCGCGTCACAAACCTACCTTAGTGTCCTGAATCCCGCCGACCGCTGGCTGCAGGTCAGCATCGGGGTCCTCAGTGTTAGTGTCAACGGTGAAAAGGTGAGCTTTCTGTGTCTTTCTCCTCTGACTTAGCGATTGCAGTACAATTAATGCTGAAGCTCTCCTTTGCCTAGTATTAGTACTTCCTTTTATACCAGGGAGCATGTCCACCACCATATACTTTGCACAGAATCGTTGGAATCGTATCTTTTTCTTGGTTCCCCTTTTGTTGCAGTACTTCCAGTGAAAGTGAAATCTGAATGTGTTTCTCAGATTTCATCAGGTGTTACTATTTATTTATTAACCGTTATGTTTCATTGTTACTTGTTTATAAAATCATGTAAATGTGCTTTTTGTGCTGTCGGCTTAAACCACTGACTGGAGCTCCAAGTTTCTGGTCTCTATTCGTTGTTTTTGTTAAATGTGATTGAGTATAAGTTATTGTCGTTTATTCCAAAGGAAAAAAATAAAGAAACAAGTTACTCTTGCAACCTGTGCCTTCATTTAGTAAGTTAATTTATCTGATCATGTTCTTACATGATCTTTTGAAATACCTGGAAACACAGTTTTAACATTAGAGCAGGGGTCTCTCGCATGATCAGTTAAAGCTGCTGAGGTTCTAGACTCTAGACCCTGTGGGCCTTGGTGAGTAGGGAGAGTGGGAAAGAAGGTCAGCAGCTTCTTGCAGACAAACATTGGTGGACGGGTTTACTCTCCCCTCTTACGTCCTAGTGATAACCTTGATTTACTTGATAAAATAAGACTGTCTTCTCTCCCTCTCCCTTTCCCCAGCTTTTCCCCTCTGATCCTGAGGGTAGAGGAAAGGCAGGTGGTTGGAGGAAAGGGTTGAGGGTGAAAGGTGGTGAGATTGGAGGCCTTTTTAGGAGCATGTAGGAAGTAATGATGTCTCTGGAAGTGGGAGTAGAAAAGAAGATCCCTGTTCACAGTGAGGAGGGAGAGATTGGAGTGAGTCAGAATCGTAGACTTGGAGGCCTGACAGTGAACCTTGGAGATCAGTCTAACCCCCTGCGTTACACAGCTGCAGAGACCAGGTCCCAGGGTGATGTCCAAGGCTGGAGGTGCTGCCATTTTCAGCACCCTTTTCAAAAAAAGTGAAGGTAAAAATAACGTATCTTCAAAAGTCCTTATGGGAGTTCCCTCGTGGTCCAGTGGTTAGGACTTGGTGCTTTCACTGCTGTGGTCCAGGTTCAGTCCCTGGTTGGGAACTAAGATCCCACAAGCTGTGTGGCATGGCCCAAAAAAAAAATTCCTTATAATTTTGACTAACTGTATTTTCCAGGTAATGAGTTATGAGGCCTGGGTATTTTTCAAGAGCTAACATATCTAGATTTGGTAGTTTGAGTGACTATGAAAAGGGATCTTAAACTAGTTGGTTCTTCTTCCTGATTTTCATTGTGAAGTTATTTCTTAACGGACCATGTGGCTCTTCTTTTAAGGTGGATCTTTCAGCTTATCCTTGTTTAGTTTTCAAGAATAAAGTCATCATAAGACCTCATGCCACAGAAGAGATAAAAGTGCTCTTCATACCGTCTGATCCTGGGATTTTCCGATGTATATTCAGCATTGCTTCTTGGCCGTTTTCAGCTGACGCAGAGACAGTGGCACAGGCAGAAGCACTGGCAAGCAGGGTTGTCCTCACCGCCATTGCCGAGACCCCCGTGATCGAGGTGACTGTTTGTAAGCAGGTCTTTGTCATACCTGGCATTTTAATGAGGCTGTTCAACCTTAGAAGTAAAATTTGGGTAAAATGAATTTGTGGATGAATGTGCCAAAAGTTATAATTGAGCTAAACATTACTCTTAATATTTTCTTATTCCAAAATTTAAAATTATTTCTGGAATTCCCTGGCGGTCCAGTGGTTAGGACTCTGCGCTTATACTGCCGAGGGTGCGGGTTCAGTCCCTGGTCAGGGAACTAAGATCCGGCAAGCCGCACAGCGAGGCCAAAAAAATTAAGATTATTTCTTTTGTTTTATAGAAGCACAGATATGCTCGCTAAGATGTTTGTAAGCAAAGTATAACGTTAAACCCTATTTTCCAGCTGGTTTCCATCATATAGTTTGATGTGTGTGGAGGAAAACACCACATTCAGATTATCCTCTTTTCTGTACCTGAAGACTGCTCACTGAAAAATTTCCTCTTGTACAGTTGCTCATTTTCTGGAAGTGAAAGAAATTGGGTCTAGCCGGGTTGGGGCAACAAAATGCTTGTGGGATTGCAGGCCTCTTTAGGACACTGGCTGTCAGCCCTGGCTGCACATCGGAATAACTGGGGTTTGTTTTTTAAAAAAATTTTAATTAATTTATTTTTTGGCTGCATTGGGTCTTTGTTGCTGTGCGCAGGCTTTCTCTAGTTGCAGTGAGCGGGGGCTACTCTTCGTTGTGGTGTGTGGGCTTCTCATTGTGATGGGTTCTCTTGTTGCGGAGCACGGGCTCTAGGCGTGCAGGATTCAGAAGTTGTGGCACAACAGGCTCAGTAGTTCTGGCTCTCGGGCTCTAGAGCACAGGCTCAGTAGTTGTGGCACATGGGCTTAGTTGCTCCGAGGCATGTGGCATCTTCCCGGACCAGGGCTCGAACCCGTGTCCCTTGCATTGGCAGGCGGATTCTTAACCGCTGCGCCACCAGCGAAGTCCCTAGATATTATTGTAAACATTTTCAGTGTTGTCAGAGTTTGGACTAAATCCAAAAATGCCCACATATGTTTTGGAGGGAATTGAGAAGTCGGTAGTATAACAGTAGAGCTAGTGGAAGGGAGGCTGTGTGTTTTGTAAAGTTGTCAGTTTGTCTTCTCACAGTAATGCAGCTAAGCTGTTGCTTTGTTCTGTAGTGTATTTGGGTACGTGGACTACCTCAGAAAAATAATTTACTTGTGTTGAAAATAGGAATTGTAAAATAGCCCCAGGAGTCTTAGGTAAGTTTACCTGTAATGTTGACTATTTGTGGCTGGAAAGGGCAGTGATGTGAACATAAGCTGTGATATTTATTGATATATTGTTTTTATAAATCCCTTTTTTCCCATAATTTAGGTAGAAACAGAAAAGAAAGATGTTCTTGATTTTGGTGACTTGACTTATGGAAGCTGGAAAGCTCTGCCTTTAAAGCTGGTAAACAAGACGCACGCCAACATCCCAATTAGACTCATTATTAATGCTGTAAGTACTGTGCTCGGGGAGGAAACCTTTACAGAGCACACTGACTTAGAGTTGTAGATGCAGCTAGTAGAATCCTTGGCTAACTTCTCTTAGGAAAGTAGATATTTTTGTTAAGGATCTTTGAACAAATTTAGCATCACACCAACATGACACCATTGGCTCTACTGAAGCGGCTTCTCCTGTTTCTGACAGAACGCCATAGCCTGGCGCTGCTTCACCTTTTCCAAGGAACCCATCCACACAGCTCTGAAAGCTGTTCCTTATGCCCATGCGATTGCTCAGCTGGCCGCCCCCTCGGTGATCAACCATCTGATGCCTGCCAGCGATGACGGACAGGTGAGCTGGGGGATTGAAGGACTGATTTAGAATTAAGGAGGAAGTTAAGTTTCCAACTACTTTTCTTTCACTGTGTATGAAAATATTTTTTTATTTTACAGGATCCAGAATTTCTGATAATTTGGGTTCTTTTCCATAGTCCAAAGAAACAGATGACTTCTTCAGGTATCATGTTTACGTTTTATGGGATTTTCTTTACTCCGTAGCTAAATAAACTACAAAGTTGAGGCTTATTTCTCCTGTCAGTAAATTGTCAAATATTTATTGTAATTTGTCAGATATTTTATGTTGTTTTCAAGCTGGGCAGAGAGCATGCTGTTTTGGGTCAAACCCATCCAATTCTGGATAATCCAAGCAAGTACCACTGAAAACGTTTTGGGGTCTTTTCTGTTAATTGATGTTACCTCCTCTACCAATTAGATGTTTTCTTCCTTTTTCTCCTCCACTCATTTCTGTTCCTCTCTGAGTTCTTTAAACAGTCATTTTAAGATTTTTTTGTGCCCCCTGATGGCATAGTGTTGGGCCATGTGTGGCATTTAGAATTAAATAACTCTGGTGTCTGAACTAAAAGAATGACCTTTTACAGAGATTCTAGACTCAGCAGAAGAATTCTTGGCAAGAGTTGATATAGAAGTTGATAGTCCAAACCCTACACCAGTCATTAAAAGTATCAATCTTCGAGCAAGAACAGGAGTAGCCAGGATACACGCTCCGAGAGACCTACAGGTACCCTAAACTCCTCACTTTGCTGTTACTTTATGTTCAGGTTGATTTCATTCCAAGTGTGACATTTTTAAAACATGCCTGTTTTACCCCATCCTCTAGACTATGCACTTGTTTGCCAGTGTGGCTTCCTCAACAAGGCAGTACTTACCTTTGAAAAATGCTGGGAATATTGATGTCCACTTGGACATCAAGGTAAGAATTTGTGTCTGAGGCTGTAACTTATTTCCTCGGGCTGAGACTGTGAGTGTCTCCTTGGGTTCTGAAGGTTGCTCTGCTGTTGACCTTGTTCAAGGGCTGGGGGCATTGGCAGGGGTGGTCAGACAGAAGAATCTGAGCCCGGGCTTTCAGAGCTGGTGTTACACGAGCATAAAACAGATGGTTAGGAAGTTCAGCTGGGATGTCTAATGTAATAGGTACAAGAACCAAGCTCTAGATTAGTTCCTGAAGACCGAGTCATCCTGTGGCTGGGTGGAGGAGAGGGAGCCACATGTGTAGACATCATTTCTGAGTTGTGTGGCTGAGTGAGGGGGTGTTGGTGGCCAGGAATTAGGGATGGGGCCGGGGATAGTTTGTTATGGAAGAGAAGAAAGATGTATCCTTTCCAAGAAAGTAAGATGGCGGGGCATTGCTGGGCAGGGAGGGAGTAGAATACCCAGTTGTGGTCAGTGAGAGAGACAAGGCACGTGAGTGTGTGAAAGCCATGTCTGCAGGTCAGCGTTGACTTATAATTATGTAAATACTTAGATCCCAGATCAAGGAAGTCACTTTTCAGTGGATCCAGAGAAACTATTCCTTAAACCTGGAGAAGAGCACGAAGTTATAGTTTCATTTTCTCCAAAGGATCCCAAAGCCTGTGAGGAAAGGTAACGTAGGACTGTTGATCATGGCGAATTTGTGTTTATTTAGGTGTGCTCCGGTCCACAGCCTGAGGGACAGAGTACACACTTCACCTCGCCTATACAGCACCGCTTCACCTCTTTCCTTTAGCCTCAGATCTTTCTGCTTACTGAAAATCTCCTTTTAAACCAGCTAGCTGACTAGAAAGTAAGAAATCACTATTTTCAAGTATATTCTGACAAAAGTAAATAATAACACGTCAATCTTGATGTTTCTCACTAACTTCTTCTCTCTCACCAAGGAAATCTTCAGTTGACCTTGTCAGTTGTTAAAGATACAACTGACAGTTGTATCTTTTCCAGGCCAGTGACTTTTTGGCACCCAAATCATAAGTGAATATCACTTTACAGTGGTCGGAGCACCCTTGTCACCAGCTTTTGAACTTGCTTGATAAATGTAGCTTAGCCCGCTGTCCTCAGACGCACGTGGCCCATCCCCTGCCTGATTGCCGAGCCCCCTGCCTGATTGCCGAGCCCCCTGACTGGTTCCTGAGCCCCCGAGTGCCTCACTGTCCTCCACCTGATTGGCCCTGGGTGCAGAGGTGCTGGCTGCTCGGACGCGAACACTTGTGCCGGGAGGACTCGCCTGCACCTGCCCACCGGGGTAGCACCCCCACCCAGGAGGCTTTCCTCATCCCTTCCCAGATCCCTCCCTGTCTCCCGTGACCCATACACTTCTCTCCCGCTGTGCTCATGGCATGGGCCTGTGGCATGTACCCGTCTCCTTCTCTGTCTGTTTTCTCCTCTGGAATGTAAGTTGTGAGGGTGAGAATGCAGTGTAGCCTCAGCACCGACCAGCTCAGTCTCTTGGACGAAGGAAGCGCATAGGACAATAGTTGTCAAAAGAATTGAATTCTGAATATTGAACTTAGATGGTTTTCTTTGTTAGGATCTTGAAAATATTTGTGCAGTCGTTTGGCCCTCAGTATGAAGTGATGTTAAAAGGTGAAGTAGTTTCTTCAGGAAACAAGCCTCTGATGCCTGCATCTTGCTGCTCAGATATTCCTTTGATTTTATCCAACAAGCAGTTTCTGGCGTGGGGAGGTGTCCCCCTGGGCAGGACACAGTGAGTATACACTGTAGCTGTTATCACATAATGCTAGTCTTCCCTGTGTTGATGATGACCATGTTAATGTTTTTAGAATTGAAATAAAACTATCATATTCATTATTCATCCTATCATGAATACAAATTTTTTAGTAAATTTTTAACCTATTTTTAAAATACAAGCCAAAAAAATTAGGTTTCAGTTTTCTTAAGCTCTGGTGAATTCTGTGCTGATGACCAAACTTAGGCAATTAAGTGTGTCTTGGTTCCTTCTCTGGAAAGCCCTGGGGACTGGTGGGAAGAAGAAATAATCAGAGACGTTGCATCTATTTAAGGAGTTAGAGTCTAGTTGATGAAGGGACACGTGTTCTTTACGCAGCTCTCAGTGAAGACCCCTCTCAGCTAGGCTCCTGAAATGTCCTGCATGGCCGTGAGTTTGAGGAACTGTGCCCTCCTCAGTAGCTCCTATGCCCGTGCAGTCAATCCATCTTGAAACATTGTACTTGGTTTTAATTGGCTTTGTTTTTATGAAAAAAATATTTTTCAGAAAGTCTTTCCCAACCATTGTACTCAGGTGTGCTGATAACCAAAGGTCTTTGATTTTATTCTGAGGTTAAACTCAGCAACCTTTCCCTTTTAACACAAATGCACAAGGCATAGACCACAGCTTAAATAATTTAACTGCCAGTCTTCAAAATTTGAGTAAAATGGAGATTTATTCATGTATTCTGTATTCTCTAATGAAGAGAGGATTCATATATTTTCAAAGACTGAAGGATTTTCATCCTGTGAGCCAGTTGCTATTCATACATCCATTCTACTTGCACTGTAAGTTTTTTTAAAGTAAGGTTAGTTCAGTATGCTGTTTAAAAGACTACTTTGTGCAAATGAGTCTCTTAAAGTAAAAAATCTGAGCAATGTGCTTAGGACCCTTGTTTCCACGAAAGATAGGTTTTGGAGCTGAGGATGGTATTGACTTTAATGACTTAATGAATTTGGTAATCTGAATTTTCATTGATTACTATTTTATAAGACAGATAATTCCTATACATAGAGAATGAATAATAAGGGCAGCTAAGGAGCTATAACAGGAGAGAGACTAAACCCAAAATCTCTGATAAGGTGAGTCTTGAGCATACGTTCTCACAAATGTAGAGTTCTGGGACTGTGGAGGCACTTCCAGGCTGCTCAAGGGGCCTGTGCAGTCAGTCCATCTCCAAACACTGCAGTCAGTTTTAATTGGCTTTGTTTTTATGATTGTAGCAATATCCATGGAGGAAAACCACATTTAAGTTGTGTCATTGTTTCTAGGCTTCAGAAACTAGCTTTAAGAAATAATTCCACATCTTCAGCCCAACATTTACGACTGCTCATTAGAGGACAAGACCAGGACTGCTTTCAGGTTTGTGGAGTGCATGGCTCTGTTCTGTCTCACGTTCTCTCTAGATCCAGGACACTTAACACTTAACATCTAGATACATGACACTTAATGTAGGCCATCTTGTGTTCTTAATCTTCGAGGAGTTCATGTTAATGGTGTGTTTTATTTGTGCTGCTGCTCTGTTTAATGCAGAGATTTTTTTTTTAATTGTAGTTTCAGCACACTTTTGGTTCAGAAGAGCGATTGACCAGTAACTGTGAGATCAGGATTCGTCCAAAAGAAGACATTTACATCTCTGTGTTGTTTGCACCTACTCGATTATCTTGTATGTTGGCCAAACTAGAAATTAAACAACTTGGAATTCGATCACAACCAGGCTTTAAGTTCACGGTAAGATAATTTTATAGCTTTTTTTTCCCTCCCATGGAGTTTATGACATGTTGTAACTATTGATTAAATATTGGTAAATTACATATACTCTGCTTTTTATAAGTCAAAATATGTGATTACCTAGATTTACAAACAAGTTAGGGAGTAATTATATACCTTGTAGGATTACCCTATTTTAAAAGCAGCCACCAGAGTATTCCTGTAAGTAATGGTCTTGGCTAATGCTTGTAAGTTTCATTTCGGTTTGAAAATTTTGAAATGTACTCAACTTTTCAGAAATCCATTTTTTGGTAAATCCAGATGGAAATGTTTAAGATGTTGACTTTCCAAGTAAATTTTATTCTTTCAATTCAGCAAAGTATCTATTGACATCATTTGTTAGACTCTGTTCCGTACACCAGGGATACAAAGACAAGAGCTTTTCTATTTTGTTTCTTCCCAGCATAATTTCAAAAGATTTCAAGTCATTTCTTTAGCTAGATTCAGGGCACTAAGAGAGAAAAATGATGAATCCTGGAGGAGAGGAAAGAAGGACAGGGTAGTCGGATGAAGCCTGAGCTCCCTGAAAGTAGCTAACATCCAAGCAATTAGTTGGCAGTGGGGCTGGGACTACGATGTTGGTCGTTTCCTAGTGTCAGAGTGGATGTGTGATAAATTACAAGATTAACAACACCTAGAAGTTTTTTTTAAAAAGGATGGATATTTATGGCAAATTTACCTTTATTTGATGCTGGAGCTGGACACACTCTCTATGGAGCTCTTCACATGGCCCCATGAGCTTTGGTGGGGAGAGGTGTTAAAAGGTGTAAATGGCCATTTTCAGAATGAGGCCTGCAGAGCAGCGGTTCTCAACCAGAGACTGTTTCACCATCCAGGGGATACTTGGTAGTTTCTGGAGACATTTGTGGTTGTCACACTGGAAGTGGGAAAAGATACAACTGGCACCTGGTGAGTAGAGGCCAGGGGTGCAGCCAGACACCCACACTGCACAGGGCTCCCCATGTCTAATGGCGCAGCCCAAGGGCCATTGTGCCGAGGCTGAGAACCCTGCTCTAGATGGATTTTATTTTATTTTATTTATTTTTATTATTTTATTTTATTTATGTTACGTTACAAGGCTTGCGGGATCTTAGTTCCCAGACCAGGGATTGAACCCAGGCCCCCGGCAGTGTAAGTGCAGAGTCCTAACCACTGGACCACCAGGGAAGTCCCTGAGAAGCCTGCTCTAGAGCAGCAGTTTCTCTGGTTGAAACTTTGGGTCAGTGGGCATTAGTCAAATTTCATTTTATTTAATCATTCTTTTTTTTTTTTTTTTTTGCGGCACATGGGCCTCTCACTGCTGCGGCCTCTCCCGTTGCGGAGCACAGGCTCCGGACGCGGAGGCTCAGTGGCCATGGCTCACGGGCCCAGCCGCTCCACGGCATGTGGGATCTTCCCGGACCGGGGCACGAACACTTGTCCCCTGCATTGGCAGGCGGACTCTCAACCACTGCGCCACCAGGGAAGCCCTAATCATTCTTTTTCTTAACCTTTTAGTCAGTAATTATTTGTGACTCCCTTAGACTTTTTTTTTTTTTAATTTATTTATTTGTTTGTTTTTATTTTTGGCTGTGTTGGGTTGTCGTTGCTGTGCGCGGGGCTTTCTCTAGTTGTGGCAAGGGAGTGCTGCTCTTGTTGTGGAGCACGGGCTCTAGGCGCACAGGTTTCAGTAGTCGTGGCACGTGGGCTCAGTAGTTGTGGCTTGCGGGCTCTTTAGCGCAGGCTCGGTACTTGTGGCACACGGGCTTAGTTGCTTCGCAGCATGTGGGATCTTCCCGGCCTAGGGGTCGAACCCATGTCCCCTGCATTGGCAGGCAGATTCTTAACAACTGCGCCAACAGGGAAGCCCCCCTCCTTAGACTTTGAAAATATAGGAAGAATACTGATTTTGAGTTTTTTCAAAAGCTGACTTTCCCTGTTACTTTCTATTTTCTTGCCTAAGATTTACTTGCAAATCTCTGTGGGAAAAGAAAAATTAGAAACACTTTTGGCTCTTGGAACTAGCAGAGCTCACCCTGAATGAGGTGGGATTTGCAGGAACTTCACATCTGAAGCCCTTTAAAAATGCTGTTAATTTGTACTAAGGGGCAAGCAATACTGATTTTTGATCAGCCTGAATTTAATTTTTCAAAATGTTACTTAGTACATAACAACTTGAAATAAGCTACTGATGTTTTTAAGTTTGCAAAGGATTCTTTGGAACTTATTTCAATAATTAGGAATGAAAGCTCATTTTTAAGGGAATGCATGTCAAAGGGTATGAAACGTTTGTTTCCTAGCAGGGTACCTATTTCTTACATTCCTATTCATAGAGTTTGTTCTGTGAATCCTTGTTTCCTGGTAGTGCTGAGCCCCCTGGGAGCCTTGTAGCTCAAGGGTGGCCCTGGTCAGCACTGGAGCCTCCACTCTGCCCCTCGCTACCGGGTTGGCTGTGCTCTGAGGCTTGTTTGAGTTCTGGGCTTCTCTTTGGTCCCTTTGGTACAGTCCTCTGACTCTGCTAGACCGGAAGTTAACAGGATTATATGCTCATAGATTTTTCTGCCCCCCAAACTTTTCATATTGAAAATTCACAATTATTGGGTATTTGAAAGAATTACATGGTGAACACTTGCATGCCCTACCACTTAGATTCTACAGTTAACATTGTGCTATATTTCTTTTATCACATATTTAACCGTCTATCAATTTATCTTATTTTATGCATTTCAGAGTAAATTATAAATACCAGTGTCTTTCATGCTGAACACTGCTTAAGCAAACATATCAATATTAATCTTTTTATTGTTCTTTTATCATCTAAGCTTGGCATATTGGAAGGTAAATAATTTTGTAGCTCATTGATTTGTTTTTCCCTTAAAACATAGTCCTTACTATAAGGCTAGAGATTGACTGTGGGGAAGCTACTAGCCAAAGTACACAAAGCTTAATAATTTTAATTGTAGTAAATCTGTTTTTATTGTCTTCTCTGACCGTAATTTAATCTTCTATTTTCTGCTTACATAAAAATAATTTTGGATGTATGTGTTCTGTATTTTTAGATACCTTTGTCTGGATATGGAGGCACAAGTAACCTGATTTTGGAAGATGTTAAAAAGTTATCTGACAGTTACCTGGTAACAGTGAATGACTTAGTGCCTGGCAAAGAAAGTAGGATTGTTTTTTCTGTTCGTAACACTGGCTCTCGAGCAGCTTTTGTTAAAGCTGTAGGTTTTAAGGATTCTCAAAAAAAAGTTTTGCTGAATCCTCGAGTATTAAGGATTTTTCCAGACAAATTTGTGCTCAAGGAAAGAACACAAGAAGTAAGTATGAAAGTCTCTGCACTAAAAATATGAGCTTATTTTTAGGTTAAAGTAATAATTATGTATTTTATGGTGGAGAGCTAAAATCATATTTGAAAGGAACGTATGAGTGGAAGGACTTATCTGATCTTGGAAACACTCTTCATGTGCATCTTTGTCTGTAGTGACTGTTTGTGCTCCTGTGACAGTTTATTCAGAGTGAAATGACTTACTCAGAAATATTTAATATTCACTCCTGATTTTTTTCTTGGCATCAGGATGTTACTATAATATATAATCCATCAGACAGAGAAAGCAATTGTAAAAACACCACAGAACTGTCAACTATATACTTTTTTGGTGGAGATGAAATTTCAAGACAGCAGTACCGAAGGTGGGTCACTTACCTTACATGATGGTGGGGACCATTCAGTGGAAATAAAGAGGCTGTGACAGTGGTTTGGGATTTGGAATTTATAGAAGATGTTTCACTACTTTTAGTGAACTGGCAGATGAAAAATCTTGGTAAAATTTGTGTGACCGATAAGCTACCTGTAGGAGAAATACAGGTAGAAATACCTGTAGGAAACTCGTCTGCAGGTTTCCTTGCAGTATCCTTTTCTGGACGTATATAGGGGCCTCTGCTCCTTTGCTCAGAGAGGACCTTGGACTTCATCGTAGGACGGTCTTTGTAATGATGGCAGATCAGTTTCAGAAAAGATTTAAGAACTACTGAAAAGAGTATATTGTGTAAACGCACCTGACTTGGAACATTTCTGGGAGTGTTGAGAATCATTTCAGAGGATTAAGCCATATTTTAGACATGTGTAGGGTGTCTAACTCTAGCTACTTAAGCTTGTACTTGTAAAAAATTTGGTACATCTGATCTAAATGTAGTTTAATATGCTGGAATGTTGTCAACTTTATATTTAGGTCTAGGTGTGATTTAGACATTCTGTGTGTTGAATTCAGAGTTCTTGTGTCACAAAATCTTGTTTCCTAGCCTAAAGCTGAGTATGAGGTAAGTGAAGCTCCTGCCAGTTCATGGTTCGCAGGAAGTCATTGCCTCCCGGGAGGGCGGGCGTGTGCGTGGGCCAGTCTTTCCTTCTTCCAGTCCTTTGTGCTCTGCTGTGTTTTATTCTGATACACAGTTCAGGAAACTGTTTTATTTTTAATCTGTGAAAGACTGTTAGAATGTTTAAGAAGAGTTTAGTGATGAGTTGCTACATGATGATAGCACAGACCTGAAGTGAAGAGCTCAACTTTGAATGTGGTTTTTTCTCTCAGTTGAGTATTTTAGAAATAGAAACTGGCATTTAGAGAAATTAGATCACAAGTTTTTTGGTTTTTTTCCTTTCTCTCTACTGGGATATAGAAATCAGCGTACTCCTTTATAACTCCTCTTTGCCATTAATTTATAGTAATGAGATTTCGTTCGTTTGTGAACATCTGTGTTTTATAGAGAAATTTACTTTTTAGTTCTCTCACCTCAAAATTCTCTAGAAGAGGTCAAAGTAACAGAATTACATGGTAATTTAAATATTCCCTTCTGATGTTTTATTTGTATCATTTTCTTGGCTTATTTTTTCTGAGACAAATTTCTAACTGACCAAATTTTCACAAATAATGAAAATGTATGACCCGAAAAGAATCTGATTTTATCTTTTTTCTACTCTTCTGTTAGGAAGTGGTTGATTTGATGTGTTTAACTGAAACTGATGATTGTACTACCATGTATAACTTTTAAGGGAATTTCCAAAACAAGGGTTTTTTTTTTCAATTACTTATATTGGGATTTAGGATATAATATCTATGAAGTAATGTATCATGTTAGTGGGATTTTCCAGATGCATGAATAAAATCTAATTAAGGTTATTTTGTATGTATAAACGACTTGTGAATAAAATCTCTACTGGCAGAGCCATGCTGCACACACCAGGGGTGAGGAAGCAGTTCCTTCCCACCCAGAGCATGCTGCAGAACATCGACTTCGCGGAAGCATTTCAGGACGAGCTGCTCGTAACTGAAGGTAGGAATTTCAGCGTATTTTAAATCTTCTGAGTCCAGTGTGTGAGGAGGAAGAGTGTTAGCTTAGATGTGGTATCAGGCTGAATTTGAGTCACAGCTTTACTCTATGACTTTGGACAGATTACATCACTGAAATTCAGTTTCCTTAGCTGTAAAATGAGAGGAATAATGTCTGTGTTCTCTACACAGAGTTCTTGTGAAGATCAGATGAGAGGGCTTTGCCTTGTAAATGTTAGATGTTATTAATATGTTATTGCACCTAGTCTTTGGGTGGACTTGTGAATAGAGGAGGAGAACGGTTATGATTAAACTCAAGTTATTACGTTTAAGATTTCATGATTGCAAACTTACACTCATTTTGAGATTTCTCTGCTCTTGTGACTGCTGTGCAGTTTATGGAGGATGTGATAGTGGTAGTGTGACTCTAATCTAGATGTTTAGCGCTATTTGAACTGAGCTGAGCAATTCAGATATTTAATGGTATCTATGACTCATACAAAATATAAGAATGGAAACATGCAAATTGTGTAAAAGTATGTGTACAGATTTTCACCACAGTATTGTTTATAATAGGAAGAAATTAGAAGTAACCTAAACGCCCAAGAGTAGGGGATCGTTTAATTATGCAATAGAATATCTTCAAGGCATTCAGACAATATGATTCTATATCAAGTGACATGGAAAGCTCCTCAATTTATTAAGAAAAGAATTATTTTAAAATTTTGCATATAAGATCACGTGTCTCCCCCTTGGCCTGTGAGCCCCTAGAGGCAAGGGCTGCACCTTCTACCCCTGTGACTCATGCCCTGCACTCCCCACCAGCTCATTTGGTAAAAATAATTTAATGTCTTATTTATAGTTACCTAGGTAAAATTGCAGGAGTATACACACCAAAATATTAACAGTGGTTATATTCTGGTGGTAGAATTTCAGGTGGTAGTGTCTTTTCCCCCCATTTTTATTTTCTAGTTTTTTAATGATGAAATACACACTCCTGAAGTGGGAAATGATAAAGGAAAAGGATATTTATGCCTATGTAGAGGTGATATAGAATAGTTTATGATCTTTTCAGCAAATTGGGAGTCTAGATCATCTGCTTCAAGGGTGGGTTAGTTAAAAATAATGAAAAGATTTGAAATGGTTGGAAAGAACGTTGGATTTGGAGCTGAACCTCAGTTCATAGCCCATCTCTGCTACCTCAGCTCCTCCGAGCTTCACCTTCCATATCCCTTCCTCAGAGGAAGGATCCACGTGAAAGAGTTAACCTGAACTGTGCCATGGAGATGGACCCAGACACATAGCAGCAGCAGTGAAGTCTAATGAGAACTAGGCAGCATGAGTGTGCAGCCCTCGCAGCTTCACGACTCTATGGCTGAGTGGACTTGGTGGGGAGTGCAGGGCACGAGTCACAGGGGAAGAAGGTGCCGCCCTTGCCTCTAGGGGCTTACAGGCCAAGGGGGAGACAGGTGATCGAAGTATAGCATGAAAGTGCTGTGACAGAACTGTCCTTAGGGACCTGGGGGCCGCGGAGAAGTGGCACTCTGCTGAGAAAGCGGGGAGGGGGTTGACAAGGAGGAGAAGGTGTGGACCAGGGTGGGGGAGGGTATTCAGGCAGAGGGAGCTGCATGTGCAAACATTCAGGAAGTGGGTGTGTTAAGGGTTATGTTGACAAACCTGACCAAGCACTCAGGTGACCTGCTGAGACCCCCCTGTGATGGGGTTGAGTGGGGGCTTCAGGTGGGTCCTTGGGGCCAGGTTGCACATCAGGGAGTATTGGGCTCCTGGAGGTGGTGTGCATGCTGTCCAGGTGAGGGGAGGAAGCAGCCCCACTTGGTCTTCTGCTGGTTGGTGTAATGGATCCCTATAAGAATGTTGCGGTTGAACTTTTTACATGATTATTTTGAAAAACATTTGAGCGTATTACTATTAAGCATTCATAGCGATCTTACTTTTGTAAAATGTGTAATTACTGTGGCAAATAATTTCACAATTAAACTTTTATAGTCAGATGTATTTAATATAAATTTTAATTTACACTTCCTGTGTTCTTTCTGAGTTTCCATCCTAAAAATACTTAATTCTTAATATCTAATTTATATGTAGAATACAAGCATGTTCTCTAAAATTTCTTGTATATATAAATTCAGGTAGGTTTATCTTTGGATAAACCTCGAGCACTGTCTGATCAATCTAAATACATGTAGTTATACTAATACTGCCTGTTTCTGGATTTACTTAAGTTTTTATGAGACTGCCGCTTATGAAGTGTGTGCTCTCAGCCTCTGTGTTTTGGCCCCTCATTTGGGGTGGAGGTGATGATGCCTCGGAGAGCTGTGGAAACTGACCAGGTTGGTTTATGTTGGAGGTCAGAACAGTGCCCACAGCCCTGAGAGAGGTTGTTACTCATACTTCCCGTGAGGAGACTGAGGCTCGGACTGGTGAAGGAAGCTGCCAGAGGTCCCAGGCTGAGCGTTGGCGTGGCTGTAATCCAAATCCAGGGCCAGAGCCTGAGCTGCCAGTCATTGATGCTAATCCGTAGTGTTAAAAATCCAAATGTCACCTACCCCCAACTAAGAAGATACAAGAAAATATGTAAATATATGAGTGCCTCTGTTACTTGGTGGTGTGATTATGTGAAGATTCATGTATTTCAAACATTATTTTCTATTTCAGTATATGACCTTCCCCAGCGGCCCAATGACGTCCAGCTCTTTTATGGAAACATGCGTAAAATTATACTTTCAGTAATTGGAGAATTTAGAGATTCTGTTTCTAACAGAGAGTTTCTTCCACCTTCTTCCAGACCTAGCTTGGAATCTAAAAGGTAAAACTAACAAAACATCTTTTATCTGAGTTGAAGATTATTTGATTCACACTGGAGCTGATCTTTTACCTTGTGCTTTGTTGGGTTTTTGTCTCAAACTGTTTATTTCATCTTTATTTTTAAGTTGAAAGAATTCCAAATTTACAGAAAAGTTTAAAAACAATACAGAGGGACTTCCCTGGTGGTGCAGTGGTTAAGAATCCGCCTGCCAATGCAGGGGACAAGGGTTCGATCCCTGGTCTGGGAAGTTCCCACGTGTTGCAGAACAACTAAGCCTGTGCCACAACTACTGAGCCTGCACTCTAGAGCCTGCGTGCCACAACTACTGAGCCCATGTGCCACAACTGCTGAAGCTTGCGTGCCTAGAGCCCATGCTACACAGCAAGAGAAGCCACTGCAATGAGAAGCCCGTGCACGGCAATGAAGAGTAGCCCCCACTCGCTGCAACTAGAGAAAAGCCCATGTGCAGCAATGAAGACCCGACGCAGCCAGAAACAAATTAATTAAGTTACTTTTATAGAGAACTCCCATACGCTATCTGCACCGAGATTTCGCAGTTGGTAACGTTTTACCACATCTGCCTTATGGTCTTTCATGTATATACAGGTTTTTCTGAACCATTTAGGAGTGACTTGCAGACATGATGACCAGTAGCCCTGAACTGGCTGTAGATGCTCCCCCTCATAGGCACGGCAAGCCCGTCAAGGTTAGGACACTGATGCGGCGATACAGGACCACCATCTGGTCCACGGAGTCTCCCGGTGGTGTCCTGTATAGTTAAGGCAAACAGCAAACAAGAAACTGCCTCTTTCCACTTCCTCTTTGGTCCAGAATCTAATCTGAGATCACACGTGCATTTGGTTGGCTTGTCCATTTACTCTCTTTCAATGAAGAGAGTTCCTCAGTCTTTCACAACAGAGAAAACACACAAGGTTTGCTTATCAAGTACGATCCACAGAATCAAAGGTATTTTCCAGAATGAAGCTTCAGTACTAATTTGGGGTGAAACACAGAGAAACCTGGGGTTGCCCATGGTACTTTCTAGATCTACTTTGTAACATCAGCACTCCCCTCTGGCTTAGATTTAACACAAGGTCCATAAGTTGTGGGTGTGTTGTGTCACACAAGAGACTATTTTGATCATGCAAGGTATTTTATGCTTTGATAACTATGTAACTTATGTGATGCTTTTCAAACAGCTGTGCCACATAAATTCGTAAGTTTCAGATTTCTTTACCACAAGCAATGTGAGACAGACCAGGTGCTGCCTGTTTTAAGGACCCCAGTGCATTTGCTGTGGTATCCGGCATTTGCAAGATTACAAGGTGATTTAACCAACCCATCTTTCTTTTTTTTCTCTGGTCGTTTCTGGTAAAAAGGGAAAAGTAGGCTGCAGGCCAGCTGCTAACTCTTTCTTACCAGGTACCTTGATGTTTTTATACAATACAGGCCAGTTACTTTGTAAAATATTCTCGATTTCAGTTCACAGCTTCAGGACCTGCAGAATGATGCTGTTGGTTTCTCAGTGAAGCTTCCTCAGTGGTGAACAGTGCTGATTTGTCCTGTTACTAGCAGTATTTTTATCACTTTGTTTAAGTGGTGTTTGCCAGGTTTCTCTGCTGTAAAGTTAATAAATATCTTGAAGGGATATTATAATACACAACTTGGAGACAATGAATGATCTTGTTTCTCGTGAGACTTTGAGCACCCAGTGAGGATTGCTTCCTGAATCATATTATGTCTGTCTTGGTTACTAAATGGTGATTTTCTTATCCCATCTTTCTGCATTTATTAGTTATCTTTCTACTTTGAGGAAGGAATTTCCTTTTTCTTCTTATTCACATATATTAGGACCGACTCGTGGATTCAAGATTAATCCTTGTTGTCATTATTTAGTCCCCTGACCTGCTCCTTGGTCCTTTGCCTGTGCCCACACCACCTCTGGGCACCTCCTTATTCACAGGTACAGCAGGATGGTCGAGGCTCGTCCTTCACTTGCCTGTCCAGCCTGGAAACGAGGACATGGGCAGCAACGTGCTCATTGCTATTGAGGTGTCCTTGCTTCTAGGCCCGCTCAGTGGACAGAGCTAGGAAATATATGAGTTTATATACAAATCCACGTGCAATTTATATCTACTTCTGTTTATAAATGTGTTAAAATCTTGAGTTTACACTGATACCTCCAATTCTAATCTAACATAACACATGGATTCCTTTCCTCCTTCCCATAATTGTACCTTTTTTCTCCAGTACTGAGAAGCCTGGCCCCATTATTTTCAATATGTTTACGTTTTACTCAGTCTCCCTGTTTTCAGCCAATCTTGTCTTCACATGGTCTGTCTCCCTGGGCCCAGTGTGGCCAACTCACACCAGCAAGTCTTAGTGGCACCACTTGAGGGCTGACTCCCCCCATCCCCATCACCCTAGTGCCTCTGACTCACGCCAACTTGGTTTCTTTAATCCTTATGCTGTTCGTGTTAATTTTTTTTCTAAGATAGTCAAAGATAGTATTAACATGTATTAAAAATTACCTTGAGGGCTTCCCTGGTGGCGCAGTGGTTGAGAGTCCTCCTGCCGATGCAGGGGACACCGGTTTGAGCCCCGGTCCGGGAGGATCCCACATGCCGCGGAGCGGCTGGGCCCGTGAGCCGTGGCCGCTGAGCCTGCGCGTCCGGAGCCTGTGTTCCGCAACGGGAGAGGCCACAACAGTGAGAGGCCTGCGTACCGCAAAAAAAAAAAAAAAAAAAATTACCTTGACAGTTACTTCAGTTGTGAGGAACTTGTTCTTAGGAAGCTAAACAAACAGTAATCAACTTTGTGTTTTAAATTGTTTTCTGATGTTTGGCTGGTGCCCCCTTTGTTTCTCTGGGGCGGTATAGGTCTGATTGGAAAGGGGGGTGGTCAGAGGGCAGTGAATTAGGGGTGAAGAGAGGGATTTCTCTCTGTCCGCCAAGTGTTGACTGGAGTCCAGGTGTAGCCCTGCTGTGTGGTAGGTGAACTTGGTCACCGCACCAGTGAACTTCAGTTGTCATGTGTTCACGTGATTACGAAATTTAGTTGAATTACAATTTTTTAGTAATCTAAGGCTTATTAGAAAACCCAATTTCAACACTTAGTAAAAAAACTTCCTAAACTTTATTAGCATTTCTTAACTGTAGTTTTTTGCCAAGAAGATTTTGTTTTAAAGTTTTTTGGTGTTAGCGTTGTAAAGCCAGTTATCATTATTCAGTTATAGATACTTGAAGAGTTTTGTTGTTTTTCTTAAATTCTTAATATTGGGTAGGTTATTTTTGTTTATTTTTAAGGAAGGAAATTCTTTTTATTTATTTTTTGTCTGTGTTGGGTCTTTGTTGCTGCGCGCGGGCTTTTCTCTAGTTGCGGCGAGCAGGGGCTACTGTTTGTTGCGGTGCGCGGGCTTCTCATTTGCAGTGGCTTCTCTTGTTGCAGAGCACAGGCTCTAGGTGCGCGGGCTTCAGTAGTTGTGGCACGTGGGCTCAGTAGTTGTGGCTCACGGGCTCTAAAGCCCAGGCTCACTAGTTGTGGCGCATGGGCTTAGTTGCTCCGAGGCATGTGGGATCTTCCCGGACCAGGACTCGAACCTGTGTCCCCTGCATTAGCAAGTGGATCCTTAACGACTGTGCCACCAGGGAAGCCCTGGGTAGTTTTCTAGTAAATCTTTTTTAAAAAACATTTATTTATTTGGCTGTGCTGTGTCTTAGTTACGGCACGCAGGATCTTTAGTTGTGGCATGAGGGATCTAGTTCCCTGACCAGGGATCGAACCCGGGCCCCCTGCACTGGGAGCACGGAGTCTTAGCCACTGGACCACCAGGGAAGTCCCTCTAGTAAATCTTTTAAGAGACCTCAGATGGCAGCAGAAGTCAAGGCAGGAAACAAATCATTGCAGATTCTAATTAAAGATTAGTAACATTTAACCTATACTGTACTTTACTTTTTATACACTTCTTTAAGAAAACCCCAATGTGAAGGATTCTTATTCACTGAAAAATATATAATGCACTTTTATTTTTATGTTTTCAGATTTATGAATAATTAATATAAAAATGTGACACAGTCTGCTTTATCATTTTAAATTTCTTTTCTCTCTCTCTCTCTAGTGAATCTGGCAGTTGTGGGACACATGGTGGTAACATTTCTTTGGATGTTTTACCAGTGAAAGGTCCTCAGGGGTCTCCACTTCTTTCACAAGCTGTTCGCCCACCTCAAGATAAATCGGCATCGGAAGAAGTGTGGGCTGTCCAACCTGAACACTTGATTTTAGTCGCCCCTTCTTGTGAGTATGCCCCCAACGACAGGACAGAAAGTCCCTCTGGGGCCCGGGCTATACTTGCTCTGTCCTCAGGGCTCTTGTAGGACAGACCTGGGCTCCATGCAGATGTGGCTGGTGGCTTGCCCAGGCCTCCCCTGCCTGCTACAGACCCAGCCAGAGTGTCATCCTGACACGAGGCCTTGGACCCCAGGCCAAGCTCCTGTGTGGCAGAGCTGCCCATCCGGGGGTCTTGATTCCTGCCCCCCACGCCCCCATCCCCCACTGAGAATGCATTTGGCACTTGGCCTCTTTTACCCTTAACGTTGATACCCTTGGTCCAGAGTGGGAACAAATCTAGTACCTATGTCTGTGCCCAAGACAGGGAGTAACAATTACCAGATTTCCTTTTTCTTCTTTGTTCACTACTAAACTTTGTTCAGTGTCATTGTAGTTTCCAAGAGTAAATGAAGGTCTTGCTTTACCAGGAATTTGAAATTTCTGTAATTGGGCAGTTGGGAAAACAAAATGAGTTAGTATGGTAGTGTTTTTATTTAGGATTTATTTTTACTGTTTATTACCCTTCGTCTTTTTCACAAATGCTAAATGTAAGTAACATTTTATTTATCTGCTGTCATAGGTGATATGGCAAAAACTGGACGTTTCCAGATTTTAAACAATTCTGTTAGGTTACTGAAATTTGAGCTGTACTGGCCAGCACACTGTCTTACAGTGACACCACAACATGGGTTTATCGCACCAGAGTAAGTATGACCTCCCTTTCCCCTGGGTGTTATTTAGATGCTTTAGCATGGTGACTTTTTAAGGATCAAATAATAGGCCATTTTAATTTATTCAGTAGAATTTTGCAGTGTGCTGACTCTGTAAAGAGCACCATGCATGGATCTGTGGGACCACAGTGAGTTCAAGACTCATGCTTCTTAGCGGGTGGAGACCATGTCCACAGCCAGTTTACGGTATCAGCCTAACAGGGTGGAGAGACGTGTGAGGCGGGGGAGAGTTGCTGATGTAGCTCTGCCTACAGAATTACAGCACAGGGATGTGGCTGTGCACGTGATGAGGGTAGTGGTCTCCAAAGCTCCGGTGGTCTTGCCTTTGTCACCTTGGGTCTAGCAGCTTATTCTGCTGGTTTTCTCTAAGGACATTTTACAGACACAGATTCCTGGCTTCTGATATGTCTGAGCCATAATCTAGTTTGCCGTTTTCTACAAAGGATATTTTAAGGTAAAAAGAAGTCTTTGGGGGCCAGATGGTGATGAGCAACTGCCCTCTCTGTGCAGCTTAATTATTGGGATATAGCCTCAGCTCTGCAGCTTCTCAGGGACTGTGTCTGGGTTGGCACAGAATACGCACATCTGAAAGTTGCTTCACATTTGGGAATAGCAACTTTGCACAAGAGCAACATGAAGTTTATTTGCTTTTGCAAAATGATGGCGTATGCGTTTCAGGAGAGTTGATTTGACCAAGACCGGGTTAAGGTATGGTTGGGGACACTCCAGAGAAAGGTTCCTAGGACCAAAGCAGTCAATTAAATGTTTGTCTGTTAATGGGTGAAAAGCTGGGAGACGACTGGACAGGTTATTCAGAGACTTGTCCATCACCCTGCACGTTGAGCTTTTAGCAGTGGGAGGTCATCTTGGCCATTTTGGACGTGGGTACTGACCTCTCTTTATAACTGGTGGTTTCTCTTAAGTCACAAATCCAGTTACATCGTCCACATTTACGTCTTTGACATCCCATAGCTCTTGAAGAGAACAGTGAGCACAGAAAACCTGACCGACCCCCTTTCCCACCCTCTCTTCCCTTTCAGTTACGCTGTGTGACCGTGACGGCTCGTTCTTTATCATTGGCGGCTCAGAGCCTTTGTGTTACTGGTCTTTTGCTCCAGAAATGTTTAACTTGAATTGCTGTTTCGATGGCATTTCAGTGATGTGGTCCATTTTCACATGAGCTTTGCCCTTAGGTTCTTGGGTTCACACCACTCAGCTTTTTGTCAGCCACTGGGTTGGGGTTGAGGCCAAATCAGATGCGCCTGGTAGCTTACCTCTGTTATCTGCTCTTTCTGAGCAGTGAGGAAATAGTTGGTGACTGACAGGACAGTGTTTGTAACTCTTGTGGTTACTGCTGTTCCAGTACAGGGTATTCTTGGTTCTCAGTGTTCAATTCTTCTTTCAAGGAGCAACCTACAAATTCTTGTGAGTCCTAATTCCTCCTTATCCACAAAACATTCAATGTTCCCATGGAGTGGCTTGATCTATATACACTGTGACAATGGACAGAAGGTAATTTTTTAAACTTTTTTTTGGTCAACATTTCTCTTTTTTTGCAGTTTAAGTTTTGTAATCCTCACTGATAGCACTTAACATTTCAGAAATCGAATTGAGGTGTCCTTTCAGCCCAAATAGACTTAATTAAATAGAGTAGTTAGTGCAGAGTTTTTCCACTAGTGAGCTGAACAAGTGTCCTGGGTGGGCAGCAGTGGAGAGTGGGGCCTGGAAGCCATCATTAACTTGAAGATTTTGCTTTGGAAAAAAGAGGGGAGTTGGGAGAAAGGATAAAGTCGAAGAGCTACTTTGGGATCTGAATGGACTTTAAATTCACCAGTGTTTCATTCGTTTGGCATTACTTTTCTCTACCATAATTTAAAAATAGGAATTTTTTTTAAAAAAAACAACAGCTTCACTTGCATCTTATCCTTTTGTTTGGCTCATTTCAGAAAATTGTGAAGGTTCAAATTCGAGAAGACTTGACCCAAGAAGAACTTTTCACTTGTTTGACCTCCAGCCCATTTAGAATCCTTTCCCCAGAAACAGAGCCTTCAGTTAATCATCTGGTAAAACCAGTGACAAAACCACCTTCCACAAGAGTTGAGATAAGAAATAAGACTGTTACTTTTCCTACAACAGAACCTGGCGAGACTTCAGGTATTGTATCACAAGGTTACGTAATTCAGACTTCTGCTAGTACGTTGGATCTAACGCTCTTAGTTAACTGTAGTTTGTGATAGGTGCAGATTTCCCGCTACTTCAAGAGAAAATCAGTTAGTCACTGGAAATCTTTTCAGTTATGAGCTGGATTTGCAGATGCTTAAAAATTGTACCGTGTTGAATTTAGGCCTTTAATAACTCTCTGTTCCAGGAGGCTTAGATTTTCTTATCAGAACCATCCCTCCCCGACTCTCACTAGGTCTTTGACCAGAGTTGCTACTAAGTTAGTGGCTGAAGAGGAGAGGAAGGTGGGTGGAGCCTGGCTCTGTCAGTTACTCTTTGACTACAGGCTCCAAACTTGCCCAGACTCCCCAGCTGTGATTAACACCCACCACCCAGGGCCTGGGGATGGTGACGTGGTGTGTGAAGCACCTCTGAGCTTCCTTGGGCCGGAGTAGTGCTTTCTGCCCTGTGGGCGCTCTCCCTGCGGCCTCGGGGTCTAGGATTGCACATGGACAACTTAGATAGGGTCTGGGGCCACCTGTTGCCTGGCCCCCCAGCTCCTCAACTCTCGCGGTCTGTCTTCCACTGCAGCTCAGTCTCCTGCCCTCAGGGTCCCTCCTGGATCTCGTCGGCACCAGGATCTGTACCGTGTTTTCACTCAGTTTCAAGCCTGTCACTTCTGCCCATCACCCCCTCTGGCTCTTCCCAGCTCACTTACTCCAGGGGTCAGCAGTTGCCTGACCACATTCAGACCTCCAGGCCTTTCCCCTGCCCATCGCCCCACCCACAACGCACTTCTCCCCTATCCCTCCTCGACTTCTGTGCTCTGTCCCTGTAACCCCTCACAAACACTCGTGACTGCCTTGTGCCCCTCACCCTCTGCATTCCCGTCTGGCAGAATCCCAGCCCTGGTTAAACCTGACTGTCTCCCCGGCCCTGTCTCTGCCCCTGAGTGCTGCGCAACTTGGGCCCCTAGACGCCCTGAGCACAGGCTTCCCCAGCGGCCCTTGCAACCCTCCTCCCCGCTTGCCCCCACCCCCAGCAGCTGAGGCTTCTCTGCCGCAGCCCCCGCTGCCCCCTCCTCCCTGCTCCTGCTCTTTCCGGCTCTTGCCTTTGCCTCACACATGGTTGAAAATCTAGAGATCATCCCAGGTGACTCTTGTGCTGGGAACCTGGGCCCACCTGCTCCTGCCATCTCAGGCAGGGCTTCCTCGGGCCCTCCTACCCCCTTGTCAGCATTTCTTCCTCTTTGCCAAAGCGTCTCCGTCAGGAGGCAGCATGCCTGCCGTCACTCATGGACAGGGTGCCCTCGGCCCCTCGCCTTGCTGCGGCTGCCCTCCTCCCTGGCCCCTTCCTGCCAGGGTTGTGCTCCCACCCTCGCTTCTGCTGCCACCAACCAGACCCTGAACTTGCTCCCATCAAGGTCACTAGAAAGCTTGATTTTGCCAAATCCAGGGCATCTTTTGTGTGTCTGTGTCAGTTTGACCTTAGCACTGGCAGCCACTCCTTCCCCCTTGGAGCAGCTCTCGGGGCTCACCTTGCCTCAGGGCCCCTCCTGAGCCTGTGCTGCTCCCTCCTCCTCTTCCGGCTCCTAACGCCTGCATCCCGCTCCTTCTCTCTGCTCGCCCTGAGCCCCAGATGTGCACCCCACACATCCACGAAACCTGCTTCTCCAGCCTTTCCCATGTTAGCAGTGGCACCACTGCTTGTGCACTTGGTTGAGCCAAATCCCTACAGTTGATGTCTCTTCCCTTCTGTTCACCTGTCCCGGCTGTCAGCACGTCCTTTGCAGTCTGTCTTCAGAATAAACCCCACATCTGCCCGCTGACTTTCCTCCCTTGGCCATCAGCAGGCCTGGTGCATGCAGGTCACCCTGTGCGGCATCTCGGCCGAGGGCCACAGTGACATGGGCCAGGCTCTGCCCGCACTCTGACCCCGTGCAGCCTCTTAACCTGTGCAGCACCAGGGGTTCACGCATGGTGAAGACCCTGCTGTAGTTCTTCAGTAGCTTTTTGCATTGCACTTCCATTAAATACAAGATAGGGCATCTGTCTGACAGGACTTCGTTAGAAAATAATGTTATTCCTGTTGGACTCCAAGGGATCTAAGTGTATTTTTTCCCTGTGATGAGGTCAACACAGTATTTTCCACAAATTATCCCACGAATCTGCTTGTTTATTTACCCCTCAAAGAGTTTGAGTTGTTAAATGTGTTCCTTTTAGGAAGTTACCTGGAACTTGAGAATCACGGTGACACAGAAGTGAGGTGGCACCTGTCATCCTTAGCCCCACCTTACGTCAAGGTCAGTAATAATTGCCTCAGATATACTCATTTTAATGTTTAACTTTATGCAGGATGTTTCAAAATCTGAATTATGAGCATATGTTGAGATTACTGGTTTTTGTTCCCCTGCATCATTTACTTAATTATCTTTGTAAGTGGGGCTAACCTGCCCAGTCGTGTTCACAAGGTGGTTTTGAGAGTCAAGTTAGAGAATGTATGTGAAAATACGTGCTTGCTCTGTTTCATGCTCTCTCCTGCAACTCTGCTTTTTATCTGAAATAACTATTTTGAAAAATATATAAAAGTTTTATACCAGGGCATTGTGTGTGTGCTTTTCTATCCTGAGTTCCAAGTGCTGCTGTGTGTTTTCACCTAGTGGGAGCGAGTGCAGAGACGGGATTGAACCTTCCTTGCCAGTGAGTCTTAGCCTGTGTGCCTTGCAAGTGGTGTCCGCCACTGGGCACCACCCGAGCCAAGTGTGGTCACGTGTGATGTGGCCGCTCTGCCCTTTTCTTGGTTTGACCATCATGGTTATGAGCCATAATGTTAACAAGACGTGTGTAAAAGATAGTGCTGGGGGCTTCCCTGGTGGTGCAGTGGTTGAGAGTCCGCCTGCCGATGCAGGGGACGCGGGTTCGTACCCCGGTCTGGGAGGATCCCACATGCTGCGGAGCGGCTGGACCTGTGAGCCATGGCCGCTGGGCCTGCGCATCCGGAGGCTGTGCTCCGCAATGGGAGATGCCACAGCAGTGAGAGGCCCACGTACCGCAAAAAAAAAAAAAAGATAGTGCTGGGCCCACTGACAAAAAATGAAGCACAGGTATCGTATGGAGTGTTGAAACACATGCTCAGCAGGGTCTTCAGGGTTTTTGAGGAAATGGCAGTCCTCCGATGCGGGAGCAGCCTCCTCTCCTACAGAGCACTGCCGCCAGTGGTGGGATGAGGGTCTGCGTCAGGTGAGGCCTGGTGTGAGCCAAGCCCAGGGTGCTCCTGGCCCACCATGAAACAGGCTGGTTTGACCTCAATGACCGTGAAGGCAATGGTGTCACTGGAATAGATCCGCTTACTTTTTTGTTTTTTTATTTGATTGTTTAAACGGTGTCTTTGTAGGGAGTTGATGAAAGTGGAGATGTTTTTAGAGCTACCTATGCAGCATTCAGATGTTCTCCTATTTCTGGTGTACTGGAAACCCATGGAGTCCAGAAGGTGAGTTCTGACACCTTTTCACAGCCGTCTGGTAAGAACACAGTGTTGGCTGGCCAGGAGTGCCTCATTGTTTCCACCCAGAAGAGTTCACTCCACCTGGACCAGTGCTGCTCACAGCCAGGCTGCTGCAGGAGCAGCTGCAGCACAGGTCAGCGCTCTGCTTCTTCAGCGGGACATCTTGTGTGAAACAAAACACCGTGCTTGGTGGTGCGGTTGGTTTACATTCTGGTGTAAGCACTTCAAGTGGCCTCAGGTTGCCAGTGCTTAGAACACGCTTCTGGTAGCGTTGATCTAGACAGTGGTTTTGTTCACCAGCTGTAGTCAGAAAACTCTACCAGTGTTGCAGACCACTCAGTGTTCATGTGGGGTCAACAGTGTGTCTTCAGGGGCAAGTGTGACAGGTCCCTTTAGTACCACTGCCCTGGTAAGTTCTGGTTTGTTTGTAGCCCTGACCTGGCCCTTTCATGTATCTCGCAGGGATGCTAGTTGTTCACGTGGCCTCAGTAATACACTTTTCCTTTTTCATTCTAATAGCCAAAACTCATTTAAACTATAGCATTTACTTGATATGGGTCCAGTTCCTCAGAGATTCAAACTTGTAATAAGGTTTATTAGAACATAGTTGTGAGCTTGCAACTGACCATGAGAGAATTTTTGAGCAATGACAGAGTCACAAACTCTGTGTGCTTCACTGGATCTGTGTAACAGGTTTCCAGAGGGTTTCTGACTTTCTTGTAAAGACACAGAGTTCTACCAGCGTAGTTTATTTCACTTCCCAGACTACAAGCAGCTGAGCAGGGAGCACACGTTGCTCAGCAGAAGTTCTGCATCTGAAAGGAAGGTGCAGAGAAGCCCCAGCAGGAAAGTCGTGAGCTGTGTGTGGATCAGAAGACCTGATGGTATTAAAACAGCAGTGCTCCCTAAACTCATCTACAGGTCCCAATGAAAATCCCAGCTTGTTTTTAAGAGATTGACAGGCTGGTCCTAAAATTCATGTGGGTGTGCAAGGGACCCAGAATAACCAAAACAGTCTTGGAAAAGGATAAAGTTGGAGGTTTCACACTTCCCATTTTCAAAACCTACAAAGCTACGGTAATCAAAACAGTGTGGTATTGACATAAAGATAGACCTATAAAATATGTGATGTAGATGTGAAAGTCCCAAAATAAATCCTCATATTTATGGTCAGCTGATTTTTCAATAAGGGACAATTCAACAGGGAAAGAATGTTTTTCAACAGTGGTGCTGGGACAGCTGGATATCCATGTGCAAAAGAATTAAATTCAACCCTTATCTCACACTATATATAAAAATTAACTTGAAGTGGACCGTAGACCTACGTGTAAGAGCTAAAGCTGTAAAACTGCTAGAAGGTAACTGTTGATCTTCACCACTTTGGGTTAAGCATCGGTTTGTTAGATGTAACACCAATAAAGCTCAAGTAACAAAAGGAAAAATAGATGAATTATCAAAGTGTAAAACTTTGTGCATCAAAGGACACGATTAAGAGTGTGAAAAGAAAACCCAGAGTATGGGAGAAAACATTTACAAATCATGTATTTGACAAAGTACTTGTATCCAGAGTGCATCAAGTGTATCCAGAGTGCATCAAAGTACTTGTATCCAGAGTGCAACAACTCAATAATATAAAGACAAATACCCAGTTTAAAAAATGGGCAGAAACTCTGAATAGACATTTTTCCAAAGAAGATATACCAGTGGCCAGTAAAGACATGAAAAGATGCTTAGAATCACTAGTCATTGGGGAAATGCAAATCAAAACCACAGTGAGATCACTTCATACTCACTAGGATGACTGTGATTTTAAAATAATAATAATAGTAATATCAAGTGTTGACAAGGATGTGGGGAAATTGGAACCCTCATACACTGCTGGTGGGAATGGAAAAGGGTGCAGCCACAGTGAAACCAGTTTGACAGTTCCTCAGAAAGTTAAAGGTAGAGTTACCATATGGTCCAACAATCACACTTCTGGATAAATACTCAAAAAAATTCAAAACCAGTGTTCAAACTTGTACACAAATGTTCATAGCAGCCTTGTTTACAATAGCTCAAAAAGGTAGAAATAACCCAAGTGTCTATCGACTGATAAGCAAAATGTGGTGTGTCCATACAATGAAATTTTATTTGGCAATAAAAGGAATGAAGTACTAATAACATGGTATCACGTGGATGAACATGCCAAGTGAAACCACAAAAGGCCAGATACTGTAAGGTTCAATTTATGGGAAATATCTAAAACGGTAAATCTGTAGAGGCAGAAAGTAGATTCGTGGTTGCTGGGGCTGGGAGTGAGGGTGGAGAATGGTGGGCAACTGCTCATGGCATGGGATTTCTTTTGGGATTGTTGTGAGTATTTTAAATTAGATTGTGGGCATGGTTGCACAGTTCTGGAGATACACTAAAAACCACTGACTACACCTAAAATGGGTGAATTATGTGGTATGTGAACAAAGCTGTAAAAAAAAAAAGAAAAATGAGGAATAGATTGTCTCCCAGGAATTTCTCATCTTATAATAGTTGACATGGAACTGTAACCTCCGTGAGGTCTCTGGTTTTTGTTTTGTGCGTCACTGTGTATCCTGGACTGAAGTCGCTGCTCACCACATTGTCAGATCACATCTCTCAAATGCACTCTAGGTCTGGATACTTAATTTATGTGCACAGCACATCACTCTGGGACCCTTTAGGGAAGTATTACCAAAGAGCACAACTGTGGTTGTATAGAGTACTGATCCAGAAGGAAAAAACAATTAGTTCGTTATGACTGAGACACCATAATTGTGTGAAACATTGGTCAGTGTGAGATGAGACTAAATGAGCCTAAGGCATGTTAGGGCTTGTTGTAGAACATGCAGTAGTGGTTTTCCCTCCTCTGTTTTTTATTCATTGGTGTTAGAGGAAGTGTAAGTGGGGTTTGTAGGAGGTGTGGTGCTGTGGTTTCAGTGGCTCCAGATGGTTGTGTGCTTGCACCATTCAGGGCATGGTTGTATCCATCCTTTCTGAATCCTCCCATTGCCCTGTCATCCATGTCCCCCACCCCGGTAGCTCCTGCCTCTGTGCTCCCAGCCTGCAGGCCCAGTTGTTTCTTAGATTCTGTGTCCACAGAAATTAGGTCAATGAAGCATTTTAATGTTAAGTCCAGACTCAAAGATACTGATTTATTGTTATCCTAACTAGGAATCAGTATTTTTAACACTAAACATTTAATTAAAAAGCTCTTAACGCTGGTAAAATTTATAAAATACTGTTTTAAAATACTTCAACTTCCTCACTGTTGACCTTTGATATGCTGCACACAAAGATTTTGTGTGTTTGACTTGGAGCTGTGTGGTCGGGGTGATGTTCTGAAGTGAGTTAAGGTAAGAGCTGCTCTGGTGGGCACAGCATCCTGGCTCCTCTGCCTCTGCTCCCACACCCACCCCTTCCTTCCTGTGGACCCTCTCGTCCCCTGCAGTCAGTGAGGTGTGAGGCCTTAGTCCTTCACCACTTGGCCAGCAGTGGGTCCCATAAGCATTTCCATGGAAGTCTGCATTGTATTTTGGGGGGTGTCAGACCTTCCTCATTTAGGTCTTGTACTCTAGAATTTTTTAATAACTTTTTTTTAAGAGTTTTCATTATTTTAACATTTCATTTCTATTTTTTGAAATATTGTTGTACAATAGCATATGTTACAGGTGTACAATATAATGATTCACAATATTTAAAGGTTATACTCCATTTGTTATTGTGCAATATTGGCTATATTCCCCATGTTGTACAATATATCCTTGTAGCTTATTTATACCTAAAGAGTTAGTACCTCTTAATCCACTACCCCTATGTTGCCCCTCCCCGCTTCCTTTTCCCCACTGGTAACCACTAGTTTGTTGCCTACATCTGTGAGTCTGCTTATTTTTTATTTGTTGCATTTTTTAGATTCCATAGATAAGTGATATCATACAGTATTTGTCTTTCTTTCTCTGACTTTTTTCACTTAGTACAATGCCTTCCAAATCCATGCAAATGGCATGCAAATGGCATGATTTTATTCTTTTTCATGGATGAGTAATATTCCATTGTGTGTATATGTATGTGTGTGTATATATATACATATATATATACACACATACACACACACATATATATTACTACATCTTCTCTATCCATTCGTCTATTCATGGACACTTACGTTCCTTCCATGTCTTGGCAATTGTAAGTAGTGCTTCTGTGAACATTGGGGTGCATGTATCTTTTCAAATTAGTGTTTTTAGTTTTTAATTTTTTGGGTAAATACTCAGGAGTGGAATCACTGCATCATATGACAGTTCTATTTTTAGTTTTTTGAGAAACCTCCATACTTTTCTCCATAGTGGCTGCACTAGTTTACATTTCCACCAACAGTGTACTAGGGTTTCCTTTTCTCTACATTCTCGCCAATATTTGTTATTTGTGTTCTTTTTTTGATGATAGCCATTCTAACAGGTGTGAGGTGATATCTCATTGTGGTTTTGATTTGCATTTCCCTGGTGATTAGTGATGTTGAGCATCTTTTCATGTGCCTGTTGGCCATCTGCATTTCCTCTTTGAATAAATGTCTATTCAGTTCTTCTGCCCATTTTTTAATCAGTTGTTTGATTTTTTTGATGTTGAGTTGTGTGAGGTTTTTATATATGTTGGATATTAACTCCTTACTGGTCATATCATTTGCAAATATTTTCTCCCTTTAGTAGGTTGTCTTTTCATTTTGTTGATGGTTTCCTTTGCTGTGCAAAAGCTTTTAAGTTTAATTAGGTCCTATTTGTTTATTTTTGCTTTTATTTCCTTTACCTTAGGAGACAGATCCAAAAAAAGTACTGCTATGATTAATGTCAAAGAGTGTTCTGCCTTTGTTTTCCTGTAGCAGTTTTATGGTTTCTGGTCTTTAATCCATCTTGAGTTTATTTTTGTATATGGTGTTAAAGAATGTTCCAATTTCATTCTCTTACATGTAGCTGTCCAGTTTTCCCAGAACCACTTACTGAGGAGACTGTCCTTTCTCCATTTTATACTCTTAACTCCTTTGTTGTAGATAATTGACCATAGATGGGTGGTTTTATTTCTGAGCTTTTTGTCCTGTTCCATAGATCTATGTGTCTGTTTTGGAGCCAGTACCATGCTGTTTTTGATTACTGTAGCTTTGTGGTATAGTGAATTCTACCAAACATTTAGAGAAGAGTTAACACCTCTCCTTCTCAAACTATTCCAAAAAATTGCAGAGGAAAGAACACTTTGTAATTCATTCTATGAGGCCATCATCACCCTGTTATCAAAACCAGGCAAAGATATCACACAAAGAAGAAAATTACAGACTAATATCACTGGTGAACATGGATGCAAAAATCCTCAAAAAAGTACTAGCAAACTGAATCCAACAATACATTAAAAGGATCATACACCATGATCAAGTGGGATTTATCCCAGGGATGCAAGGATTTTTCAATATCTGTAAATCAGTCAGTGTGATACACCACATCAACACATTGAAGAATAAAAACCATATGATCAGGGACTTCCCTGGCAGCGCAGTGGTTAAGAATCCGCCTGCCATTGCAGGGGACACGGGTTTGATCCCGGGTCTGGGAAGATCCCACATGCCGTGGAGCAACTAACTAAGCCTGTGCGCCACAACTACTGAAGCCCACGTGCCTAGAGCCTGTGCTCCGCAACAAGAGAAGCAACCGCAATGAGAAGCCCGTGCACCACAACAAAGAGTAGCCCCTGCTCGCCGCAACTAGAGAAAGCCTGCGCACAGCAACGAAGACCCAAAGCAGCCAAAATAATTAATTGATCAATCAATTAATTAAAAACAAAAAATATATATGATCATCTCAATAGATGTAGAAAAAGCTTTTGATAAAATTCAACATCCGTTTATGATTTAAAACTCCTCAGAAAGTGGGAACATACCTCAACATTATAAATGCCGTATTTGACAAACCCACAGGTAACATCATACTCAACGGTGAAAAGTTGAAAGCATTCCCTCTTAGGTCAGAAACAAGACAAGAATGTCCACTCTCGCTACTATTATTCAACATAGTTTTGGAAGTCCTAGCCACGGTAATCAGAGAAGAAAGAGAGATAAAATGGATCCAAATTGGAAAAGAAGTAAAACTCACTGTTTCCATATGATACGATACTATGCTTAGAAAATCCTGAAGATTTTCTATACCAGAAAACTAGAACTTATTATGAATTTGCTAAAGTTGCAGGATACAAAATTAACATACAGAAATCTGTTACATTTCTGTACAGTAACAACAAACTATCAGAAAGGGAAAAGGAAACAATCCCATTTACCATTGCATCAAGAAGAATAAAATACTTAGGAATAAACCTACCTAAGGAGGCAAAAGACCTGTACTCAGAAAACTGTAAGACACTGATGAAAGAAATTAAAGATGACAACAGATGTACTGTGTTCTTGGATTGGAAGAATTAATATTATTAAAATGACCATACTACCCAAGGCAATCTATAGATTCAGTGCAATCCCTATCAAAATAACAATGGCATTTTTCACAGAACTAGTACAAAAAATTTTTAAATTTGATTGGAAACACAGAAGACCCCAGATAGCCAAAGCAGTCTTGAGAAAGACAGATGGAGCTGGAGCAGTCAGGCTTCCTGACTTTAGACTGTACTACAGAGCTACAGTAATTAATAACTTTTTTTTAATTAAAAAATTTACATTTTGAGGAATATGTTACTTAAAGCCTTAAAGAAAAGTATACTTGGATCTGATTAGTGGCAGAATTAGCCAAAGCAAAGACATTTTTCCCTTCAAGTTTTTCATACCACACTTTGAATTGGTAATCTAACTGCATGTGTGTAAGGTTCCGTGTCTGAATTTCTCTCCTGGATGTGTTGTTTGTAGGTCTCCATCACGTTTTTGCCCAGAGATAGAGGAGACTATGCCCAGTTTTGGGACGTTGAGTGTCACCCTCTTAAAGAGCCTCACCTGAAGCACACCTTGAGATTCCAGCTCTCTGGACACGTGAGTGTTACACTGAATTTAAGTAAATTATTGGGTGTGTTTTTTTAAGGACACCAAGGGAAACTGGCATGAAAAACTGGCCTGTTGTTTTTGGTATTATTGTTATCCCATTAATTCTGTTATAGATTCTTACCATCTTAGTTTTCTTACGTGTCTTTATTGATTGGCTCTATGAAATTTGTTTGCCTTAATTAGGTAAGATTGTGTGTTTGTGTGTGTGTGTGAGAAAGAGAGAAAGAAACAGTGCAAGATAAAGCATTTTGTGATTAAAGGAATTTAGAAATCTTAAATCTCCTTTTTAAAAATTAGGAAGGAAGTAATAGAATTAAAATAGGTAAGTGTCCACATGTTTATTTCTCCTCCTCCACCCTGTGTTTTTTTTATACAGAGTGTCAAAGCAGAACGTGAGCTTGAAAATTCACGCATTTCCACAAATAGCCTCATTAAAATAGATAATTTACTTAAGCCCCGAAGACAACCTGTATCAGAGGCGTCTGCTCTCATACCTGGGTATGTTGTTTCTGTCATTCTCATGAATTTTTCCCAGGGCTTTATTGAGGTATAATTACATTCGGTAAAATGCCCAGTGGCTTACCTGTGATTGACGTACGTCACCCCCACTGCAGCCAGGTAGAGACCGTTTCTCTCTCCTGGAGCGTCCTCACATGCATGCCTCTCTGCAGCCACCCACACCCTCACCCAGGATTTGTTCTGTTCCTGTGTGTTGCCATAGTTTTGGGGAATTTCATGCACATGTGCACTCAAGTTGTGTCTGGCTTTCACTTAACGTAGTGATTTCGGGATCATCCGTGTTGGTGAGTGTACCTATGGTTTGTTCCTTTCGTTGTTGAGTTCTCGTGCCCCATCATAGGAGCACATCACGATTGTTTCATTTTCCTTTTAGCATTTGGTGGCTTCTGACTTGGAGCCCTTGTGAATGAAGGTGCAGTGAATATTATATGTGTATTTCTGTGGACATATTTTTTCATTTCTTTTGGGTAAAAATATCTAAGAGTAGAATTGCTGGGTCATACGGTAGAAATTTATTTAACCTTAAACTGCCAAAGAATGTTCCCAAAGTAGCTGTTCCAATTTACATTCCAAAACACAGTGTATGAAAGTAGATTCTTAAAAACTTCGAAAAATGTATGTTATACCAGCAGCTTACAAAGCTTTAATGGTAGTATGTAAATGTTTTACCTAATGAAAAAAAAAATTTTTTTTTCAGGGATATGTTTTTTTTTTAACTTTTTTTAAATTGAAGTATAGTTGATTTACAGTGTTGTATTAATTCCTGCTGCACAGCAAAGCAATTCAGTTATACATATATATACATTCTTTTTTTAATATTCTTCTCCATTATGGTTTATTACAGGATATTGAATATAGTTCCCTGTGCTATACAGTAGGACCTTGTTGTTTATCCATTCTCTGTATAAAAGCTTACATCTGCTAACCCCAACCTCCCACTCCATCTTCCCCCACCCCTCTCCCTCTTGGCAACCTCCAGTCTGTTCTCTATGTCCATGAGTCTGTTTCTGTTTCTTAGATATGATCATGTGTGTCGTATTTTAGATTCCACATATAAGTGATATCATATGGTATTTGTCTTTTTCTTTCTGACTTACATGAAAATGTTTCTTATAATCTTTAGTTAACTAACATTTAGGTCTAACTTAGTTGTGGAGGAAGGTGCTTATAAGGAAAATATGTTAAGTTCCTCTCAGGGAGGAGGAAGCGCTGCTGCTGTCTCAGCTGCTTCCCCGCACCCCTGGACACTTCCTGCCGCCAGCAGTTTGTCTTAACACACATTAGTCAGTCGCCTTTACAGAGCTACTTTAACTGAGTTGCGGGAGAAAACAAAGCCACACTTCATAATGTAATATATACAAATAGTTTAAGTTACTATGGATTTTAAATAGTTAACCTTCAGACCTATCTCCATAGCAGGCAGCTTGACCTCACCCACCGTGGAGTTTATGCCCCAGAAGATGTGTATCGGTTTCTGCCAACGAGAGTTGGGGAGTCAAGGACGTTGAAAGTCAATTTGCGAAATAATTCTTTTATTACACACTTGGTAAGTTGGAAATCTTGCTGTGGGTTTTGGAAAAGTAAGTGTATTCTACTATTTGATAAACATTTTCCTGATAATTAGAAGCTTGTTTTATAGATTAAGTTATAATAGTTAAGTTTTAAAATGCCTTAATACCGTTATTTGAAAAGAAACTCAAGTGAATTTCATGATCCTTTACCTGAAAATTATTTAGTATTTGTTTCCATATTTTCATTTTTTAATTTTTCCTCTTGTTTTCTTCTGTACTATCACACCAACATATTTCTGGATAACATTTACTCCAGTTAGAACTAGAATAAACTCATTAAACTTCCCCTAAGTGTTTTCATGAGCATTTATCGTTTTACCTCATTTTGTGGCTATACGGTATGTTGATTTAAGTATGCACAAATATCTAACTTGTATAACTTCATAAAATGTTTCATATTAAATTCCAGCTCAAGTTTTTAAGTCCCAGAGAACCTTTCTACGTCAAACATTCAAAATATTCTTTGAGGTGAGTTTATCATAAATCAAAATGTTCTCATCCTAGTGCAGGTCTTTGTGTTCAGGAGCCTGAGATTGCTCTTGGGGGTTAGGACTGTGAGGTCTGTCTCTGTTGCAACCCCTCATCCTCCTCACCAACACCACAGAGCACCAAGCACGTGGTGAAGGAGACAAGGAACCTGCTAGGGAAACAGTCCGTGACCTGTGGGTACGTGTGGCGAGTAGCAACTCAAACTTGCGCAGTGTTTGGACTTAGTGCGTGACTCCTGTTTCCCAGTATTTTGACAGCCATATACTTACATAGAACCTTAATTATCTTGTGATTAACTTTAGAGTGATTTCTGCGTCACATGTTATTTTCACTACACTGAGAATCAGGGATTTAAATTTTAACTAATTAGGACAAAAACCTTCCCAGATTAATTGGGAAAATTTTATTATCCTATTTTCCAGTTGTCATTCTTCAAATAACCCTGTATTGTTCTTAAATCAGGGCTACATTTTCTTGTCATCCTTGCTTATTTTCTTTTTTAAAAAATGTGTTTGTTTTTATTTATTTTTAAGGTGTATGTATGTATATATATTCTTTCAGTTTTATTGACATAATTGGCATACAGCACTGTGTAAGTTTGAGGTATACAGCATAATGATTTGACTTACATACATGATGAAATGATTATCACAATAAGTTTTGTGAACACCATCATCTCATATAGATACAAAATTAAAGACATAGAAAAAATTTTTTTTCCTGCGATGTGAACTGTTAGGATTTATTCTCTTAACAACTTTCATATATAATGTACAACATGTTCAGTATATTTATCGTGTTGTACATCACATCCCTGGTACGTACTTAACCTTACAACTGGAAGTTTGTACTTTTTGACTGTCTCATCATCCAGTTCTCCCTCCCCCAACCCCCTGCCTCTGGTAACCACAAATCTGATCTTTTCTATGCATTTGTTTTTGAAGTATAATTGACCTACAACACTGTTAATTCCTGTATTTCTATATGTTTTTATTTCTATACGTGTGAAACTGATTACCACACTAAATCTAGGATGATACATTACCACACAAAGATATTACATAGTTATTGACTATATTCCCCACGCTGTACATTTCATACATGTGATTCATTTATTTTGGAACTGTGGACGTTTGTATCTCTTAATCTCCCTCACCTATTTCTTTCTTCCTCCTACCCCCATCCCCTCTGGCAACCACCTGTTTTGTCTTTGTATCTATGACTCTATTTCTGTTTTGTTATGTTTGTTCATTTGTTTTGTTTTTTAGATTCCACATGGAAGTGAAATCATACAGTATTTGTCTCTCTCTGACTTACTTCACTTAGCATAATATCCTCCAGGTCCATTCATGTTATTGCAAATGGCAAGATTTCACTCTTCTTTATGGCTGAGTAGTATTCCACTGTGTATCTACACCACATCTTTATCCGTTCATCTGTTGATGGGCACTTGGGTTGCTTCCATATAATACCTTTTTCCATCCTCTCACTGTCAGTCTATGAGTGTCTTTAGATCTTAAGTGACTTTTGTAGCAGCATATATACGGGCCTTGTTTTTGTATCCATTCAGCTGCTCTTTTGACTGGAGCATTGAATCCATTTACATGTAAAGTAATTATTGATAGGTATGTACTTACTGCCATTTTGTTAATTGTTTTAGGGTCTTGCTAATTTTCTTTTTCCATATGATGTACATAAAGGCTGAAATCTCAAACTGGGTTGTCACTGTTATTTAGAATTTTAACAGTAGAGTTCTGTTGCACTTAATACTGAAAAATAATTTTATCTTCATCTTTGAATCTTTAATTAAACAATTTAGTTATTATAAGATCTTTCATTTTAGCATCAAGAGGCTGTCCCAGAAACATGTTATATTTTGTGAAAACTTGGCCCACTTGCAGGTGTTCAAGGGCTGTCTCTGAGTTACTAGCCCAGCAGCACTGACTCAGAAGCTTACACTTACCTCCAGATACTGGAAGATGAGTCGTGGGGACCGTTCTCTCCACCTCTCGTCCTTTCTTCCCCTTCTCGCCCCCCCTCCCCCATCCCATGTGCTATGAAACCTGCCTCTCAGGAGCCCAACCTAAAGGCATGAGTTGTGCAGAGTCAGCAATGAATATACCTAGAAAGCTACCATGGACTTAACTTCTCTGAGCCTCAGTTTCCTAATTTGTGAAATGGAGATGAAAAGCCACTGGCAGCCTGGACTCGTTACAGGAGTATGTGAGAGGTGGTCCTGGGGAGCCCCAGCAGGACCCACAATGTCGATAGTGCAGCACGGTTTCTGTCGGTGCTTTCCCAGCCGGTCCCTTCAGTGAAAACATGGATGAGGGGGGCCTGGGTTTACAGCACTCCTAAGGCTGAGCTTTCCCGCTTTTCTGCCCTGAGCTCTTGTCTGTGGGTCCCTCCCATGACGGCCTGAGACTGGCGACATTCCACAGTCAGTAGAGTAGGTTGGCTCTGCTGAACTGAGGCAGAGCTGCAGAAACAATTCACCTATTTAAAAATAGGTTGTTTAAATTCCCAATTGTGACACTTTTTAGTAACAGAGTACAAATTGATACTGAGTAAGTGATCTGTCCTGAACACCGTTATTATCTGAATTTGAACTTTATCATAACGGCCTTATTAACTCTGCTTCCCATTTACTCTGTGTCTCGTTCACATCCCTGAGCTTGGTCAGCGTTTTGCAGGTGTGTGTCTTTAAACGTGAAGCAGAGGGGGTGGAATACTTATGTGTAAACCAGTGTATACCTGTCACAGCTTACTGGACGGGCTTCAGATTTTTGTTTCAAGGAGCTTTTATCTTTAAAAAAGTCTTTTTTAAAAAAAGTTAAAGAAACCTTCAGATTTAAAAAAAATTCCCTTGAAGAGCCTAGCAGCTTTTTAAAAAACACTGTTTGCATTCAGCTCATCTACAGTTTTGGTAAGGACTCATTACTTACAATAACTTGTTAAATTACTTGGCTTTATGTCACTTGCCCATTTTATGGCTGAAGGATGATGCAGTCAACTTACCTGGAGATAAACATTCCTTTTTCAGCTTTCATCATTAAATACACTGTAGTTTCAAATTCTCTTCTGATGTTATGTTCTTTGCTTAATTTGCTTTCACAGATTTTTAAAAATTGAATTATATTTTAGCTGAAATTTGTAAATCAGCTCCTTCTTGATCCTTTGTAGAAAAAGAACCTGTTTGTGTTCGATCCCAATAGCATTACATGCGGCAGCCTCTGGCCTAGCAGGGCTGTAGGGACCAGCCAGCTGAGTGAGGCCCACAGGCAGTTTGTGGTCACCAGTGAGCTGCTAGACCTTCACAGGAGACCACACGACCTAAATTGAAATGTAATTTTGGCAGTTAACATGTCAGAGTATTTTCATAATTGCCACCTTCAGTTTCCTTCTCCTACCCCTGTGACCAGCGGGTAGTGTCCTCCTTCCTCGTGCGCCTGGGTGCCCATCTTGTGTCCCAGCAGCACTTCCTCCTCCGCATCACGCACAGCTCCCTGCAGTGCTGTTGACATGACAGGCGTGATGCTTAAAGCATACCTAACAAGGAACCTTTATAAATGAGATGGCGTTTTGCTTAGTTTCAACTTGTCTAAAAACCAATTTTAAAATATAAAATGTGTTCATTCTAGTAATCTAAAAGTAGACATTTTTATAGAGTTGAACTTGGTGACTTGCCATTCCAGTGCTAGAACATTTTAAGCTGTCCTGAATTAGACACTCAGTGCTTTTCTCTGCAGCCTAGGTCATGTCACAACATCTAAGAGAACTTAGAAACATGAGAAACTATTTTGTAATTAAGCAAAATTCGGGCAGTTTACATAAGCTAGCATTTAAAATAGCATCACAAGATACATTTTGTTTGCTTATACTCTTCAAACATATTATTTTAAAATGTTTTTAACTTTTTATACTTTGAAAAGAAATTTAAATAAGGTAATTTTATACTTTATTGGTGGCAGGTAAAGTTATTCTGATGCATTTCATTATGGAACTTAGGATAAATATATAATGTTACAGATTCCAGCATCAACTTTAATAATTAGCAACTCAGTGTAAACTTGATGAAATATGAATAAGAAAACCATGCGTGCAAAGCAGTAACTTTGATCTGTTCAACAAGGTGAAGTAAACTCTAAGTCGTAGAAAAGTCTTCTCTCATGACATGTCCGTAGGCTTAAGTCTTAAGTCTTACGTAAAGGAAGGTGGGAAAGCTGGTTTTTTCATATGTAAGAATGACTTCTTTCTATTTCGGAGAAGTAGCGGTTTGTCAGCTCTCTTCAGTGTCCACTCTCCTAAAGTGGAGCTCACCTGAGAATTCTTCCGCAAACTGAGGCAGGGGCTGCTGTCAGTGCAGGCGCAGAGGGCTTTGTACCTGTCCCGAGAACGAGACTGTTGGACCCTGGACGGGCTCATGAGCTGTAGGGGGCCGGTATGGCGAGGCTGGCCTCGGCGGGTAGACAGTCTGTGGCGGGTAGACAGTCTGTGCCGAGGCTCCTGGGGAGCCCCTCCCTGTCCCCTGTGGTCACATTCTCTTCCTCAGGGGCCGCTTGCCCTGGGACCCGTGAACCCCACTCCCCAAGTAGTAGCGTGGCTTCCGTCACCTCGGGTACGCCCTCCCAGGAGGCCCCTCTCCCGGGCTGTCCTCGTGCGGTGGGGACTGTCAGCTGACTGCAGATCAGTAGGCGGGAGCCCCGCACGTCCTGGGGGTTTTGCCTTAGGCGGAGGTGCTGGGGGAGGGCGTGTGTTGGGCAGGTTTATGTCATCCACGGAAAGCGGTAGATTGTGAAGGAGCATTAATGAGCAGTTTTTTGGTAAAGGTTCTGTCTTGGGCTGTAGGTGATCATCTCTTTCTCATGTCTTTTTAAGAAGAATTTGTTGTGTTTCCACTTACCCCCGAAAGCATCCTCTGTTAACTTTGTTCAAGTCTAATCTCTGCTGAGACATTGCAGCTAAGGCCCCGTCTGCTGGGCTCACAGCAGCGCATGCAGGTCCTGGTGAGCCAGCCCCTGCGGCTGAGTGGCCAGGCCCTGCTGTGTCCTTCAGAGGGAAGCCAGGGAGCAGCAAAGTGCTCATTTTAAGTTAAAGAAAAAGAAAAATTACGGTTGCTGTAATTTGTAGGTTCATGGGCATGAGGGGTGAGGGGGTTCCGGGCACCCCGCCGGCCCTGCCTCTGTACCTCCTGCTGCTTGCTCTGGGGCCTCTGCTGCAAAATTCGTCATTGGATGGTAGGAGGTTTTGAACTAGATCTCTGTGTTGTGTCTATGTGCTTTCCTATTACGTGTTCCCGTGTGTGTGTGTGTGTGTGTGTGCAGTGTGTTTATATGTGTGTGGTGTGTGTATGTGAGTGTGCGTGTGTATATGTGTGTGTGAGTGTGCATGTGTGTGGGGTGTGAGTGTGTGCTGTGGGGGGGTGGGAGTGTGCATGTGAGTGTGCATGTGTGTGCAGAGAGCGTAAAGCCCTCTTGGTAACAGCACAGTCACTGCTTCGCCGCACTGCTGGTGCTGGAGTTGTGTGAATCCGTGGTTCTTTTTAAGTTGCACCCCCCATTTATTCAGTGTCTGTAAATCTAAAGCAGGGGATACATGTTTGTCATAATATGTTTTTCAAAACCCTTCCTCAGTTAAATATGGGTTTCTTTATTCCATGTTAATAATGAGATCCTCTAGAGATTTACTTGGGGTATTTTAATGCTTTTAGTAATTCATAAGTTAAAAAAGCCTCTTAGGTTGGCAGATTGTACTACGTCATTCTGAGGATTGAGATGCTAACATGAAAGAGAAAATTGTCCTTTGTCAGTGCCGTCGAAAGGTACCAGTTTTTTTAAAGGCACCTTAACTTTGATGTGGGGAAATGAGGTAAATGCATTGGGGGAAAATGGCCCAGACTTTAAATATGTATATTCTGCGTTATCAGTTACATGCAGGAAAAGGGCTTTGAAATACTTAGACTGTTTTCTGAATTTCTAGCCCACTGTGCTGGGTTTATCAGGAAACATGCTGGAAACAAAAGCACAGGTCAGATCCAATGGCTGATCCTGAACACGTGTGGTTGAGATCAAGGGCGGGGCCCCTGCCCTCTGAGGAGAGTCTGAAAGCTGTAAAGTTTCACTCAAAAATGATTAAGACAGAAAGTTGGTGACATCACACAGGTGTGGGAAAGTACCTTTGTCTCATTCCCTGGGAATAAAGGTGTATTTTTGAAGCTTTTGGGACCTCGTTTTATGAGCAAAAACAACCCCCCGCCCATGTACTACTTTTAAGCACAGGGCATTCATTACCTGCCTCGATAGAATCTGAAAATAAATTTTCAAGAAGACTTTTGGAAGGTTTCATATGAAATTTGGAGCAAAACCCACCAGCCCTGTAAATGTTGGTCCTGCTGCCCCGGGGGCGGTTGGTGGCACGTGCTCCCTGACCTTTCGGGGGCCGGTGGCCTCCTGCTTCTACAGATGCAGCACCAGGCCCTGGGCCTCTTGGCTCCTGCTTCCTTGACCGTGTTTGCTCTCCGCCAGGCATCGTGAGGCTGGAGGGGCTCCGTGTGCCGTGGCCTTGGTGTTGACACCCCTTTCTCTCTGCAGAGCCCAGCACTACATCAACATGCCTGTGCAGTTCAAGCCCAGGTCTGTGGGCAAGTTTGAAGCTTTGCTCGTTGTTCAAACCGACGAAGGCAAGAGTGTCGCCGTTCGACTCATTGGTGAAGCTCTTGGGAAAAGTTAACTAGAGTCCACTTTGTGTAAAGTAAATGACATAAGTTATATTTTGGTAACTTCATTTTTTTCTATACTACAGTTACGCCTTTGTATATATTTTGTATGATAAATTGGATGTCTATAACTATAGATTTGTTCTTTTGAGAAGCTAATACTGAAGACCTGACTAAAATAATCATGTAACTATCCTACAGTATTGTATTTAACTTTTACAGGGGAGAAGAGAGTTCTATTTTTGCATTGATTATGATATTCTGAATAAATATGGCATATATTTTAGTTGGTATATCCAGAAATAAACTTAATTTCCATTGAATTTGGTGGTTTTTTATATGCTGTCATGTAGACATTAGAATATCACTTTATTCTGCTAATTATTTCCAAGCGCCTTGGTCTGTTCTGTGATTTTTCTCCTCCATTACAGTTCTGTTTCCCTTAAGAAATTCCTTCTTGGTTCCTTTGTCTTTTAGCTAATTGCCCAGAGTAGAAAGGAAAGCTTCCTTTCAAAGAAATTGTCTTTCTCCGGAGTGGGGCAGGCTCCACGTTCTGTGCAGACACATTGGAGAGGTTGATGGTATATTTTAAGAGAGCGTTTATTGAAATTAAAGCTGGATGGGACAACTCCAGAATCCGGTGTAGAAGGGCACTGCCATCAGGTACCAGAGGGACCCGGGGCACAGGGAGTGAGGGCAGTGAGCCGCCCGAGGGGACGGAGTGCTCTCCTGCTGTGATGTTCCCTGGTTCTACCAGGAGAGACGTGAGTATTAATTGCTCTGTGGCCATTGCTGGTGAGTGGTTGTGCAGCAGCGTGGGGGTCGCAGCCGGGTATTATCGATGGAGCAGAAGGACCTCGGAGGGTGTGCAGAGCTGCCAGGAGGGCTCTAACCCCCAGCATTTACAACCGCGACAGAGAAACACTCTCCTTCCTGAGCACAGATTTAAGACAGTCTTATACGTCTGCCACATGGGTCAGTAATCACAGGTGAAGGGTAGAGGCAGTCCCACAACTGTTGATCCCTCTGTGATTAAAACTGCTCTCCTTCAGTGTCAGCTCTCTTCAATGTCCACACTCCTAAAGTGGACACTTCCCTGTTTTGTTTCCTCTTTAGATTTTTCATTTCATGCCCAGGGAAAGATCTGGGACAGGGGATCCTGTAAGTCTTCAACTGCGCCCTGAGCCCACTGAGCACTGGGCCGTGTTCCCATCTCTGACGCCCGTGGACGCTCGTGCAGACGGGAGGGGTGCGGCGGGGACGCCCTGCAGGGGCAGGCATGACCTCGGAGCAGCACGGGCTGTGACACGAGGTGAGGAGAGGCCGGTGGTGAGAGTGTGGCTGGAAACGCAATCCTCCCAGGGGTGTTATAACCATTACTTCTCCTGCGCCCGGTGCTGACCCCAGAAGATGCACGGACACATGTGGAGGTGATTGTGTGTTTGCTCCATGAGCAAGGCTGACCCAGGCCCAGGGCCACTGTTCTGCTGACCTGCCCTCAGGTCGGTGGGAAGCCCCACGCTGTTTGCTTGAGGAGGTCCTCCCTGCGTTTGGGATGACCCACAAAATGGCTGTTCTGTGGGGTCGGCCTGAGGAAATGCCACGTTGTGGACTTGGCTGCATGTGAGACTTGCTCCCTGAGAGCTGTGAGGCCAGCAGGCACAACGCAGACCCCGCCACGCCAGATGCCAGGGTGCCACCCACAGCCGCCACCATTGCCCTTGTGCTTTCGGGCACAAGGGCGACTCTGCGTCAGCTTCTCTGGAGCCATCTTCCTAAACTCAGGGGAGACCCGTGTGCCACCAGAGCCGGGCCAGCTCGGATCCTCCTCCTTGGCCTGGTCCCCCCTCCCTTGTGCTTCCACAGGCCTGTCCTTCTTGGTAGGGGGAGGGGCACCTCCCAGCACTGCCCCTCCATGGGGCACCTTCCCTACCTGCCTTCCAGGTGCTCGGGGAAGGTGCCCAGCCAACTGATGGGCACCTATGCCGAAGGCGGTTCACCTCTGAAGCCTCAGTGGGTAAAGTATGGGGGTGTGGGGGAGAGGGTTCATGCTTTGAACAAGTGGATGCATCCACTGAGCTTCTGTGTCTAAGTATTTCCATGGAAATATCAAGAGCATATGGATAATATTACTATCTTACAAATGGATGACAGGTTGCTTCACACAATAATGTTTTTATATCTCAAGTCAAAAGCAGGTTGTGCGAATGGAGAAACGCTGGAAGGGCTGGTCAGGAGCAGGCCGGGACTGCTCAGCCCACTGCTGTATGAGGCATGGCCCTGGGGGCTGCCCAGCGGCCAGTGAGATAGACAGGGAGGAGGCGAAATGCACAGGACAGTGATGTAATTGTCGACCTGGGATTCCAAGAGGGTTTCCTTTAAAGATCATAAAAAGAATTCGGTAATGTGACTGGATTACATGACTGATACACAAAAATCAACAGTTTTTCTATATAAGAAAATAGTAATGGAAAAAATAAAACCCCTATGAATAAACGTATAAAGAAATGTAAAATTTACGTGAAGAAAACTTTAAAATCTCACTGGAGGTTACAGCAGGTTTGGGCAGGGGGTAATGTGTCCACATTGCTGCTGGGTGCTCCTCTGTAGCACGAATACCCCTTGAGATCTTACTAACGACAGGACTGCAAGTAGCTGGGTGAGACTAGCATGTGCAGGATGAATGCGAAAGCCCCAAATACGTACAGAAATTCAGTGCAAGGTAAAAGTGGCACCTCAGTAGGGAAAAGATGGGTTATCCCAGATTAGCTTCCGGGTGAATCATAGGTTAACAATGAAAGTATAAAAGTCCCAGGAGAAAATATGGAAAACAATATCAGTTATTAATTTCTAATTTTGGAATAAAAACTGACAGTCACATAAGAAAGAGATCAACTCAACGACATACAAATTAAAATTTTCTGGGTGGAAAAAGCATAACCAAAATCAAAAGATAAATGACAAACTGGGAGTCTTAATGGACACATTGGCCATTTCAGTCTTTCTGCTGCAAACAGTGACACAGACTCTCCATCTGCAGCTGTCACTTCATGTATTTCCAAGGACACCTGTCGGGTAAAGCACTGAAGCATGGACAGCGGGTGGAAGGCAGGGCAGGGGCAGTATAATTTGAGTGGACATTGCTGACTTGTCTCCTGCCTGTTTTTCTACATCCTTGCCAAAACAATGTTAGCAAACTAACTTTTCCTACTCTAGTAAGTGAGTAATTGCGTCTGGTCTGATGTGCGCTGGCTCTGACTCTGTGGGCAGAGCCCACCTAGGCAGGTGCAACGGGTGGCTGCCAGGAGCCACCCTTCCCCTGCTTCTTTTGGGAGCCTCCAGCAAAGAGGGTGGACCTGCTCAAGGCCACTTTCTTGGGGTCCCCTGCAGCTGAGCCCTGAGGAGACCCCTGTGGAGGGGACCCACCTTCCTGTGGACACCAAATGTGCACGGCAGATGGCTCTGGGAGTGGCAGGCAGAGGGTGACGCCCGGGCCCCCCTGGGCTCTGTCCTCACAACCCTGCCCTGAGGCGGGAGGAGGCCTGCCTTCCACTGGCCTGTCTCCACTTCCCACCAGGTTCAACTATTAACTATTTTTGTAATAAAAAATGTTTTAAAGAGGTAAATGTAACAAAGGAATTGTTTTAATAAGAGATTTAAAAATCCAAACATCACTTTTTCTGCCAATATTCAGTAAACTTAATGGAATATCACTTATTAATTAGGGTATTGACAGTAGTCTTTCTCAGAAGGTTTTGAAATGACACCTCACAGTAAAGTTCTACCTTTCCTTCTGAAGAAGCTCAGGCGTGGAGACCCTCGAGGTCCTTACAGGTGTCGCGGCCTCTCAGCAGATGCTCCCCCTCGGCTTTGCTGTGACGTGTGTTTCAGTTTGGTGTCCAGGAAGTAGGGCCGGTCCCCCAGGGGGCCTTTGTGGAGTAGGTGCCAGCGGGTCTGAGGTCTGAAGGTTTCCTGTCAGCCTCACCTGTAGGGCTGCCGCCCGCACCTGCCCTGCCTCTGGGAGGAGGAGGGTTAACCAATCCTGTGCCTTCTGTTCACTTGGGATCACTCGGTCCCACTACAAGTTTGCTTTCCCCTTTGTTATTTAATGTCGATGTTAAAGCCACTAAGAGGGTTGCCTGTTTCTACGCCGAAGTCACTGGACATGAAGAGAGCCCATTTTTATATTTTATATAAAATATATAACGTAAATTTGTATTTCTGTATTTTATAGGTTTAAGTATATTTTTAAATTTCTATATATACACATACATATCAGGATAAAGCAAATAGATTGAGGTTGTTAGCAACCAAGGTTTTTAGTAGAAGACAAATGTGATGTTATAATTCAAAGATAAGTCAAGATATTAAGTCCCTTTGAAGTTAAATTTAAATCAGAAATATTAGCTTGCACTCATGATTTTTTAAAAATCCATATTTCCATCCTTCTCCACTGAAAATGCCCAAAGCAGTCTTAGCTCATTGGCAGTAGCGCCCCTGGAAAGAGACATGGGACACGTGTGCCGTGGCCACACGCCTACAGTTGTATTATTTTAATTCTAATCTTGTTCTGTTAAACTATGAAATGAAGAAAATTAAAACATGAGGTTAATATTCAAGAGTGATTATGTTGTATATACAATATAAAAATTGATCTGTTGTAAGTTAGTGAAAGTAAATAATCCAAGACTCAACACTCATTTTTTATCATTCATACTGATTAATTGGCAAAATTCAACTTCATTTT